GAATGGCAAACAAGCTGACGGCCCACCTGATGAAAAGTGGTAACCGTCGCCTATAGACATGAGCAGTACCATGAACATAACAAAGTATACTGTTTCGCCCATGACACCCCCCATGCATTGCCATTCCTGAGGACTCAGGTGTTATTCCTCTGTACCCTGTAAATTCACGCCATATCCCACCCTTCAAACCGAAACACAGCCATGCAAACACAACTGCTTTACGGTTGAAACACGAATGGGACAGAGGTACCCAAGCAATCGACTTTTGTACAAAGTCTCCTTCTGGTAAACCTCCACGTGGTTCTCCCTAGAAATCATCGTGCTGAATATCTGATCTATTCATCACGATGGCCTAACTGACCTGCTTTTTCATTCTCACCTATCACCCCTCACTGGTGCCCCGCCAGCGTATACCGTTAGCACAGATGGGGTTACCATTCCATTATTATCTATTAAAAAAGCAAGTTGTTACTTATACCAATAGTAGAGTTCTTTATACTCTGCTTATACTGTGATATTCATTAAATTGGCTATTAACTGTCCGCTAAATAAAGGCCTCCCCCATAAGAGTAGGTTTTTCTAGTAATTGCCATGCTTGATACGTGAGTTGGCAACCGTAGTTCATCATCATAATACCAGCCTTTAACTGTCCACTGCTGATCATAAGCCTCTTTCTTGGGGGATTTTGCCAATAGTTGCTATGCTTGGCAAGCGAATTGATAACCGCAGTCAAATTTTAAAGATGTTTTAAGAGGGACATTGCTGCCCATCTCTCACTCTCCCTTAGTCGGTTCTTACGACACACGAGAAAGGAAGGGGGGGCCGATTCTATGCCGGGACCACACGGTCAACCGTAGTTAGGCTTTGATACTGTTTTAAGAAGAACGCTGCTGCCTATCCCTTCACAATTAAGTTCGCTGAGTCGCCTCATACGACAACCAAGGGCAAGGTGGAAGTATTTAGGGGACCTAGGTGACCCGTACCTACCGGGGAGAAAGGGATTGTTAGTAAAGGGGTCTAATGAACCCATTGCTAGCAATACATCCTATCAGATCGACCTCCACGTGGTTCCTCCAGGAAACGATCGTGAACAATTCTTGTAAAATTCGTCACGATGGACTAACAGACCTACTTCATCCTCATCTATCATCTCTCACTGGTGCCCCGCCGGGGTATACCGAAAGCGTGGACGGGATTACCATTTCATTATCACCCATTAAAAAAAAAAGACCCATACCTACCCCAATAGTGTCTCGTGCCCATCTCCAGTACCAGTAGCAGAACTTTCAACTATAGACAAAGACACGCCTGAACACCAATAACCATGGTGCCTACGCCATAAATTAAATTGTATTTTCCACACGTAGATTGAAACATACTTGGAAAAGTCTGCTTTATTTTATTAACAGTCGGTTAATATCATTTCATAACAGCTGGTGAGCAATTCAAAGGCACATTTGGCTGTTCGCGGCGGCTTGTTGTTGCTGACATTGATTTATGGTTATGGGAATCGGCAATGGTGAAGCATGAAATGTAATAAAATCCTATCGAATTAATAGTATATTTTGCGTTGGACGAGAGCAATTAGAATTATTTTGTAATTGCTTTAATTAATTAATAATCGTGATTTATATTCTAATTATAATTGAAGGGGTGGCCCATTCCATGTCCCGGCATAGAATGGCCCATCTCTTCCTTTCCTATTGATGTCGTAGTTGATGATAACTTAATATTAAAGGACGAGGAAGAAGAGGGACCTTAAAGATCGAGGGATGGGCAGCAGCGTCCCTCTTAAAACACCATCAAAGCCTAACTGCAGTAGTAAAATCCCACTTATGGGGGAAGACTATGAATGATGACTTTATTTGCTTGAATGCTAGTTATTAAATTAGAAATATTTATTGTTAAAAAAGACTATGTTAAGCAGTCGTAACGATAATTACTAACATATATAGAAAATACCTATCACAAAACGAGGGAAAGAAATAGTTATTATTGGAGGTATTTAGACCCCTAGAAGGCTGGGGGGAAAGGGATTGTTAGCAATGGAGTTTGACAACCCCATTGCTCGCAATATGCCCTATTAGGTCGACCTCCTAGTTAACGCGGTATTTCCAGTTTTGTGTGTGTTATATATATGTGGTATGTATTTATGCGTATATATGTAATGTATGTATATATATTTATATGTGTATGTGTATGTATATATATTTAATGTGTTGTGTTGTATATATATGTAATCGTTACGTATATGACTATGCTGTCATAAATATTATTTTTTACAAATGTAACTGACCTAACGCGCCACCTACCTACTTATGCTTTCATCCTCACTACACTATACGTATTGAAAATTGTTTTAACAAATCATGATGAACAATTCTTGTTGAAATCGTTACGATGGGCTAACTGACCTGCTTCATCCTCACCTATCATCCCTCACTGGTGCCCGGCCGGTGTATACCGATAGCGCAGGTGGAGTACCATTCCATTATCATCCATTAAAAAAAATACTCTTGAAGATATCCTATCAGACCGACCTCCACGTGGTTCTCCCTGGAAACCATCGTGGTTAATTCTTTTTAAATTTATCACGATGAGCCAACTGATCTAGTTTCATCCTCACTGATCGTCTACCACCACAGAGGCAGTGTACATCACCGGTGTAGGGCTACCATTCCATTTTCAGCGATCAACAAAAAAAATCACAAAATAAACTGCCTTCCTGTTACGAATCAAATCAAGTAAATATATTACAACGGTAAGTTCACATTGAAGACAATATAAAATACCTACTATACACACCATAGAGAAATCCTAAATAAATCAACATCACCCGTCTGACCTTTTCCCGTTATTTGCGGTCGGCACCACGTATTTTTTCAGTCCATTCTGAACTCCGTCATACTCGTATCGCTTGTTACGTCAAAAACGTTGATATTATCTTTCACACCATTCATGTAGATAGATAGATAGATACTAGTGTCCGACCGAAACAGGTTTTACAGCCGAAACCGAAACCGAACTATCGGCCTTTGTCTCAGTTTTGCCCGAAACCGAAACTTACTGAAACATATTTAAAATTTCTCCTCTATACTGAAATCTAGTGTATTTTTACACAATTATTTACACAAACACACAGATAGTTCAAGGGTAATAATAAACACTAATTAAAGTATGTAACAAATATGTCATATGATATATATTTATATGTAAAAACATGTTAAAATTATGACTTACTCTTGGAAGTAAACTTTAAAAAAAGCAACTTTCAGTTAGACACACACACAACACAAACACACACAAAGTTTCGGCGCGGCCAATTTTTGGCCGAAACCGAAACTAAGGCCGAAAGCAGAATTTCTGGCCGAAACTAGCCAAAACCAAAAGTTCGGTCGGACACTAATAGATACTCTTTATTGTATCCTCCAAAAGATTACAGTAGTAAACTTACTTGTATTATAAATATAAACAATTCATACTATTGTTTTTCTATAAATGTTTTTAAAGTTATTGATTAAATACATACTGTTGTGTATATTAAAAAATGTACCCAATAAAGTAGATATGGGAACTCAACATAAAGTATTTTTCATTAGTATTTCTTATTTATTTTTCATTATATTTACCAACTAAGAAAGTTTAACAGTTTCACAATTCGCTGCCTTAGGGACCACAATACTATATAAAACATAATAAAACTCTGTTATTGGACACTTTTTAAATAATTTATTGCCACTCTGCGAAACTTGACAAGTTTACAAGTCAATATGTCCAACTCCGGATATTGGTTCATGACACCGTTGAGAAAAATCAATGCTAGTGAAAAAGGCGTCTGTTTTCTAGGTCTATTCTTCACAAGGGAACATGGAAAAAGTCCTTTTTTATGTATAAAATATATGTGTGCGTGCGTGCGTGCGTGCGTGTGTGTGCGTGCGTGTGTGTGTGTGTGTGCGTGTGTGTGTGTGTGTTATACGGAAATCGAAACGATCATTAAAATGACCTTGCTCTTAAGCTGGTCTTATCATCATCATGATATCAGCCTTTAACTGCCCTCTGCTGAACATAAGCCTCCCCCTTGCGGATTTTTGCCAGTAGTTGCTATGCTTGACAGGCGGATCGACAACCGTAGCTAGGTTTTAGAGATATATTAAGAGAATCGCTTTTGCCAATCCCTCGCCTTCCTTAATCGCCTCTTACGTCAATGGAACCCACGGGAATGGAAGAGAATAGGCTACCTATTCTATTTCGGGACCACTTGGCCACGCCAAGCTAATCTTATAGCGATCAAGATAAAAATACCAAACGATCTAAGAACCAAGTGAATAAAATATTAATTTAAGAAAAACAAAACAGTATGTTCTCATAGTTTGTATTCATTACGACTAGCTCTATCCCGCGGTTGCACCTATTGTTGTATTATGATATTGAATAGCCTATGACCTTCCTCAAGAAATAAACTATCAAGAGCAAAAAGAAGTTTTCAAATCCGACCGGTAGTCTTAGAGATTAATGCATTCAAACAAACACTTCCATTTTGTATATTATTAGCTTTTCCGCATGGCTTTACTCGCTTTAATATTAATTTTGTTTAACAATTCTGGTCGTTGGTATAGGCAGTAATGAAATAGTTACAAGAAGGAACCCACATCCTTTACGGAATAATTAGAGAAAAAATAAATATGTATACTTTAATTGCGAATTGTAAACAATAATTCTGTAAAGTTTGAAGGAAATCGGATGACGCAATAAAAAGTTTTATACAAAAATTGCTCCCCCATCACCCCACCCCCTATAAGTTTCTCCCAAGAAAAAGTAGCCTAACATCTCCAGGGATTTGTCTATCTCCATACCAAAATTGATCATAATCGATTCAACGCTTTAGGTGTGAAAGCGTAACAAACAAACAAACTCACTTATCCCATATTATAATATTAGTAAGGACAGATTAACCCGCATTGTTGTAGCGACTTTTTCGAAACGAATTACGTAATACTTACAGCGCATTCCGGTTCTGTGGTGTATGATCCGTTGCTAAAGTATTTCTTCGGGCATTCGGACCACGGCAGCTCGGCTTGGAAGCTCTGCGCGAAGTAGAACAGACACCAGGCTATGATCGAGTTATAGTACAGGGCAACGTTGAAGGACACTACCGCTGAACTAATTCCAATACCTCCCAAATAAGGAGACACTTGATGCCAGACTCCGATTGCGCCCTTCCTCAATCTTTGTCCGATCGCCAACTCCAAATAAAATATAGGTATCCCCTCAATTGCCAACATCACAAAATAAGGTATAAGAAACGCCCCTCCCCCATTTTTCTGGGCTAAGTAAGGGAACCTCCACACGTTGCCCAAACCTACAGCATAACCGACTGTGGCTAAAAGAAAAGTCAATTTGCTGTCCCAAGACTCCCTCTCTCCCTCGCCACCTTCAGGCTTAATACCCGCCCTTTCCTCTGCAGAACTGGCTTTGCTTGTTGGCGTTTCGGACGATCGTCTATTCGGGCTAGTATCCTCGAATGCCTCATTAGTAGCCCCGTACATTACGTGTGTGCGATGAGATGGATGTCCATTCTCCATTGTTACCAGTCGCCCACGCAATTCTTTCATCTCCATTCGGTCAACGGATCTTTGGGCATAAAGGTCCCTTGAACTCTGACGCCTCATCAAATGTGCTGTGTTCGCCATTGTGCCGTTATTTAATCTACTTTATTGTCTAATTTTATCTACTTTAATTATTGTCGTAACGCTCTCTTTATTGTCATTTTATATCATAATGAATCCCTCAATTATATTGTTTTACAACGACATTGTTCTCACTGTCGTGGCACATAATAGACAACAAAAAATAGCATGTGAAAGTTATGATCGCCTTTATTGTACCAGACCTCGTTGGTGGTATGTGTATTGATTCGTGAAAGGACATTTTTATAATCAAACAATTATTTAGAGGAATCATTCACTTATTACCGATTTGTGTCACATCACTCAATGTTGGAAGTCACTAGTTTCTATTTAACATTTTTTTTTTTTTATTATTATATATATTTTTTTATTTTGAGCGATAGCCGAATGGCGGCCGACGCGTTTGCCGGACGTCACTGGCGGGAAAGCTACGGGGTGAGGCGGCTTTGCGATGTGGTACGCATGCGTAACAAAAGACCCCTCTCTCGTAAACCGTCCTACACCCAACATGCTTTTCGGAGAAATAAGAATTAAAATTTCGATTAATAATGAATTAGCAAAAATTCGGTTTAACGTGACCGTTCTATTTCAGATTACTTACGAATTCTGTCTATCAAAATCAATACAGGTATTTCATTAATTGAGCTACGTGGTAACTATCTATTAGTAATTTCGAGAAATATATGCATAAATAGATGAGACTGTTCCTTACTTTGTAGAGATTTGTATAATCTAAGCTTCTAATCAAGGATAATGACTCTAATCTATTTCTAACTAGGGTAGCTGGTCGATATCTCTCGGAACCTTTATGTTTACAACAAACATCATCACTCAGATATAAGTAGAATGTTAGTGAAGTGAATATTATTGTTTAGACACTTTATACGACACCGCGACAGTGGGGACCGCGTGTAGGTCTACCTAACCGTGTGTATTGCTTACAATGGATTACTAATAATCATTGTCTCATGTAATTTGACATTCGCTTTACTAATGGCATGACAATTTCAATTTGTATTATAAAGATTCTTGTCCACTACATCGTACGCGTTTTTATGCTTATTTTACCCTTCGTACATTTTTTTTATGCAACTTAGAATAGCAAACAAGCTGACGGCCCACCTGATGGACAATGGTTACCGTCACCTATAGACATGAGCAATACCATGGACATAACGGAGTATACTGTTTCGTTCATGACACCCCACCCCCCATGAGTTGTCATTTCTGAGGACTCAGGTGTTATACCTCTGTACCTTGTAAATTCACTGCCATATCCCACCCTTCGAACCGAAATACAGCCAAGCAAACACAACTGCTCCACGGTAGAAACACGAAAGGAACAGAAGTGCCTAAGCAAACAACCTTTGTACAAAGTCTCCCTCTGGTAAATTCAGAAGTAAAAAAATAAAAATGCCATATGAAAATGGTATAATACGTCAAATTTTAAGTTAACACCTTCAAGAACGCAACTGTTGGACCCCAATCTAATCTGGTGCAGAAATTTTTGCGTGATGCCGGAATAAACATACAGACGAAATATCTAAAAATTGGGGGTAAAGGGGTTGTTAGTAATGGAGGAGTTAGAATATACCCAACCAGGTCGACCTCCTCGCGGTTCACCCTGGAAACTATCACGGTTAATTCCTGATGAATTCATCATGATCGGCTAACTGGCCTGTTTTCATTCTCATCTATCACCCTTCACTGGTGCTCCTCAAGCGTGTCCCGTTAGCGCAGGCGGAGTTACCATACCATTTTCACCCATAAAAAAATATCTAAATTTTTTTTTTATTCTATTGCACTTATCTTATTAGTTTTTAAGATTATTTTTCTCTGGCCCCTTGAAAAATGTATATAATACCTATTACCTTCTTACTTTCATTACTGTCACAGACATACATAAGGGGATGGCTAGTGAGCCATGCCCACCACAGAAATGTGTGGTGTACACTCCAAAAATACGAGTGAAGCTTTATTCATGGGCAAATACACGTCTAAAAGTGTATATGGTGGGTGAGTTTAAGTAGAAGTATGGATGGTTTTTTTAATGGCTGATAATGGAATGGTAACCCTACCCGCGCTATCGGTATACACCGGCGGGGCACCAGTGAAGGATGATAGGTGAGGATGAAGCAGGCCAGTTAGCCCATCGTGACGAATTCAATAAGAAGTGTTCACGATGGTTTCCAGGGGGAACCACGTGGAGGTCGACCTAATAGGGCATATAGCTAACAATGGGACTATCAAACTCCATTGCTAACAACCCCTTTCCCCCCAAGTATGGGTGGTTCGCCTTGTATGAACCGGCATAGAATGGGCCGCTTCTGTCTTTCTCGTAGGTGTCGTAAGAGGCGACTAAGGGAGGGCGAGAGATAGGCAACAGCGTCTCCCTTAAACGTCATAAACGGACATAAACGTCCAACTGTGGACAGTTAACGGCTAAAATAATAATAATAAAAATGCACATTAAAGCGTTATACCTCTTATACATTGCCCTTCGAGAAAATGAAAGTTATACCTTTCTAAAAGATAGGAATAGAGATAGGAAAATAGTTTAATACCAAACCCACATTTAAACGTCTGGGACCTTCATCGTCTTCCTACCCTTATCCCAATTATTATTTGGGGTCGGCGTAATATGTTTTTATATATATATTACAAAAACATTTGGCTTATAGTTTTACGACCGGCCGCCTGGCTAAACGTCTGGGACTTTAATGAACAATATTTTTTATTTTGCCACGCGCCAACTGGTTTGAAACATTTAATTCAGATTTTTTATATATATATATATATATATATATATATATATATATATATATATATATATATATATATATATATATATATATATATATATATATATATATATATATATATATATATATATATATATATATATATATATATATATATATATATATATATACAAAATATAAAATGATATAGATATTAAAAATATAAATTTTTTACCTAATATAATTTTATCATACATCAACGCCAATGCCGTTCAATCATCTCAAAATTAATATACGAATAAACTTTATCAATTACAAAAAGAATTGTAAAAATTGGCGACGTAATTGTACAACATTGCTAAAATTTAATAACTATCGGTCGTAAATAAATTGAAAAAAAAAATAATAGCAATTAAAAAAAAATCTGACACACTGACAAACCCTCATCAATCTCCTTTTGAAAGTCGCATAAAAAAATAAATCTTGTCTAAATTTGCATAATTGGCATTATGATGCACAAGAAAAATCCTTGTGTAGCTCCGTCCCATTCGTACTTCATTTTAATTTATTCATAATAATATTAAATTATGTTGAATATTTTTTTTTATATATTTTAACTTATAAAATAATAAAGGAATTTACACAGATAAAATATAAGGGAATGAAATAATAATTGTCTAAAAATTATATTTCATATTTCAACTACCAGGCAATCATGTTCGCATGACGATTTCTGTTTAGTATGTAAATATAGTACCACTAATTAGTAAGTACCTCTGATATCATAAAGAGACTTCCGTCTAAACCCTCATCCAATTTTCTTTTTTTTAATGACGGTTTATATTCACTTATATACTTCATCCGAGCAGTAAATATTATCTACTATTCTTATTTTCGCGTATAATATAATACCTTTTACATATGTACAAGTATATTTCTCATTTATATATAATACCAGAGGGAGACTTTGTACAAAAGTCGATTGCTTGGGTACCTCTATCCCATTCGGGAAGCAGTTGTGTTTGCATGGCTGTGTTTCGGTTCGAAGGGTGGGATATGGCGTGAATTTACTGGGTACAGAGGAATTACACCTGAGTCCTCAGGAATGGCAACGCATGGGGGGTATCATGGGCGAAACAGTATACTCTGTTATGTCCATGGTACTGCTCATGTCTATAGGCGACGGTTACCACTTTCCATCAGGTGGGCCGTCAGCTTGTTTGCCAATCTAAGAAGTATAAAAAAAATAAAAAATAAATATTTATTTGAGTATTCTAACACTTCCATAAGGTTGACTGGGAGAGAATGTTTTAGCTTTAAGCCCACCTTATGTACTGTACTAATGAATAAATTAATAGTAATAGTGAAATTACACAATACGAAACTATAACATCCTAATCCTCAGATCTGGTGGGAAAGGGATTGTTAGTAATGGAGACTGAGAATCCCATTGCTAGCAATATACCCAACCAGGTCGACCTCCTCGTGGTTCTCCCTGGAAACTATCATGGTTAATTCCTGATGAATTCATCATGATGGGCTAACTGGCCTGTTTCCATTCTCATCTATCACCCTTCACTGGTGCTCCGCCAGCGTATCCCATTAACGCAGGCGGGGTTACCATACTATTTTCACTCAACAAAAAAAAACCCTCTTTAATAATAATCCTTATTAAACGAAAGTAATATTTTGTATCCATGTATAAATGTGGTACTATTACCAAAGTATGAGGCTTTATACTCATTGCTAGCAATATACCTCATGAAATCGACCCCCAAGCTTTACCTGAACTGCTTTTTTCTGTACTTATTATCGCTCACTGGTGCCTCGTCAGTATATACCGATAACAGACTGGATTGCCATTGAATTATCACACTTAAAAAAAAATTGTAACCGATTACAGAGTCCTTTATATCTCTGAACCTTCATACTTCTGTCAAACCTGATAGCGGGCATGTCAATAACTTGTCACGGTATCATGCGATGTCACCTTATCTATCAAATTCTTGATCTCAGCCGTCACTGTCAAATGTCAAACTGTGCCAGTGCTGCCAGATTAGGAATCGCCTTTAGGCTATTTAGAAGTTTGCCGAGGCGACCGAAAATTGCAATTGAGTCGCCAGTTAGGCCACCTCGAAAAAATATTTCGGCGATTTCAGGCTATTATAGTCTAATCATGATAATTTTAAATATAATGTGAATAATATAGTAAAATAAAACAATGTTTCTAACTAACACAGCTTTTGAGAAAAAAAAACCTCCAAAAACAAACTTAGTTTTGCAGTCCAGATTTTACAATAACGATTAAAAAAATATAACTTAAAATAAGAAATTACAAATTATAATATAAATAATAATAACTATTAGGTGTCTATTTCGTATAAAGAACACATTAAGAGTTATTTTATTTCATATTTATATACGAAACTCACGGCATCTGAGTTCAACTGCCTTGACCAGTTTATTATTATGGACTACCATTGGACAATTTCAGACTAATGCAATAGAAAAAAAAACTATAAAATTATATTTGGCGAATTCTAGTCTATTGTATCTGGCAACAGTGAACTATGCTGTCTAATCAAAACTTGATCGTGAGAGGTGAGGCAGGTAAATCGCAATTGCACTTTGTGTCCATAAAAATAATGAAGTGTATTCTCATTGTGTTCGAATCATGTCGATAGCGACACAAATGCTGATTAGCATTACTGTAACACGATAGACAGTCTCCAACCGCTCGCGTAACCGTCGAAATGTATTGTTTGCAATGGTTGATCCCTGTGCTGTTAATTCCGAAGCCAGTCAACCCGGCATTAGTGAATACCCACGTGATGTTCATGGTGTTATATTTAATAGGATTTTTCCTCGAACGGAAGCCATGTACGGTGTGCAGTGTCGTCTTCCTTGCTGCAGTGATTCTCATTTGTTATAGCGGTATCGGGAATTGTTTATTTTGGGCGAGTCAGTGTGAAGGAGAGAAGTATGATACCTAGAGCTGCCCACAAGCCTTCCAGAGTTACCTATCTAACTGCTCAAAGTGCAACCAAGTGTTCCTGCCGCCTATGGATTGGCGGGAAAATGAGGGGACGCAGCTGAACGCCATGCGATTCTAACAAAATTTAAAAAAAGAATGTAAATAATACATTTTCTAATTCACTTTTAATTATTGTTGTATATAAAATAGGATGATATCTAACGAATCTTGTGCCGACATGTACTTACTCATTTCAATGTTACATTGGATAATTAAATATGTTAATATGATTATGTACAGTTATTGTTAGCGACTACTAATTATTATACCTATTATGTGAAATATAACTTGGGAATACTGTATGAATTCTTTATTTTTATAAAACATAATAGTCGGAACATATAAATACCTACTAATATTTTATTTAATATTATATATTTTGCACTAAAAATTTTGTTTTACATGAATCATTCATGATTTGTTTCCTATAGCTTGCTAATTCAATCTTACTAATCCATTAACATTACAATGTTCATATAACAGACCTTAATAGGTCTGTATATGAACATTAAACTCTGCAGGTAATACAAAATGAATCCTATTACTATATCCACAAAGTAGGTTTTCAATACCCCTGGTTTATTACAAAGTAGGCAAAGTATATCAAATGACCAAAATCACTTACTTAATGCCTTTCATATTTTGCAATCATAAGCATATATTTTGTAATATAATATAGTTACTAATATATAAAATTGCAAGCTAATCTGTCAATGTGTACTTCATTTCGATTTCACAATCTAAATTAATAATATATATGGGAAATTAATAAAAATACAGGATAGGAGGATTTTTTGTTTGTAATGAATAAATAAAAAAAATACTTAAATGTTTTTAAAAATCCTTTCCCTTATAGAAAGTCACATTATCAGACAGTAACATGAGTTATATTTTATTAAAAAAAGAAATTAAATAACTATATACCTACCCATACAAAACTGAGGTGGGTTACTTACTAGTCTCTAATATTTCTGAATCACTTGCCAATCATCCACCATTACTTCATTCTGCTGGTTACACCAGCTAATATAGCTGATGAGAGGAAAGGGATTGTTAGTAATGGGCACTATTAGCCCCATTGCTAGTAATATACATGCTGAATTCCAAGTGATTTCGTCAAGATGAGCTAATTGGTACTTTTTTAATGGGTGATAATGGAATGGTAATCCTACCCGCGCTACCAGTATACACCAATGGGGCACCAGTGAAGGATGATAGGTGAGGATGAAGCAGGTCAGTTAGCCCATCATGACGAATTCAACAAGAATTGTTCACCATGGTTTCCAGGAGGAACCACGTGGAGGTCGACCTAATAGGGCATATGCTAGCAATGGGGCTGTCAAACTCCATTCCCAACAATCCCTTTCCCCCCAGCTAATTGGTACTAGCCACTGGCACCCCACCAGCGTAATTACCGTTAGCGCAGGCGGGGTTATCATTCCATTATCATCCATTAAACAAATAGCAGGCTGAAATAACAATGGAAAATCACATATGTTCCAATTAATAGCTGTTTAAAGAGATATATATATATATATATATATATATATATATATATCGGTGGTCCAATATTTATTATTGTAATGAAGCATCCGATTGAAATGAATGCAAATATCTAACTTGTATAGAGAAGACTGAAACCACATCTTTTAATCAATTGTAAATGATAATTCTATGCACTTATACATATGTATATATATTTATCTATTTACGTATTTATTTATATATTTATTCACAATAGTGTTTGTTGTATTTACATTATTTTTACCGGTACCTTTCCTGCACTGGATTACCCAAATTATTTTCTCTCTAACTACACTGGGTTGGCTGGAAGAGATCTCTTTCAGAGATAAGTCCTCTCTTGCTAAAAAGTTGTTAAACTAATCGTCGCATGTATTGTTTAAGTGCAATAAAGAATATATTGAAAAATGGTGATAATCTTTTTACCATCAATTTCATTCAATGGAACCCAATATATAGATACGTGAACGTTACGGATATTATCCAAGCCTAATTATTACCAGTGAGAGAAGTATCACACAAGTGTTTATTCATAATACATAAAATTCATGTGAATTTATGGATAGGTAATCGTTTGTACTTTTCGACAAATTAAATGGTAATTCTAATTCATGGAAAAGTACTTATGTAGTGTGCATTGTGCATAATTTTAACATAAATAAGGATTACTTATGTAAATATATTCTGGAGTGGCGACCTTCTGAAGTGTTCCCCGACTAGGTGTCACGACAAATTATGTAAAATCTCTTAGAATAAATTATACATAAAATGCAGGATGCGTACAATGAGCACCATCATGGCACTGGTGTAACTCCACCTGTAGACTGTTGAAATGATGATTAGTAAATGCCACGTATTTTTTTTTTTTTTTTTACAATTTTAACCCTAATAAACATTTCGAAATAGAGAAAACTCTCGACTCGCCTGTATTTTTCGTGCACATGTCCGTGCGATATCTTCGTCGTATCTGAACCGATTTTGATAATTCTAACTGCAATAAATTGTTAAGACTTACTTCCGTGTTGATGTTATATTACACATACATATCTTTTTCATTCTAATCCATTCCTTGTTTTATATGAAAAAATAACAAACACCTAATCGTATATTTATTCTTACAAACTCGCATTCATAATTTTAATAGGATTAGGATTTCTATCCTACTATTTTTTTTTTTTTTTTGTTTTCATTCAACAAAATATTATTCACACTTGTGGCTCAATATTTTACAAATGTTATAAGTAAACATATAATTAATGTTAATTTATGAATCATTGTCTGAGACTCTATACTTACGGTTTAAAGGACGTGCCTCATAATAACTCCAACACAGCAACTATCTTATCATTTAGAATTAGGCTTAAACTACATTATCATCTTATTTTGATATAATCTCTCAATTTTGACTGTATGTTTGTATGTATTTTACACAATAAGTCGTCAATTTCGATATAATCTTCACAATCAATATGATTTACACTCCGTGTTAGTCCTGTATTAACTTTAAAAACAATACGCCCCTTCCTGTGACAGTCGGTTAAAAATACTTTACAGTTTTTTTAATGGGTGACAATGCAATGGTAACCCCGCCCGTGCTATCGGTATACGATGGCGAGATACCACTGAGAAGAAAGTAAGTCTTACCAAGAGGAACCGTGTGGAGGTCGACCTGACGGATATATTACTAACAATAGAGCTATCAGACCCAATTACTAACATTCCCTTCCCCCCAGTGAGAGATGGTAGGATGAAAGCAAATCAGTTGCCTGATTAACATGTATTTGAAATTAATCATGACTTTTTCAAACAGAACTGTTTGAAGGTCAATTAGCAATGGGTCATGAACCCATTGCTAATTGACCATGAACTGGCCATTAGGAATAATCCCTTCCCCTCACTCAATAATATCTTTTTAATGGGTGATGATGAAATGGTAACCCCGCCTGCGCTATCGATATATCCTGGCAGGGAATCAATGAGTGAACAAACATTCTCTTTTCCCCCACACTACATGTTACTAGACGCGTTGTGTACTAGGAATTCATAATTATCGAAAAGATAACATGCTCTAGAAGCAAATTGTGATTATCTGGTTGTTTATTGTTACGTGAAATCGTGTGTGTTACGTAGATACGTAGAAATCCTATGACTTAAAATGCTTTTATTATCTAAATTCTATAAACCTAAAAAAACCACAGGCGTGGGGAAAGGACTGTTCATAATGGGGTTTTAACAGTTCTATTGTAAGCAATACACCCTGTCAGGTCGACCTCCACGCGGTCTCTGTTAAAAACCATCTTGATTAATTCTTGTGGAATTCGTCACGATGTGCTAACTGACCAGCTGTCATCCTCACATGTCATGTTTCCCTGGTACACCGCCAGTGTATACCGACAGCACTGTCGAGGTTAACATTTCATCTTCACCCATTAAGAACTAACATTATCCTTAAATAACCCATCACTCATTAGTACCCCGCCACCGTAAAGCGTAGGTAAAGTTCCTTTTTTTTTTAACGGAACATTATAGTGTCGCATTATTGTATAATTTTTTATGCTACTTGGAATGGCAAACAAGCTGACGATCTACCTGATAGAAAGTGGTAACCGTCGCTTATAGACATTCCCATTCAATGCTTTTAATTAAAAAGAAATAATTATGAAAGGATTTAAATAATTATGTTTACTACAAAGGACAGAAGGGGAAAAATGTTGGGACACTTGATGCGACACGACGAACTTATGAACATTATAATAGAAGGAAGGAGGGGGAGAGAGAGACCGAAACATAGTTACATCAGGCAGATCAAGGAAGGAGTTGGTGTCGTGTCGTATCAAGAGGTGAAAAGACTCGCTGAAAATCGTAGTGAGTGGCATGAGCTCCACTGACAAGAGCGCAGCTCTTAAATAGGATAGATAGATTACAAAATTATATTATTGCAAATTTATAATGTAAGATTTTACGTCTTTATTTAATTATCTGATAAACATAAGCACCGATTATGTTTATAATTACTTTAATACCTATTAGAATAATAAAATTAATACACTCACGCTTGTTTATCGGTTTTTGAATTTTTCTACGTGTGCATTGTTTTTGTTACGCGATATCTTCAACTGAAGTGTGAAAGCGATTTTGATGACTATTTTGGTTTTTTTTTTTTTTGGAGTATGTATATAAAGTAGACCCGGCACGTAACGTTATTTTTTTTAATGGATACACCGGCGGGGCACCAGTGAAGGATGATAGGTGAGTATGAAGCAGGTCAGTTAGCCCATCGTAACGAATTCAACAAGAATTGTTCACGATGGTTTCCAGGGGGAACCACGTGGAGGTCGACCTAATAAGGCATATTGCTAGCAATTTTGCTGGCAAACTCCATTACTAACAATCCCTCCCCCCCCCCCCACGTAACGTTATTGTCTTTTTCAATATAAATTAATTAAAAGGCAACAAAGTATTTTTTTTAATACAGACATATACTAAAACTATCCCTAAATAGCTTAAGATTGTATTCAAAACAGTTATTTTGATTAAAAAACTAAACTACTGAATCGATTTTAATAAAATTTCTATAACACCAATCTGTAAGTATATCCTTTGAGATGAAAATAGAATTTTCCAAATCGGTTTATAACTATATTTTTAATACACAATTGGGACTTAACGCGATGTAAAGGTCTTAACAGGTAAATATGTAGTACCTACCAGTTTATAATTGACGAAGTAACAAAAATTTTTTTTATACAACTTAGAATGGCAGACAAGCTGACGGCTCACCTGATGGAAAGTGGTAACCGTCGCCTATAGACATGAGCAGTAGCATGAACATAACAGAGTATACTGTTTCGCCCATGATACCCCCCATGCGTTGCCATTCCTGAGGACTCAGGTGTTATTCCTCTGTACCCAGTAAATTCACACCATATCTCACCCTTCAAACCGAAACACAGCCATGCAAACACAACTGCTTCACGGTTGAAAGACGAATGAAATAGACGTACCCAAGCAATCGACTTTTGTACAAAGTCTCCCTCTGGTGAGTGTAACAAACATAAAAATAAACAATAAAAATATTGATGACACGATTTGAGAACCTCGAACAAATGAAAATATACACTCAACTTTGATTTATACTACCGTTGAATATCAACAGACCGTCTTATGCGTCGATCGGACATTTGTTTACAATTCCATTTAATTCTATTGATACAGCCTATGAGGCAAAACAACGTTTGTTGGATCAGAAACGATTCGGCGTCCAAACATCCGAATTGATTCGGCATTCAAACAAACAATTGGTAGTTGGTTAAAATTCTATACTATCAGGAAATAACTAGCCGGAGAACCGAACCGGCACTTCATTCACGCAAAACAGTAATCCTGAGACTATGCGACGGATGTCGTCCATTCAGTTCAATTGTTGCATATTGCATGTACGACCCGGGGTCAAAGTAATCTGTAAAGTGACGCACTCGGATGGTTTTTTTTTTAATGGATCAATAGATAATCCCGGCTGCACCACTGTTTTACGCTGGCGGATTACCAGGGAGGGATAATAAGAGAGGATGAAATCAAATCGGTTGACCCATCGTGACGTATTTATGTGACAATGATTCCACGAAGATCGAATAGAATTCAACCGGATAGAGCTAATTGTCAACAATGGGACTGCTAGACCCCCTGCCCCTATCCCTCTGTTCCATAATCCCCTCCTACATTCGCATGTGAGTATACCCAGAGGAATTTCAGAAAATCCATAGAGAATGCTCGAGTCATAAAATGTATTCAAAATTTTGATGACAATGCATGAGGGATATTTTTTTAATGGGTGATAATGAATAGGTAACCCCGCCTGCGCTAACGGTGTACACTGGCGGGGCACCAGTGAGGGATAATAGGTCAGGATGAAAAGGCAGATTTTTTTTTGATGGGTAAAAATGGTATGGTAACCCCGCCTGCGCTAACGGAATACGCTGGCGGAGCACCGGTGAAGGGTGATAGATGAGAATGAAAACAGGCCAGTTAGCCCATCATGATGAATTCATCAGGAATTAACCATGATAGTTTCCAAGGAGAACCGCGAGGAGGTCGACCTGGTTGGGTATATTGCTAGCAATGGGATTCTCAGTCTCCATTACTAACAATCCCTTTCCCCCAAAGAAAAGACAGATTAGCCCATCGAAATGAATACACTTGAAATTCAGCACAATGGTTTCTAAGATGGACCCTGTGGAGGTCGACCTTGCAAGTAAAGGGCCCCTTAGTCTCCATTATTAACAAATATGATGAATATTAAGGATATCACAACCATACTATATTCTTCATTGTCTATAGGCGACGGTTACCACTTACAACAAGTTACAAGTTATTGACTATCGAACTGTCGATATGCAAATATAACTTAATACACGCAACGTCAACCTATTTACCTAGTTTTATAAATAAAACCACTATTTACACGAGATAAGCAGCTAAATGTGCAAGGTTCAACTATGCACTACACGTATATGAACTATAAACTGTGCTAATTAAATAAAACACAGAAATATACTAGATAACATATAATAACTTATTTGAACTATTAGTATCAAGTCCAAGTAGACCTAAATGCGAGAAAGGGATTGTTAGTAATGGGGAATAACTGACCCATTGCTAGCAACACACAGATGGGCCGTCAGCTTGTTTGCCATTCTAAGTAGCAATAAAAAAAAAACACCTTATCAGGTCGTTCTCCACGTGATTCCCTCTAGAAACCATCGTGGTTATTTCTAGTGGAATTCGTCGCGATGAGCTAACTGACCTGCTTAGGGGGAAAAGGATTTTTAGCAATGGAGTTTGACAGCCCAATTGCTAGCAATATACCTTATTAGGTCAACCTCCACGTGGTTCCCCCTGGAAACCATCGTGAACAATTCTTGTTGAATTCGTCACGATGGGCTAACTGACCTACTTCATCCTCACCTATCATCCTTCACTGGTGCCCCGCCAGTGTATACCGATAGCGCGAGTGGGGTTACCATTCCATTATCATCCATTTAAAAAAACTGACCTGCTTTCATCGTCACCTATCTTTCCTCACTGGTGGCCCGCCACCGTATACCGATAGCGCGGACGAGGTTAACATTTCATTATCACCTATTAAAACAAATAAGTAGACCTACAAATAATACTAATGAAAGGTTTCTTATATTTAATAAAATTATATAATACAGTATTGATATTCTTCATCACAGGTCTCCCCTATACTGCCATAAGGAATGATTCCAAGGCACCTGCATCTACTGACTCCCTGCAATGCATTCAATGTCGCAGCTCCATCTAGTGGAAGGTCGACCTACGCTACATTTACTGAACAGGGTCGCCACTCAAGAACCTTTCTTCCCTATCGATTGTCGACTCTTCGAGCTATGTGACCAGGCCATTGCCACTTGAGCTTGATATTTTCATAAATATGTGAATGTATCAAGGGCGAATCTGCCGCGGTATTTCATGTCCGCCAATATCTAGTAGATAATTAAAATATTTCGTAATTACTACCAAAGAAGCTATTTCTAGAACTGATATAAGACATCTCTGTCTGAATGCAGATCCACTAGCATTAAGTAGACATTGCGTCTCTTTGCATTTTTTATAATATACATATAATAATAATACTAAACTTTATTTCCTTAAATGAAATTAGTCTATGGTACAATATAGCTATGACCCATCACTAGTGCGAAGTCATAGCCTTCGTGGAAGTCAAAGCAAGAAATTTAAAAGTTATGGTTCCACGAATAAGTTTAATTTAAATATGTAACATTTAACACATATTATTAGGAGTGTTCAGAAGAATTATTCAGATTAATACCAGCTACTGAATTTCATCACCATACAACCCGCTATTAGCTAAAGTTCCATCCCAACCATCTGTTAGTTTTTTTTAATGGATGATCGTCTGCGCTAACGGTATACGCTGGCAGGGCACCAGTGAGGGATGATAGATGAGAATGAAAAGGCAGGTCAGTTAGCCCATCGTGATGAATAGACCTGGCATTCAGCAAGATGGTTTCCAGTGGAGACCACAGGAAGATCGTCCTGATAGGGCATATTGCTAGCGATGGAACTGATAGTCCACCGTCCGCTTGTTACCATATAGCACCTTAACAACTTAACCAATCATTATGAAATTTGGTATACACATAGTATATGGGATGGAGATGGATATAGGCTACATTTTATCCCAGTCAGTAAACAATAATGCTGTTCATGTCTATAGACAACAATTACTATTGTCCATCAGTTGGATGGCAGCTCCTTTGCCATTCTATATTGCTTAAAAAACTTTAGTAAACAAGAAAGGGCAAAGATACACTATCATTGTGCTATGTAAACATTTCAATTTTAAAACAATAAAGTGGTTCTATTCTAATAACTAAAACTGTATTTGCCAATGTACATGTGTTTGAATATTAAAACATTCTAATAAATTGTGTAGGCATCAGATGTATACAAAAGTATGATAAGAAATGTCTGTATGGATTGTTGAAGATTCTGTTACTATTTTGAGAAAAAGAAAACAAATCATCCTCCATATTGAGTCTGGACAAACTGTGAGTTGGAAATCAAATTATTATATTATCCATTTGAAAAGTCAAAATAAATTTGGCTGTTTCACCACCCAACAAGGTATTTACAACAATAACCTCAAATTGCATTCTAACATTAAACATTCACATGAGGTTATGTTGGTCCCAACATTAGCATCAGAATGTCACAATCCCACACTGCTCCCTTCACATTTCTGATGATCTGCGACTCAAAATAGATTGACATTGTACAAGAAAAATTTTTACTGTATGGCATAATAAATAAACAGACGTCTTTTCAAATTTATAATGTTAGTAGTATATCTATTTATTTCACTCTCTCAATTACAATATCTAAAAGGTTTGTATGTAATTATTAGTACTGTTTTGGATTATATAGTATAAATAAATAGGACTAATGTAATAAAGAAATAAACAGTCCCGAACTAAGTAGAGCTTATACTATGGGTAGTAAAACAAGTAATAATGAAAAAATAAACAAAATACACAGTTAGGTAATTTATTACGAGCTGTTCACAGAGATGGTCATCTTTGACGGTTTCTTAAAGAATACATAATATAAATGGTTATTATAATGTGACTTAACCTACGCTCCTGTACCACATCTGAAACAAAAAATATATCATGAAACTATTATATCAATAAGTTTGTAAACAGCTATTTGTATTCATATAATTTTAAGTTTTTTAAAATAATGTTCATAGATCCATAACATTTACATTAACACATGCTGTTGGATACTTTTATTTAATCTGTGAATCTTAATACAGTCTAATGGCATGTACCTTGTTTTTTTAGATATTTACAAGTGTCGTATAATATACTTTTTTCTATCATCATAATTTCAGTCCATTATCCGTTCACTCCTGGACATAAGCCTCCTCCATTTTTTCCATACATAACATTAGTTACATTATGCATTTGTTTCTATTTTCCTAGACAATAAGGTATCCACAACGACATAACCTCAAATTGTATTCTAACATTATACTTTATGAGATTGTGCTGGACCTAATAATAGATGAAATTATTAAAATTATAATTACCGTTTATCTTAGCCTCCTAGCTTCACGTTCAGACTCGAGGAGCGTCAGAATGTCACCATCGCGCACTGGCCCCTTCACATTTCTGATGATCTGGCGACTGGTCTCGCCAATGAACTCAACTTTGACTTGGGTACATTGGCCCTGGGACCCGGTGCGACCCAATACCTTGACGACGCGAGCAAGAACGTTAGGCTTATCCATTTTAGCTTGGTTATCGAGCAAAACCGAAAAAATACACGTGCACTGAAGCTAGCGTGTAGAGAAAAGAAATATATTTGACAGCGCACTCTATAACGTGCAAAGATAGAACAAGCCACAGATTACAAAGGCGATGTCTAAAGTGAAATGAAATTTATTCGTAAAAAACATAACTGTAGTTTCTTAACTCAATATTAATATTATAGTTTTATAAGGGTACAGTAAAAATGTGTAAAGAAAGATATATAAAGTAAAAGTAATGAACTTTGATAAAACACAGGTACTATTCTTAGTCTATGGAATATATAGATTATATCGACAGACATAATAATATATTTGTGATTTGATCATAGACTTAGTATAACGTACTTGCTTAGCCATCAATTCATAGAGGCTGTTATATAATATTAACCTCTAGATCTGTATAATTTTTTAAAAATCATTGTTAAAAGTATATTTTATGTCCATAGATTAAGGATAATACCTGCGATCTTCATTTATGTGCTACGCAGTGATTACTTGCTCTGTAATCCTGTCTAATATCTCCAAACGATAGATAAAGGATATATTTAAGAAATTTAAAATCTACTATTATTACATAATTCAATTCTCACCATAGATTAAATATAATTTTGCTATTACAAAGATTTTGCAACTTGTTCTAAATGCGATTCTCACCCAGCGATAAAGTGATAAATCTATATTTGATGCGAATAAAAAAAAAAAAAACTGCCCTTGTCTGTATATAAATGGATTTTAAACACTATACTTATAGTGATAAGTAATCGCTACGTAACTATACTATTTTTACTTATAGGATACAATAAAACATATGAGAAACTTTTTTTTAATTAAATTCATACTTCATTTATTAATTTATTTTTAAAAAATTGTGACCTATTGTGTTCTATATTTGCGGATGTAATCGGTACTCATTAATAATGTTACAGTATACTCTGTGCTTCGGTAAATGGACTAATAAGACAATAAAATAGACCTTGTAACTACGCCTAAATATCTTGTCAAATGCTATGGCCGCTGTATAAGTGGTCATGGTTTCTGTATTCGCGGCATATTTACGAACATATACCCCGTGAATAAAGAGGTTTTACTCTTAGCTTTTACACTTCTATCCTATTTCATATAACATATCCACTGAATAATAGGAAAATACATATAATAATAATAATAAAAAAAAAAATTAAAAATAAAGTAATAAAAATGTAACATTTTATTAAATAATGTCTTCTTGTATTCGCACATGTTGGTAGAAAGTTCTCAACACTATTTGTTCCATAATTTACTCCCACACACACTTAGCAACTACAAACCACACAGTCTGTTACACAGCAACTCAATTAAAATAAGAATAGACCTTAATAATTGTGCATTTCTTTGATATTTTTCACACACTGAATATTCACAGTATTTATTTACAATTTTCTTCAATATTGCAATCACACAAATAAAAAAAAAGTCATAGTTTATTTCTATACTTCCTTATTCGAATATGTTACAACAAAAAAAAAAAAAAGTTGATCCCTTTTCATAAATAGAATTATTATCTACTTTTTAACATTATTAATTATCATTGAAATGCGAGAATTATAATACACTGTATTATAATTCTCTAATTATACTAATCATCGTCAATAATGGGTCTATCCTTATTTTAATCGCATCACACGCACTCAAAACGCAACCTGGCGTTAGTGCTTTGTGTTCTCAGTAATACGCGAACTCTAAAATTAATCATCGCCAGCTGATCTCTTAGCTTTCCTGGCGCGTGGTGATTGTTTTGGCGTTCTGGGAGATTTTTCTGTAAATAAATTTAAATCAAGTCAATATAATATTCCAATATGCAATTTTATTACAAAAATTCAAAAATAATGTTTGAGAGACCAGTATTACCTATTTATCATTTGTAAAAATAAAAATATGTAAAAATTTACGAACATATCTGAATATATGCTACAAATTTTAATGAAAGTTGACAGTTACATGAAGTTTGCATGGCTGTGTTTCAGTTTGAAGGGTGGAATATGTTGTGAATTTACAGGGTACAGAGGATTAACACCTGAGTCCTCAGGAATAATAATGTATGGGGAGTAACATGGGTGAAACAGTATACTCTATTATGTCCATGGTACTGCTCATGTCTATAGGCGACAGTTACCACTTTCCATCAGGTGAACCATCAGCTTGTTTGCCATTCTAAGTTATATAAAAAAAGGCTTTTCTGACTTTGGCACAATCCATGCTCTTTATCCTAATTTAGTATAAATCAATCTGCATGTTACAGCTAGTATGATATAAAATAGTAGACTCACTGAGTTGATTGACGACTTCCTTGGGCAACCAGTCGTAGTCTACATCGTTAGCGGTGCCTGTCTCGAGCGGCCGTTGAGCGGGTCGCGGAGAACGGCGGCGGGCGAGCGACGAGAGAGCTTGCTGACCGAGTACTAGCGCTAATACAGCTGCTGCACCCAGGAACACGTACAGGAAGAATGTCTCACCGTCCAGACCTTCTGATACCTCCACTATGTTCACTGTCTGATTGTACACAGCCTCCTGTTGGAAAACATATAAATTGTATTACAATAATGAACACAAGTCACATTCAAAATCTTTGTGATTAGAATAGATAAGTCTCTCTGCAAACATTACTTCAAATTACTACAATAAAGAAAAACTCAATTTATATTATTACATTATTAGTCATAACATGTTTATTATAATAATATGTATCACTTATAATTATTTATATATAGTATTTATATGTGATTTATGTGCATATAATTTTTATATTATAGGTACTAAATATTCATTCTTTTTAAAATGTATGTTTAATACATACATATCATTGTTGTTATGTATCAAAATATTTGTTTCATTTATAAATTAATTTAACCGAATGCACCAATTTTACTCTCCCTTTTAGTGTAATGGTTGAGTGGTAAAGAATTGCATCAGGCATTAAGTCTGACCTGTATGCATATTTTAACGTGTGCAAAAGGAGAAATAAGTAAATGGCTTACAAAGCTCTTCAAACACTCATAGTAGTGGTATAATAATAATAATTTTGATTGATACACAATAAGACTTAAGATATAGGTGTCAACAAATTAATTAAATAAAACAATTATTAAAAAAAAAATTGCAAAATAAATATATAAAGAATATGTATTATTTTTAATTTATGTTTTGTACTTCATTTAAATTTTATTTGTTTGTAATTTACATTAAAACATAATTTCATTAAAATTTAATTTATAAGAATCAATGTAGGAAATTAAACAGTTAACAATACCTGGTAGAAATTGCCACTAGCATCCTTGTAGTTCAGCTGGATATTCAAACCGAACGGTCGGCCCGCAAAGGCCTCGTTGGGAATGAAAGAATATGCAAATGTGGCCTCTTGTTTCGGCTTCACCTCCCGGTTGTATGGCAGAGCAGTGAAGTTCTGGATGTAGTATGTGTAGTCCATAGGATATCTGAAGGATGCCTCCATTGATTCCACGATGTAATCTTCAACACCCTTGTTGACAAAACCAACAAGGAATTCAACTGGATAGCCAGCTTGTAGATCTGGAAATAGAATTAATTTGTTATTATAACCTTAGTACAACCTTCAAGGAATTTTAGGCATGAATACTTAGTGAATATCCATAATAATAATAATAATCTTTATTTGCTTAAACACGGTAAAGTAAAAGATGTTAGATTAGTCAAAGAACATTCCTGCTTAGCTAACAACGTGATAGCATGCAAAAATACATTTAAGATTAACAATTTACACAAATAGCTTACACGACAAACTGAAAGACCATGCAATTTAAACATTTTGTTTGGGCAAGAAATGATCTTTTTTATACTATTTTTATATACATTAGATAAATAGATAGATAATTTTACATTACTTACAGCACACAAATTAAAAGCATTAAAAAACTAATCCCTTAATAACACTTTTTCTTTTATTTCATACCAGTTTAACCAATGCCACTATCTATGTGTACAGGACATATAAGATTTACTGGGACAAAAAGTAGCCAGTGTCCTTATTCATTCCAAATACTATGTGTTTACTAAACTTCATGATGATTGATTGAATTCTTAAAAGTGGTAAAAAGTAATAAACAAACAAACATACTTTGACATTTATATAATAGAATTAAATAAGGATTCAAACAACTTTTAGATACAAAAAATAATTAGACATTATAATGTAAAGAGACCAGAGTATTTGCTAGAATAATCCAAAAATGGAAATAAAATTAATTCTTTTAGCTCCTGTAAATAATCTTAAAAATTATAATTAAAAAAAAATTTTTACCAAATGCATTGTCTCCATAGTTAGGAACTGGTTTGGTGAATAAAATAGTTGTGTCTACATCTTGCGAGGACTTGACCACAGAGTCATCATCATCACCGAGGGCATCTTCTCCTACCACCTGGTTGTCTTCACCTTCAATATCTACTACATCATCAAGCTCATCTTCTTCTGCTCTGGCTAATATTGTGTTAGCTGTAATAAAAAAAAATATACCACTACAAATTACAAACTGGTCTTTTATGTCAATCACTTATAGGAATGAAAATCACCAGGGTCATCACAAAATACTTGTGGTTTCATAGTACACTTCATAGGTTGTCACAATATGTATACATATTATAAATAAATAAATACTTTTTAAACCTTCAATTGTAACATAATAAACAGAAAAAAATAAAAACAGATGCTTGTCTTGCAAAATAATAGGTTTTAAAACTTAGAAAATATTGCAGATAATGTTTTTTTTTTAATTAATTAATTTTATTATAATACTAAAGAGGATTGGAGCTGTGACCCCTTAACACAGGTCCCATATTAACCTATTTAGGAGCCCAGTTCTAAAACCACAACTATGGTCCCATTTCAAATTATAATAATTATATTAGTAAACTTAAGAAACTACACTTATATTTTTTATGAATAAATCTCATTTCATTTCATATAAAATCATATTTACCACAAATTGATAGGCACTCTCTGTCTGGGTAATGAGGATATATGAAATGGCCAAATTAAAAGCCAAGTAGCTTTTAATATTGTAAAGATTTACATTTTTTATTACTTTTTATACAGAGAGATTCTTCCCATATGTTGAATTTATGATTTTATAGCCACATAAATACTTGTATTATTTATAGATTGCTCTAAAGCATTATATTTCTTTTATTAAATATACTTTTTTTTAATTTCTAATGGTATATACATAGAAATATATCTATGTATCTATAGTGATTCTAAAGTGGATAGAGAGGCCACTACTTTCTAATTAAAGGATTTTGTAAATTTTATTAAAAAAAAAATACAATTCCTGTGTTTTCTGGCTTGATCAGATGGAGAGCATATGCCTCATTATGATGCTATCGATGATGGTATCAAATTGTACCTGAAGAAATTACTTTATAATAATGAAAGTAGGTTAAATTGTCTTACATCCAAGTACTGATATAATAAAACTAAATCTTTAAAATGAATTGCTACAATTCAAATAACGAATTCCACTCAAAAATCTCAAGATATTCTGTGCCACGTCCTTAGTTGGATCACTTTCATTAATAAAAAATTAATTTAAACAGATACTCACCACTCTGGAAGCAGAGTAAAGCCGCAGGTAGCACCAGGAATGTTAAATATAACAATTTCATGTTGATTTAATAAATATCCTAATAGTTTTAACTAGATAAAACAAAGGTTAGTATCAGAGTGAAATAAAAACCATTCACTTGGTACAACAAACGTACTATCGGCAAAAAGTAACTCGAGGCAAAATGCCAATTTTCTTTCTCCAACTCGATTGACGTGGAGTATTTTGTCACTAGTGATGTGACTATTACAATTAGTAAACAATAAAAACCGATAAAATAAAACCGTAAATTAACCTTTATCTAAACGTAAAATTTACGTTGAGCTCTATTTACATAAAATATAGGTAAGCTTATAGAACAATCATTAATTTTATAAATAAAAAATACCACTCGTTTGAATGAAGACTAAAATAAAAAATGAATGAAGACTAACTTGTCTGATATTTAAACAAAACCTTAAAATTTTATATATATATATATATATATATATATATATATATATATATATATATATATATATATATATATATATATATATATATATATATATATATATATATATGTAAATAGTTTTTTCCGTCCCATCCCATTATCCGTCGTTATTTATTCATTTATACGCTATTCCATTTATCTTTAATTAAAATGTAACTGATTTTAACTATATAGTGATAACTTAAACTTTTTATACATCTACTCATTTTAACTAAAGTGCTTAAAAAAGTGCATAAACTGTTAATTGATTTTAAAAATGCATAATAAATTGTTCTTAAAAGATAAATTATTACAAAGTAAATAATGGTTAGTTCGTTATTATTATAACTATATTTAAGCATTCATCATAATAGTATTACGTACGATATACACACAAAACTATATAACAAATGTAAACGATGACGATAGTTATGTAAAATTAAAACATCTCTATTTGGAATTACAATTAAAAGCATATTTCCTCCTAAAAGTTATTGTGATAAATTCCTAGAGGATTAATTAAGATAGGCCTACTAAGCTGACTGTTGGCCGCAGATGGCCTTTACAGCTTCACCGACCGCGTACATGAGCGACTACGGATGGCACTCCAAGGTCGTAGGAGACGAGCGACAAAGTATCGAGTCTTACCGATGGATTGTGACATACGCCCAAGGGTGCCAGAAAGACGTGTCAGGGGATAGTCACTCATATGAGTTCAGGACAGGGGGACATCTTCATTTATAATTTTTTACTGGTATCCCTCCAATGTTTACCGATAGCGCATGCGAGGTTATTATTATCCATTCCATTATTATCTATTTAAAAAAGACCTTATCGCATTATCTCATAGCAATTACCTACCCAATTTGTAAATAGGCATCGTAACGATACGTGTAATAGGAACAAATGACGTTTGTTTAGTAATGTAAATTTGGTGCATGTAATATTCTTTTTAAAACTTATTTTCGTGTTTTAACTGATATTTGTTATATGATATAAACATTGGTGTATGTATTTGGAAGTTACATATTATTATAAGATATATATGTAGCTTTTTATATTCTATTATATTATTTTTATTCATTCCAACTGCTACAAGGAGGGCAAAAGGAGTGTGTGGAATTTTTATCTACTAAAATCGCACGACGTACCTCGAGGCGTATTTATCGAATCGCAGCGTTTCCGTTTCTAAAGGAACCAAGATCCGGGGACGGGTCACCTTGTAGGTATTGTAGGGTAGGCCTCTGCTCTTTTTGGTTAATGTTGGTTGTAGGACCTGGACGTCTCACCCTGTCAGCTCAGGAGGCGTACGGCTACGTGCACACCCTTCTTAAGGCCCTTAGGCAGGGTTGTACTCAAAGTCTAGTGGGGGAAAATATGAGGGGTGGAATTGGGCGTGCCTCTGACTCTTAGGCAAATTTTTCTTCATAACATTATGTTCATATAGTCCATTTATTTGTACATTTAAATTTAATAGAAAATTATACGCATATCGATATATTCAATTGCCTATATCTACCAGCGCGTGACCCCTTCACCAAAAGGCTACCTATAGTAATTATGCTGTTTGAAATGCAAAACGCAATCAGTTACCTAGTTAACAGATTTATTTATCATATATTAAATGTTACATTATTTTTGTTATTGTCTGTAACGTACAGAGGTTGACTGTAATTTTATATTTTTAATCGCAGATAAATAGAACATTCCTTTTCACTCAACGCCATCTAGCACCGAACGAATTAGAACTTATTATATTAAAAGGCCGGCAGCACACCTGCAATGCTTTTGGTGTTGTAGGTAATATTGGGCGGCGGTAGTTACCGTCAGGTAAGCCGCAGGCTTATCATCGATCCATCATCGACTTTAAGAATCCCAGATTATTTCCCCCCGAAAACAAGAAAACAGGAAGTATATTCCATTCCTTAGCTGTTCGCATTAAAAAAGAAGAGGTGAAACGCTTCCTACAGATATGTGGTACTTCTATGATGTAATAAAATGCATGATTTAAATAATTAAATATATTGTTTTCTTAAATACACGAATAGTATAGGTCTAAAATATGTAAATTAATTTAAATAGAGATATTGGGGAAGCAAATATTTGAACTGTCCTGGTATAAAATGCGCAATAAACAGTAGGTGAAGTAGTATGCAAATTCGTAAAAAATACACTTCTAAGCATAAGAACATAGAGTTTTTTTTTTTCTTATAATATTTGGTCTTGTATTGATAAACAGATTTTTTTTTATTTAATAAAAATTAAGTTAATAATGCAATAGATAGAATAAAAATTGGTTCAAACGTTTAACCTTGATATCAATCACATAGAGTAACTTCAAATACTAAGAACTCCTTTCATATTAGGATCTCACTAATTATTCGTACAATATCGTATATTTTACACAGTCTAGGTAGTAAACAAACATACGACCCGCCTGATGATAAGCGATTATATCACTAAGGATTTGTTTATCTCCCAATAATGTCGTTATAGTATTTTATAATTAAGGAAACTCAAATCAAATAAATTTTTCGATTCTGAGTTTATAAGTAGAGAATTCCACGCGAGCGGAAACAAGGGAAACGCTTAGTATAATACCCGCACTAATAAATCGCTGTAATTTAACCGGACTGACTTAGTTTGTATTTATGCTAACATTTGAATAGGTCATCGCCGTGTCATCTTTGTTGATAATTCAAATTCAAATATTAAACCTAAAACAGTTCCATTTAGTCCGTGGAAACAGTGTGTCCGATTAAATTTTTAATGGCGAATAGAGGTGATTATTAATTTTTTAATCAAATTCATTAATTTTAATTAAAAGTGTAGGAAAGTGTAAATAAATAACTGCGTAATTAATTGTCTATAAACAAATTTAAAAGCCACGTGACACGATCAGACACTTGAAGATCTTACTTAAATGCTATCCTCTTAATCAATGGTGTTATTTTTATGGGACAAAAATCGAATGACAATGCCGTTAGCGATTTTATTGCTTTAAGCTGGCTGGGCACCAGTGAAGGATGATAGGTGAGGGTGAAAGCAGGTCAGCTGGCCATCGTGAAGAATTCAAAAGTGATTAAGCATGATGGAAAAATTGCTTGAAAGTCGACTTGACACAGTATATTACTAATAATAGGGCGCTAGTATCTATTTTTAACAATCTCTTCTTCCCCTAGTGAATGATGATAAGTGAAAATGATGTCAGGCTAGTTGGATTGCCACGACTACTGTACCATCATCCTCTACGATAGTTTCTAGCAAGATCAGATGAAGGTCGACCCTCCCCCCCTACAGACTATTCCATTGCCATTGGGTCCAGATTCCATGCGACCTCCCACAAACAACGTCATGGTTAATTCCTACAAATGGGACATATGACTCAACTTCATCCTGACCTATCATCCGTAACGATACTCATTAGCTAGTCCACATCATACAACACTCCGCCGAGGGGGGAAGGGATTGTTAGTAATGTGGACTACTAGTTAAATTGCTAGCAATATACTCTGTCAGGTCGACCTCCACGTGGTTCCCCCTGGAAACCATTGTACTGAATTCCAGATATATTCATCACGATGGGCCAACTGACCTGCCTATTCATTCTCACCTATCACCACTCACTTGTGCCCCGCCAGCATATACCGGTAGTGTAAACAGGGTTACCATTCCATTATAAGCCATTGTAAAAAAAAACGCTCCTCTGGTACTGCTAAAACCTACATATTATCGAGAAGTGAGCGAAGTTTGTTAAAACACTATAAGCTTTTAAAGTTGGTGCTACACTGGCTTCAAAATTTTAATACCTGTTTGTAAACATGTTTGAACAGAACATGTATCGCTTTTTTATATTCGCATAGTTATCATAGTTATATAGTTATATTGATTATTTTATACAACAATTAATTATTTTTATCCCTGTAGTTTTGCACAGGCGCATAATAATCCGTACCATACTGTAGTTTGGGTTAATAGATATTTGAATGTTCAAGTTATTTACATCTAACTTTATTTCAATTCAAACTTATACTTACCTACTCGTATTATAGTAATGATTGATTACCTTATTTCCAGCGTTGAGATACATCCATGGTGTCACCGTTCGTCGATACAGCAGTAGTTTAAAAATACCGCAATGTGATTTTAAACCCAACGTGTACAAAGTAAGAATTTTAGTTTTTATAATTAATTAAAAAAGTAAAGTTGAATGTATTAACTTTATGTAACATTTAAAGGATTCTAACTATGGTTGCCAACCCGCTTGCCAAGTGTGGCAACTACTGGCAAATCCCGTTTTATTGGGGAGGCCTGTATATTCAGCAGAGGACGGCTAACAGCTGACATAATGGTGACGATGATTCTAAGGATTCATATGATTATGCATTTTCGAGAATACAATAAATCATAAGAAACCAAATTAATTACATTATTAGCGATTACAGTTTAGAATAAATTGTATTTTGCTGTAGGATCACTTTCCTGAGCTCGGCTTAACTGTAATAATCTAATTTCAGGGGCCCATATTCCAAAAGACTGACAAAGTAAAGTCCGAAAATGTGCCGCCCATACTAAGTAATTTTTATAAAAAGCCTGTTTTAATACACCAAGGTCATATGCAATGGCTGTACGACCACGAAGGAAGAAGATATCTTGATCTGTTTGCGGGTATCGTTACAGTCTCCGTGGGACATTGCCATCCGTAAGTTATAAAAAAGATATGCTGACAACTAAAATTCTTAAGGCAGAAGAAAAATTGAAGATTGGGTCTTACAAAAGAAAACTATTCCGATTGTAGCAAAATTAGTTATTTTTATTTTCAAACTAAACAATTTTTATAAAATATCTATGACATTAATATGTAAGTATATCCTTTCAGATAAAAAACGGTTTACCACTGACGAACTTATGAAGTGTCATAAAAATAAAGTACAGTCAAGATCCTAACTAGGTTGAAAACCACAAAAGACATTCAATATATAAATGATTGCTATTTCCATCAGCTTTTACAATTTACAGTATGCGTTAACGTATTTAAGATTATTTTTTAAAGGGAACCTTAAAAAAAGATGCATTATGTACTCGTAGAGATATTTTTGAGCAAAACTAGATGCTCCGATCAAATTTTGAGATGGTCATGACACATCCATACCCCCATCCCTTCTTAAAAACGCAATATAAAACTTTCCATTTCCTTTTCATTAATTATTTATCTATATAATTAATTATATATATTCGTTTTTATTTTAGAAAGGTCGTTGCTGCTATGCAAGAACAAATCAACACATTATGGCACACGACCAGCATTTATCGGAATCCAAAATTCTACGAGTATGTAGAAAAATTAATATCAAAATTTCCTGGTGATTTAAAGGTCCGTAGATAGTTTCACAATTTAAAAAAAATATATTTTTATTAACATTACTTTTTTTTTATGCAACTTAGAATCACAACTAAGCTAACGGCCAACTTGATGGAAAGTGGTAACCGTCGCCTATAGACATGAGCAGTACCACATAACAGAGTATACTGTTTCGCCCATGATACCCCTCATGCGTTGCCATTCCTGAGGACTCGGGTTCCTCTGTATCTTATAAATTCACTGCCATATTCCACCCTTCAAACCGAAACACAGCCATGCAAACACAACTGCTTTACGGTTGAAATACGAATGGGACAGAGGTGCCCAAGCAAACGTTTTTTGTACAAAGTCTCCCTCTAGGGTTACTTTGGTGGTATTTTTACGGTCAAGGAATTAAGCGAGCTGCCTGAATAATATTTCTGCTATTGCAAGCGTTTATAAGCTGTATTAATTTTATATTAATTTGTTAAATACAGGTGGTGTATCTTGTAAATAGTGGTACAGAGGCTAACGACTTGGCGACTCTTCTCGCCAAAACCTACACGGGCAACAACGATATCATCTCGCTGCAAAGCAGTTATCATGGATATTCTAGCTCTTTAGTAGGACTTACTGGGACACAATGTTACAGACTTCCAGTGCCAACGCCTGCAGGATATCATCACGTAAGTAACTTTCAACCACTCTATAAGACAACAAATATTTAGAACAATTAAATAATCATTATTAAATCACCTATGTGCAGTTTCTAACTTTGTACCTATATGTTTTTCAAATATTTTATACAAAACATAGACATTTATCCAGAGGGAGACTTTGTACAAAATTCGATTGCTTGGGTACCTCTGTCCCATTCTAGTTTCAACCGTGAAGCAGTTGTGTTTGCATGGCTGTGTTTTGGTTTGAAGGGCTGGGATATGGCGTGAATTTACTGTGTACAGAGGAATAACACCTGAGTCCTCAGGAATAGCAACGCGTGGGAGGTATCATGGGCGAAACAGTATACTCTGTTATGTCCATGGTACTGCTCATGTCTATAGGCGACGGTTACCACTTTCCATCAGGTGGGCCGTCAGCTTGTTTGCCATTCTAAGTTGTATAAAAAAATCCGTATTGAAAGCATTAAAATTGATCCAACGAACTTATTATTATTACCTATGAAAAATGCAAATAACTACTGATGAACTTTAGAATTTCGATGCCTTATTGTAAAGACAAAGTACCTAATTATAAACTTCAAATTTTATACAAACTTTCTTTGTGGTCTTAATAAAAACGGCTTCCATGAAGATTTTTTTTCAGAACTAATAAAATTTATTAACCTATTTGGCAGGCGATGTTACCAGATCCGTTTAGAGGAATCTGGGGTGGATGCAGGGATTCTATATCGCAAGTGCCAGGTGCCTGTTCCTGTCCCGGAGACTGTGTTACCTCCGATAAATATGTTCACCAGCTGAACGAGGTATCAATTGTTTCATACAAATTTTAATCAAGTATTGTACATTTAAATGCAAGCGCTTACTGTATCTACATAATAAACAAAACCAGGACTATCATATGCATATTATCGATCTTCTAATTTTCTTTCTGATAAACCATATGCATAGGTCTTTTTTTTTTAAACCATATATTTTTTTTTATTCAAAAGATGTATCTCAAAGGAATTACAAAATTCCAAGCTAACAATGCTTCGACAGAATTAAAATATATTTTCTTTATTTTCAGCTAATATCACATTCGATACCTACAGGAGGAGTTGCAGCGATATTTGCTGAATCTATACAGGGTGTAAACGGAACAGTTCAATTCCCAAAAGGTTATTTACGGAAAGCACAACAATTGGTCAAAGAAAACGGTGGGCTGTATGTTGCAGATGAAGTAAGAATTTGAAACTACTTCTTTCTATCAATTATTATATTATAATTTGAAATATTTTTCATGCTTTTTCAACTTTTATAACATTTCACAATTTCTTCTTCATCACAATCAATGAAAATCACTTTCATTTCGATTTTTCTACTTTTGACGAAGGCAATACGTTTGTTAACTAACATTATAAAAGGTACACAATTATTTAAAAACAATTAATTTATAGATATTGTTATTAATTTCTAGAATAATTATATATATAGAAAATTAAAAGATACTAATAATTACAATAAATTTTAAAAATTTTATGTATTTTTCTTTTCTGTATTTCAAATAGGTTCAAACTGGATTTGGTCGGACAGGCGATGCATTTTGGGGTTTCGAAACACACGGTGTAATACCAGATATAGTCACTATGGCTAAAGGTATCGGCAATGGGTTCCCAATGGCCGCAGTGGTAACCACTAAAGAAATAGCTGCAGTTCACACCAAAGGCAACTACTTTAACACTTTTGGAGGCAATCCATTAGCATCGACTGCTGGTAAAGCTGTTTTAGAGGTAAGTAGAAATCTTCAAAATATTATAGTAGAAATAATAATATAAAACAACAATTACAAGAAATTTGCAGTTAAAGCTGTTTTAGATGTAGATAGTTAAGAATTACTGTTTTGAGTATTTTTTTTTTTATTTACGTGATCTACAATAAATAATAATAATAAATATTGAACTTAATAAATTGAATGCGTTTGCGTCATTCATATAATGTAAGCATTATTGATTGTATTGTAAAATCTTTATTGTACATAATTCATATGTTAATCTTATTTTTACACAGGTCATTGAAGACGAGAAACTTCAAGAAAATTGCAAAGTAGTTGGAAAGTATTTTATTGAACAACTGATGGATTTACAAAAAACGCACCCAATAATTGGAGATGTAAGAGGGAAGGGTCTGATGTTGGGTATAGAATTTGTCAAACCAGGTACTAGAGAGCCATTGAGCGCATCAGAAGTTTCCGATATTCATGAAACTACAAAAGATCTCGGAGTATTAATTGGACGAGGAGGCAGATATGGAAATGTAAACATATTTTTTTTTTTTTTTTTACTTTACAACATTTATACGTTTTTTGTGCAGATAATAAACAAGTAATTATTGTTTTAGGTACTGCGGATAAAGCCTCCTATGTGCATTAATAAACAAGATGTCGACTTTTCTGTATCAGTATTGGATCAAGCCTGTAAAAATTTCATGCATAAAAAATAAATATTCCCCAAGCCATCACATGAGTTGATCTCGTATCTAGTCTATAGGTACAAACTTTGAAACTAAATTTTATCCTTTTAATAAATCTATTGGATTGTTATTGTTGCATAGTGTATTATTACAGTCAAGGTAATTTCCATAGTCTAGTAACATTAGGAAAGATAAATAGTAAGTACGTAATAAACTCTATTTTCACAATATAAAGTAATCTGTAAATTCCAAAATAAAAATAAATGACTACCATTGTCTATCCATAAAGATATTACAGAATATACTATAACGCCCATACACCTAAAGCTTTGTTATTTAACAGATGCCAAGATTTTAAGCCTCTATATTTATCTAATCTGCCCATGCAGATTACATTGCATTTAGGTATCATTATAAATGCTGTATACTATATACTGTACTTACATATAAAAACAATTACAATAAATATAAAATATATGCATAGTATAAAGCAACAGCTATAATAATATAAAATTACCATATCTATTGGAAACATTTATGATAAGAGACAATACTAATAGATGTTTCTTTATATAACAAAAATTGTAATCAATATATACGATCCGCCTCATGTTAGGAGCAGACGATAATGAATATTTGCAACACCGGTAGCAATATTATTACAGTTTAAAGAATACAGCTTGCATATAAAATATTCATACAGACAATTTTATACAAATTTGCTATTTAATAAAGATTTAAGGTAGTGAAAAAGTAACTAAATATTTACATACTTATTATGTAAATTATACCTTATACCTAAATAAATTAGACAAATTCTTGTATACGAAGAATATATAGAGTAAAATAAATATTTAAAGCATAAAGTATTCTATATCTACAGTTTAAAGTTTTTAAATTACTGCCGACTATCTAAACAGGGCGTTACAAATAAAAAAAGATTTGACATTTTTGTTAAATTTTTTCCCCAAAATCTTTGATTTTCTTCATAGACTAAGGATAGTTGTGCTTATTTCTACGGTTTTCATACATCACTAGGGAGGCAAAATTATTTAAGTTATACAGCTGTCGTCTTCCGTTAAATTGCTGGCATTAATCTGTCAAAATAATCAGTTACTTCATTGTCACCTGGAATTGTCATTCGCAACTTTGACATACTGACACATTAGGTCGAGGGGAAACTCGAATAAGAACAAGCGGGTTTTTTAAATTTTTTTTATTAATTTATTAAAACTATCTCTATCAATTCTTATTATTGAATAAAATATTATATTTTCACTAAATTCAGCGACAGTAATATAATTAGCATTCATGGGGAAGCGCAGTTGTAGAAAAAGGAAAAAAAAAGATGACGATTCAGGTGATGTAGACCATGAACCTTGTAATGACAAGGATATATATTCGGAAGATACTTCTACTGACTCAGAATCTGAAATTGATAAGGCCGATAAGTATAAACCTTACTACGTCACAGATTATATTAGAAGATATCCCGAGGAATCCCCTGGGACAGAATTTGTTGTCTTTGTAGAATCCTCAGATAGTCAGAAAACCATTGGATCCAGAGACTTGCTCTCACTCTCCTCCTGTTTAAAACGATTTAATAAAGGGGTAACTTATCTTAGATCTATAAATAAATTCAAAATCGGAGTATACTTTCAAAAGCCAGACTTAGCCAATGCTTTTTTAAATAATAAAACTTTTTTAAATGACTACCATTTTAAGGCCAGTATTCCTGCTTCTTCAACAGAAGTTACAGGCGTTATTAGAAATGTACCTACAAATATATCTAATAAAAAAATATATACTATGATATCGAGTTCTAAGAAAATTATTGCTATTAAAAGAATTTTAAGAAAAAATACCTTGACTCATGGATATGTGTTACAGCCAACTCTAACCGTGACAATTACTTTTGCTGCATCTGTATTACCTGAATATCTGGATATTGGAGGTTGGCGCCACAATGTCACTCCATATATACCACCAGTTAAACAATGCTACCGGTGCTTGAGGTATGGACATTTAGCTAAATTCTGTAAGAATTCTGAGCGTTGCAGCATCTGCAAAGGTTTTTTTTTTTTTTTTTTTTTACAACACAGGGGGCAAACGAGCATGCGGCTCACCTGATGGTAAGTGACTACCGCCGCCCATGATCACCCACAACACCAGCGGCATTGCAGGTGTGCTGCCGGCCTTTTAAAAAGGAATATACTCTTTTCTTGAAGGTTATGTTGTCGTATCGGTTCGGAAATACTGCTGCTGGAAGTTGATTCCAAAGAATGGTTGTGCGTGGAAGAAAGTGCCTTGAAAAACGCACGGTGGAAGACCGCCACTCGTCCAGATGATTGGGATGAAACTTTAGTTTGTGGCGGGTTGTACGGTGGTGAAAATCAGCAGCAGGTATCAATCCGAACAATTCCTCAGAACACTCCCCATGATAAATTCGGTAGAAGATGCACAGAGACGCAACATCTCTGCGCAGTTTCAATGGGTCAAGTCGGACAGTAAGGCGTTGACTATCGATAATTCGAGCCGCCCGACTTTGAATGCGGTCTAACGGAAGGAGTTGGTACTGTGGCGCTCCTGCCCACAGGTGAGAACAGTATTCCATATGCGGCCTGACTTGGGCTTTATATAATTTCAGGCGGTGTTCTGGCATGAAATATCGTCTCACCCTATTGAGCACTCCTAACTTTTTGGAAGCTATCTTAGCCTTCTCCTCCAGATGACCGCAAAACTGGACGTCGCAAGATATATCAACGCCCAGAATTCCTAGACTTGACTTTTTATCAAGGGAAGTGCCCTGAAAGTGAGGAGATACGACAAACGGCGTCTTTTTTGCGGTAAACGCGCAGACTTGTGTCTTTTTGGGGTTAAATTGGACAAGATTTTGTTCACCCCAGATCGAAACTTGATGGAGTGAAGTTTCGATTTCAGACACAAGTCTATTCCGGCACTCATCGGTATGTGCCCGCGAGATCTTTGCATGACCGGTATATAATGTATCTCCTGTACTGTCGTCCGCATAGCAATGAATATTACTTATCTGTAACATATCATTGATATGCAGAAGAAACAGAGTCGGAGATAGTACACAGCCTTGCGGGACACCAGCATTCAAAGGTTTTAAATCAGAGCATGCACCGTCGACTACGACCTTAATGCTACGTTCCTTGAGAAAACTGGCGACCCAAATGCACAGTCTCGCAGGCAACCCAAATGAAGGTAGCTTTGAAAGCAGCGCTCTATGCCACACCCGATCAAAGGCCTTCGCAATATCCAGACTAACTGCTAAGGCCTCTCCCTTACTCTCGATTGCCACTGCCCATCGGTGTGTTAAGTAAGCTAAAAGATCACCGGCCGAACGTCCCTGTCGAAAGCCATACTGGCGATCACAGATCAGCCGGTGCTCTTCTAGGTACCGGAGCAGTTGACGGTTAATGATGGATTCCATAACCTTCGAGAATAAGGAAGTGATAGCTATGGGCCTATAGTTAGCTGGATCTGAGCGATCTCCCTTTTTAGGGATCGGATGCACCAGAGCAGTCTTCCAAAACTTTGGGACTATGCCCGATGAGTAGCTAAGCCGAAAAAGACGCGTAAGAACCGGAGCCAACTCTGGTGCGCACGTCCTAAGCACAATTGGAGGAATACCATCAGGCCCACTCGACTTATGGATTTCGAGAGAGAAAAGTGCTCTACGCACTGAGCTATGCGTGAATTTAATGTCAGGCATAGAGCTCCTACAACACGTGATGGTCGATTAAGGTGAGCATAATTATAAAACTTGTACAACTGGAATGGAAAACGCTATTTGTGTACACTGCAATGGAAATCACACAAGTGTATCACCGCAATGCCCTGTTAAACAAAAGAAAATTGCTGAAAATAGATCTAAATTCAGACCTGCTTCTTTTGGAGATATACTTAGCACTGAAATATTTCCTAAACTGGGTAACAAACCTAAAAAAAATGTAGACCTAATTTCAATTCTAAATTCTGATAACAAGAGTTTATCACTTTTAATAGAAAGCATAATCAAACTTATTTCACTACATAACACAAAGAACACATCTATTAACACTAAAAGTGTTTTGAATGTGTTATATGATACTTTTGGTAATAGACCTATTTCACAAAATTCAATCGAGACCAATTAACTATCATACAGTGGAACGCTCAGAGCCTACTGAGCAATCGACATATTTTTACACAATTTTTAAATGAACATCATATTCACATTGCTCTCATCTCAGAAACTTGGCTAAAACCACATTACAAATTAAAAATTAAAGATTATTGTATAGAACGAAATGATTGTGGTAATAACCACAATGGAGTAGCGATTATTATACATAATAGTATTAGATATAAAAAACTTCACTCTTTTTTCGACAATTCTTTGCAAACTATAGCTATTAGTATTGAAGTTAATAATTCTTGGTATTCAGTTGCCAGTATTTACTGTCCTACCAATAGTACACCTAGTTTTACTAAAGCCAAATTTAAGTTCTTTTTGGAGTCTCTTCCTAAACCCACTATCATATCTGGAGATTTAAATGCACATCATACTATGTGGGGTTGTACCTCCACTAATACAAGAGGTAAAGACATTCTTGATTGTTTAGATGAATGTAATTTGGTACTATTAAATGATAAGCAAGTTACTACTGTTGGCTCTCATATTTGGAGACCCAATGGCCTTGATTTAACTATGGTATCCCCATCCATATCATTAAAATGCGAGTGGTCGGTTCATGATGATCCGTTAGGAAGTTATCACCTGCCGACTTTTACTAAAATAAACACAAAGAACTCTTCATCAACTCCGTCAGGTGAACAACATGCTCCTATAGATGAAGTTAATAAACTTTTGTTAAATCGTATAAACCTACGTCTCGTTAATTGGGATCTTTATTCTGAAACTGTTAATCGATTACTTTTGGATTTCGAGTATGATGTCAATGAACCCTTAAACAATTACAATAGGTTCTGTAAAATTATTTTGACAGCTGTGGAACGTTCCGTTCCACGTAGGAACTTATCAAATAGCGGTGCAAATACTTCAAAGAGGCACAAACATATTGCAGTACCTTGGTGGAATAACAGGTGTGCGACAGCTGTCAATGATAGTAAAGCGGCTTACCTTAGGTTTAAACAAAATCCAACTCTCGATAATTACATAAATTTTAAAAGAGTTCAAGCTGTTAAAAAGTTAGTAATTAAGCAAGTAAGACAACAGGGGTGGCAGGAATTTTGTTCCAAATTTAATAGATTAACACCAATTTCCACTGTTTGGCAAAATATGAGAAAACTAAATTCAAAACATCGTCAAAATCATTTTAAAGATATATCATGGGTCAATGATTTTTTACGCAAATATACTCCTGATTTTGTACACTCACCTTTTGATGACAAACAGTTTAATTCTGTTAATTCATGCCCAAAATTTCTCACTGACCCATTCTCAATTGATGAAATATCCAGTGCAGTAAAATCTAGAAAAGATACAGCTAGTGGCCTTGATCGCTTAACATACAATATGTTTCGATTGCTGAATAAAATAAACCTTACTAAACTCTTACAAATTTTTAACGATTTATGGAAGGACTGTATTATCCCACCAGAATGGAAAATGGATTGTTTGATTCCAGTAATTAAACCCGGTAAAGATCCTACAAATTTCGACTCCTATAGACCTATAACATTGACGTCCTGTGCAGGCAAATTATTCGAACAATTAATTAAACAGCGTTTAGAGTTCTTTATTGAAAGTAATAGTATATTACCATCGAATCAATTTGGTTTTCGCCGTGGATATTCAGCGCGCGAAAGTTTAGCGAACTTCTATGTCGACCTTAGTACTGCTTTGAATAACGATGAATATGTTCTATCTGTTTTTTTAGATGTCGTAGGAGCTTTTAACAATGTAAATTTAACAGTTCTATCTTCGATTTTATCCTCATTTCTTCCAATGAAACTTATCGAATGGATTTATAATTTTCTTAGTTATAGAGAAGTGTATGTTAAAGTAAATAGTAAATTAATAGGACCTAGGTTAAGCTCTAAAGGAGTATGTCAAGGTGGTATTCTAAGCCCGCTACTATATATTTTATATATCTATAAACTTAATTCAATTTTAGGAAACAGTGTGAACAACTTGCAATTTGCCGATGATTTATTAATTTATATAAAAGGAAAGAATATTATTGATATGCAATTAGTGTTAAATGAGTCATTAAAAAGACTTGAGAAATATTTTTCTCTTCTTTCCCTCGATATTAGTTTAACCAAAAGTAAAGTAGTTGTTTTTCATCAAGTTCATAAATATGTTCCATTAATGAATATTATATATAATAATCAAACTCTTCCAACAGACTGTAGCGTTAAATTTCTGGGGGTAATTTTTCATCAAAATTTAAAATGGGATCTATACGTTGATTGCTTAGTAGATCGTGCTTTAAGAGCCACTAATATAATAAGATCTGTAATTGGTCGTAACTGGGGAGCTGATCCTAAAATTATCCTTTTACTTTACAAATCTCTTGTTAGAAGTAATTTTGATTACGCTTTCTTTTGTTATGCCTCAGAACATAAATTAGTAGAAAAACTCGAAAAAATTCAAAATATGAATTTAAGACTTATTTTAGGTGCTATGTATACTTCTCCAATTATCTCAATGCAAGTAGAATGTAATTTGCCTCCTATCCTTCTTCGTTTCGAATACCTAAAACTCAAATTTCTCTTCAAAGTTTTTTCAGTTTCCAATAACTCTCTCATACTCAAATTATTAAATTGCCCCATTTCTATGTTTTTGAATAAAACTATTGTCAATGATTTGAATTTACGAGATGAATATAACATCTATAGTAGTAAGATACTTCCTTGTTATAATGGCCTTTATGAGAGTAAGTTCTGTAAGATCAAAATTGTTATACGTAAAGACATAAAAGAAAAGCACGATATGTATGAGACTTTATCAGAATTTATTGACTACAGGCAGATATATACAGATGGTTCCAAAAATGCACTTAGCACTTCAGTGGCTTTTTACGATTTGTCAAATAGATTTGGTCACGGTTATAAAATTTCAACTTTGGCTAGTATTTACACAGCAGAAGCAAAAGCTATATTTTTAGCATTAGAATACATAGAAAAACAGGTACTATATTCGAAATGGATTATAATTACAGATAGTATGAGTGTTCTTATGGCATTAAAAAATAACACATTCATTTCATCATCAAACTACTTAATTCAAGAAATTCGTAATAAATATTATCATCTCTGTACTATATATGGAAAAGATATTATCTTCATCTGGACCCCTTCACATATTGGAGTGTTTGGGAATGAACAAGTAGACACTTTGGCTAAAATTATTAATTCAAGTGCTGCTCGTGTTCAAGATTTACCCCTTTGTTACACAGATTGTAGTATTGGAATACATAAAATCGTTACAACTAAATGGGAGGAGCATTGGACTCAAATATTACAGACTAAAGGCAAATGGTACCGCAAAATTAATTGGCGTATTGGAAAACCGTGGTTCTGCAAAGGAAAGGACACAAACAGAAAATTTTACACCAATATTTGTAGATTACGAATCGGCCACGGACTTTTCAACGAACACCTGCACCGAATGGGCATGATCGCTTCCCCATCATGCACATGGTGTAACTCAAATACAGCCCAATCTCTACATCACCTTTTTTTTTTTGATTGCTCTGAATTTGTCATTCAAAGACACATTATGTTTGACGAACTTAGGATTATCTTCAAAAAACCCGAAAATATCCCGCACTCAATCCCGCTTCTCTTAAGATTTCCTTCTTGTTTCAAAGCTATTTTCACTTATATTACTACAACATTCAAGGATCTATAAGAATACTTTTATTGAATTGCAAGACAATGATTTTTTATAATTATTTATTTTTAATTTGATAAATCCACTGGTTTAAGAAAACTCAAGAAAAGATATTTATGAAAATGTACTTACCGGATTTGACAAATGAAATATTGAAGATTATGACAATAATTGAAGCGACATTAGAAAAATAAAATTCCAGACAAATTATCTTTTTGAAGACTAGGCAGCATGGTCTCCGACCTTAGCCTGTTCCAAACGGAACAAACGTACTAAAAAAAAAAAAAAAAAACATTAGGTCGATTCTGAGTTATCATATCTCTAAACTTATTTTTAAAATTTCAAATTGAAAACTTTAAGTCTATATTAAGGACCAATAAGAACTAATTTTTCTAATTTAAGATAAAATTATTATAAATCAAATTTAAGAGGATCTATAAAATAGTAATTTTACAAAATTATTAAATTAAAATATTAGGTTAAGAGATAATATTAGAGAATTGGCACCTCATAACAGATCTTTTGATTTAATTTTAGTAACAAATTCAAATTGAAATTTTTTTTTTTATTTTATATTGTTTTGTATACTGAGCAAGTACAGTACTTCATTTTCTATTATTCATGAAATTTATAAACAATTTGGTGTGAGAGTAATATTAAAAAATGGTTTTTAAATGCCAAGAGGATAGTTTCTTAAAAGAAGTAAGTAACAGTAAGGTTATATTATACATTAATAATTAATTAATTAAATAAACCATATATTATTTTGATATATAGTGGTCAGTACCTTTACATTATATACTTTTACCTATATTTTTTTATAAGTACCTTTGTATTACTTAGTACTAGAATATTTTTTTAAGATCTAAGATTTAATACCACGGATTTGTTTTTAAATAGATGCTGTAATGGTATGCAAAGTACTAGTTTTCATTTGTTTTTTTATTAAAACTAAATTGAGCTATAAAAAGTATATTTTTTAAAAGCTGTTTTTCTTTTTAGTTTACTTCTAAAGTTGTGAAATGTGAGAAAACCAAAGATCCAATAATAGAATATGGGAAAACAATCAAGTTTGAAGGCTACCAAGTTACTTTGGAGAACACCATTTTATTCCCAGCTGGTGGAGGCCAAGTAAGTAAAATTCAGCTGTGGATTGTCTTTACTGTATTAGGTATTTTTGTATTAACAATTGAAATAAACTTTCCCATGAATGTTCTAAAAGATGGCTAAGGGAATTTAATGGTCAAGGGATGTGCTGCAGTGTACCTCATAAAACATTACCAAAGCTTAACTGTTGTTGTCAACCCACATGCCAAGTTTGGCAACTTCTTGCAAAACTCCCCAATAGGGAGGCCTATGTTCAGCAAAGACAGTTATCGGCTGATATGATGAATTGAAATAATTTATATTTATTAAATTGTAATAAAAAAATATGGCAAATTTTAGCCCCATGATATTGGCTGGTTGAATGACAAAGAAGTACTCCAAGTGCTGAGGAAAGGAGATGAAGCTCTGCACTTTGTCAATGAACCATTAGATGTAGGGACAGAAGTGACACAGAAGATCAACTGGGACAGACGGTTTGACCACATGCAGCAACATTCTGGTATGTAAATATGAATATGGAATAGCAAATAAGCTGCTGACCAACCTTGATGGAAAGTGGAGCATTGTTTATAGACAAGAATAGCACCATATTAGTGATATTATTAATCTTTTGGAGAAAACAATAGAGAATATCTATTGTAATATTTAACTTGTTTAAGAAATATTGTTCCTTCATTATTTTATTTATTAGTGACATAAAACAGATCATAACCATAAAATCCTTATCTTATTTTCGTATATGGAGTCAGATAAGCTGTTGTACGTCAACCCATAGGGATCTTTTGTGTTTCCCCTTGCTTTATACCATCATTTCATAGATCCTATGTGTTATCTTAAATATTAGTTACAATTGTGATACAACTAGGTTGCAATCCAATTACATTATGTGCACACCTTGAGTAATTCACGTAAAAGCAGTTTGCAACACAGAGTGCAATTGACATGAGCACATGTAAAAAATGAAATACAGAAAATGCTATATAAATATATAAAAGATAAAACTATGAAAATTTATTCCATGTGTAAAATCATATTTCACAAAAAAAGTGTAAGTTTTTCTAAACAGTAATAATTTTTATAAGTCTGACTATCAGGGGGGGGAAGGGATTGTTAGCAAAGGAGCTTGATAATCCCATTGCTAGCAATATGCCCTATTAGGTCAACCTCCACGTGGTTCCCCCTGGAAACCATAGTGAACAATTCTTATTGAATTCGTCACAATGGGCTAACTGACCTGCTTCATCTTCACCTATCATCCTTCGCAGGTGCCCCGCCGGTGTTACCGATAGCGTGGGTAGGGTTACCATTCCATTATCATCCATTAAAAAAAAAAACACCTCTATCTCCAGAATACTAAACAATCTTGTACCTGTGATAATATTTAATTTAATATTAAAAGTTTAATTTTATAAAGAAAATAATGATAAACCCTACTGTATGACAGTTAGTTGTATTTTTAATTGATCCTATTCATCACCATTATAATCCATTATCATCTCACTGTTCCATGAGAGTCCCCATAAAAGGACAATGTTAAATTACAGTAGTTAAACAGCTTGGAAAGATTATTTTGAGTAGTCAGTGCAAGAAAGAATAATATTACATTATTCAAAATATTTTAGGGCAACATCTACTGTCAGCTATTTTGGAGAAAGAGCACAATTTACCAACCACAAGTTGGTGGCTCGGTGCAGATGAGTGCCATGTGGAGCTTGCTTCTAATGTTAGTGATTCCACTATACAAGCCACCGAGGATAGGTGCAATGAGTTGATACGAGCAGCTATACCTGTCACCGTGAAGTTCTGTAAAGCTAACGATCCAGATTTGGCAGAGGTCAATATTTTTTATTTTATTGTACTGGAAATGTACATACAAAGTAAAGAAAATTATCACTTCTGAGGACTAAGGTCTGGAGGATGCCTTTATAAGTTATTTATTTATTTAAACTTTAATGCACTGTGAAACTATGTACATATGGCGGACTTAACATTGGATGGTGTTCTCTATCAATTATCACTCTTTGCAACATTGCAATCTTTGTAAAAGTTGCATTACATAAATGAAATTATCTGTTTATTTAAAAAAAATAGAGTGCTATATTTTTAATTATTTAAAAATAATTAATTTTAAACTTTCACGTTGTTTACACATATATTAAATCTTATGTTGGGTCTTAACGCGATGAGATATTTTTGCAGGTAAATTTCTCATCGCTTTAAATCTCGACAGTGTATTTAAAATATTTGAGAAATGTTGCAATAACAAATAAAAATTTAAAATATACAATAATAAAAAATATCTCATGTAATTAATGTGCATTCCTTTACACTTTAACCTTATTAAGCTTTACTAAACAACGTTTACTATTTCACAGGCCCATACGAGAGGGTTGCCCAAAGACTGTATGGAAACAATTAGGATTATTTGCATTGGTAACATTGATGAGAACTTGTGTTGCGGTACTCATGTATCAAATTTGAGGTAATTGAATTTATTATGTAGGTATGTAGAGAATTAGTGTGTAACCTTGTATATACTATGACAACTATTTAACTTCTATTTAACTGGATACGTATTCTCATTAGATGACATTAATGTACTATTATCACAGAGAGAGGCCACGAGATTTATAATATATATATATATATATTTATATATATATATATATATATATATATATATATATATATATATATATATATAATAGATAATAGTCATACAGTAATTTTAATCTTTCAGCCAATTGCAAATGGTAAAATTCCTCGGCACTGAACCAGGGAAGAAAGGCAAGACAAACTTGAAATTCGTAGTCGGTAATAGGGTCACTAAGTTCTTCCAACGAATGTTGGACAGGGAAAAGGCTTTAACCGGATTATTAAAGTGAGTATATATTTTTATGAAATTGTAGTGACTTCTGTACCAATGGCGTAAAATGCCAGGCACGGTAAAGGCAGACTGGTGATCATCAGTTATCGACTGATATGTTGATGGAATATACCTGAACTGAGACTACAGTTGGCAATCTGTTGTATCATATAATTGCTATATAATCAAAATTTATTATTTCAGAAATGAACCGAATAAACACGAGGAACTAATAGAAAAACTTCAAAAGAAACTTAAAGTGACCAATAAGAATTTACAAAACGTTTTATCCGAATTAGCCCAGTATGAAGTGGACAAAATAAAAAATACACAACCCAGGCCTAAATATGTGTTCCTGTTTAAAAAGGAGGCAACTCCCGACTTCAACCGGGCTATATGTAAAGGTTTAGAGAATGAGAGCCTATTTCTGTTCCTGGTGTCTGAGGAACCAGACAAACCGAAAGAAGGACAAATAATTATTCAGGGTCCAGAAGAGTACTGCAATGCTTTAGGACAACAGTGAGTCTTTTTTTTTATATTAATTTGTTTGTGTTTCTATTGTTAATTAGTTATGTTTATAGTCACCATCTCCAAATAATATCTAATGTATGTAGAAATTGATGAATTATTAATATATAAAAAAATAATATTTTTAATTAAATAGTCACGATGATTGTTTATTAAAATTGTGTTCCACAAAACAAAAAGATTTCAATTGTGGTAAAACCAGTTATTTTGATTTAAAACAAAATAACTGAATTGATTTTGTTAAAATTTCTATACATATTATTTATTAGGTAATACTTGTTTTTTTTTTTTTATGCAACTTAGAATGGTAACAAGCTGACGGCTTACCTGATGGAAAGTGGTAACCGTCGCCTATTTTATTTATTTATTTAATTTTTATTATATCAAAAAATACATGTTACAATTTTATATTTGTTCCCAAGACTTTGCACTAGGATTCCCTGTGTTGTGGAGTTTTGGGCCCTCTTCTATTTGCAAAACTTATTAACTAATATATAAACTTTGGAACTTCTATGAACTTTTGTGGAACCAATCTGTAAGTATATCTTTTTAGGTAAAAAAAATTTCAAATCAGTTTACAGTAACAGAGTTATGAAATAACAAACATAAGAAAAAATAAAACCAAACTGAGAACCACCTTCTTTTTGAAGTCAGTCGACAATAGTTTGATCCTCGAAGTATGAGGTGTGGTGTATCTAAAGAAACAGTGATTTGAGACTAGAAAAAAACAATATACTTATTCCATTTAAATATGAAAACATATACTAAACTGTTTAAAGTAAACTTTTAAATGACAACGAATTAGACTTGCCACCACACCAATGACATTTTTTCAATCTGATTCTAATTTTATATCTTTGTTTATTTTTTCAGAATTATTGACTTATTAAAAGGCAAAGGAACATTTAAACACGGAAAGTTTCAAGGAAAAGCTGGCGACTTGAGTGCAATTAATAAATGCAAAAAACTTATAGAAGATTACTTTAATAATAGCTTGTCATAAATTCACAATATTTTACTATAATAAGTAGTATAATTTGTTTTGTAAATAACAACTGAAAATATTAAATATAGTACATAAGTTACGATTATAATTATTATAATTTCAAACTAAGGAATGAAAATAACCAACAACCAACAATTGCAAAAAATAACAATTTTAGAACAAATTACTTTTACATGTTATATACTATTTATGAAACATGTGTTTTTATTTTTACATTGTTTTATACATATAAATTAACGGGAATTTAATGAGCTTACCAAGTGTTGTTTCCAACTTAAATAACCTAGCGAGAAACACGACATCCGGGTGAATTTGGAAAAAATACCGAAATTGAGAAATATTACTTCATTCATTCAATCCACGTGAAACATACAATTACTCCCTAAGAATATAGGTAACTCGAACCAACTCAAACTTTTCTTAAAACATATTTATTTTTATCTATGGATTTGTAACGGAATTTAATAAATTGTAGATCATAAATACAAATAAAAAAATCACACACACATTTTTTAAATTTACGTAAAACTTATATGCCAATGTCATATATTATTCTTTCAAATAAAATGTGGCACACTTACATAGAATTAGTTGATTTATTCTATGGATGATTAGGTAGTTACATTTATTACAGTTTTGTATGTTTTTTAAATAGTAGAATGAAATTCATACAGTAACTTTTTGAAAATAACATCTTATTATAATATACAGTTATATCCCATAGTTACTTAAAATTGAACTACAAAGTTAAATCTTACATTATCGATAATCTTTTTCCTTGCAATCAATTGTATTGGATGCGTTTATGCTCGCAATCAGCTTCTCTATGCCCAGGTTGGTCCAGTCTTGTGACAGGTCATCCAAATAGTTATCAAAGTCCACTAAATCTTTTTGAACGCCCCGTTCTAGTAAATGCGACACTGTTACAAATGCATAAGGTGTATCTGTAAAAGGAAATAAAACACAGATTTTTTGACTGAAACACAAATTTACTATTATTATTATTTTATATCTTTATTAATTACTTAAAGTGGGCTTAAAATAACTAAATATCAGGAGCTTACAAATATAAATATAGTAAATATGTCATTTGTAAAATTTTAAAATAATAGCTAGATTTTAAAGAAGATTTTATCATTTTTTTTTTTTTTTTTTTTATAACCTCTGGGTGGCAAACACGCACTCCGCCCCCTGTCTTAACCTTGGGGTGGGGGTTTTGTTTTTTGCCCCGACCCTGAAGAAACCTCTTTACCCCCCTTTTGAAGAACCCCATGCTGTAGTCTCTCGGGAAAACCTCGGCAGGGAGCTCATTCCATAACCTGAGTGTTCGTGGGAGAAAGCATCTCTGAAACCGCGTTGTACGCGACCATTTAGGCTGTAAGGTATGAGGGTGAACTCCCTGCCGATGGCGAGCCGTACGATGATAGAAAGTGGCCGTAGGCATCATATTGAATAATTCCTCTGAGCACAATCCGTTGTATAAGCGGTAGAACACGCAGAGTGAGGCAAAATCTCTCCTAAGACTTAAGGGTTCGATACCGCTTGCAAGCATGGGATCATCGACAATTCTCATAGCTCGTCGTTGCACTGAGTCGAAGGGTTCAAGCTGGTATCTAGGTGCTCCCGCCCATAAGTGACAGTATCATTTAAAGACTTTGACAATATAAAATTACAGAAATATTAATAGTAAACAGCTAACACAGTAATTTGTTTTCCTTTATCCCGCCCTTAACGTAACATAGCCTTCGACTACTGAACATAAATCTCCCCCTTGGGGAGTTTTGCCAGTAGTTGCCACACTTAGCAGGTGGATTGGTAACCACAGTTAGGCCTTGGAGATGTCTTAAGAGGGATGTTACTGTCCAAAACCTTGTGGCGTCTGTAAATATTGTAAATATTCATCTCATAGCCACTTGTCAACATCATTACTTTCTTTTCCATCAAGTAGGTTAATTTAATTGTACATAGATATTTCACCTCTATCTTTCGGACTGGACGTACAGACATGACAGCGACGTTTACTTCTCACATTCAATTCTGCTGTCATTCTCTCATTTTATGTAAATAATCAAGTTAGTTGTTATTTATTTCCTCCAAACAACTACAACCTCACCCTCTTTAATCACCTCTTACTACTCCTACTGGAAAGGAAGGGGTGGCCTATTCTATGCCGGGACCATATGGACATTTGTTGTGTTGCTGTAATTTTACTTTTCACTTTGTCTTAAATTAAAACCTTGCATTTGTAAGGGGTGGGATGCTGCTGCCCATTTTTGCCCTCATTAGTCGCCTCTACAACATCCACGGAAAAGGAAAGGGTGGCCTATTCTACGCCAGGACCACAGGACAATTATTAACATGTATAATTTTATTAGCTGAACTCTCTCATAGCTTTTTTAATTTTTTTTAAAACAATAACCGCTTGGAGCTTATTTTTCATGTGCACTATCTCACATGTGTTACTGGTAGGTTAAAATAAATAAATTATACTTACGGAACATCACTTTATTAGCATCCTTTAGCTTCCACTTGCCCTCACTGTACTTGTACAAGTTAATCGCTGGGGAGTCTAAATGCTGCACAACCTTTTTGTTATTCACCTTAAAAAAAGGAAATGCATTATGGGCATAAGTTTCTTATAACATTAGGGCTGGTTAACATAATGCAACTTGTGCTACCATATTAAAGATTATCAAAGGTTCTCCTACAGTGCATGCTCCATTTACAGGTTTAGTCATCTTGGCAACTTAAATTAGTATACTATTATAATATTCATAAAAGGTGACACTCAGTGGTGGACAAACTTTAAATAATAAATCTTTTTATTGTACATAAAAGAGATGTATATAAAGAGTATTCATACAGAATGTGCTTTACAAAAGGTGGCTTTATCGCTAAAAACAATATCTTACAGAAAACCTGGATATAAAATAAATATATAAAATATACAAAACAAAATGTATTTTTATTATGAAACAATTCTCCAATTTTATAGTTGCAAAATTTATTTACATTTATAATGTTGCCTTATATCAAGATGTTAAACACATAATGATAGGGGTTATAGGCAGTAAGCAGCTTGATTTAAGCAACCATTTACTTATATGTCAGAAATGATGCTTTTTTTGTCTTACAAGCAAGAAAAGATGCATTTCTGACTGAAATGTTTAATTATCCACTACCTTTAATTTCTTCATAATGGTTTAAGTGTGATTGAGAGTTAAAAAAAAAATTAAAGTACATAATAAGTAAATAATTAATTACCACAATGAACACAGCTGATGGGAAATGTTCAACAATTTTCTCAGCTATCTTTTGTCCAGGACACTTTTCCACAGTGTTGTCTCTGAAGTTCTCACATGCTGCATAGTAGCCAGCTATGATACGGTTGTCCGATTGAGCCATAGTTTCAATCTGAAATGTTTTTTTTTAACAAATAAACACTGAATAGTTGTAGTATCTTCTCTATTGGTATATACTAGAAGGATACCAGTGAGATATGACAGGTGAAGATGAAGTCAGATTAATCAGCCCATTGTATGAATGAATGAGTATACTTTATTTGCATTATACAATATAGGAAATAAACAAGACAATTTACAAACATAACGATACAATTGTATAAGTACAGTAAGGCGGTCTTATTGCTGATAGCAATCTTTTCAAGACAACCTTAAGGTAATGGACTAATTGTTGTACAAGTAGGTATAATAGTGCTTTATAATTAAAAAAGCATCTTTTGCAAATTAAAAATATATAAAAATTTATACATATATACATACATATATATACATACATATACATATCAATCAAACCATTGTAATAAATTCATAAGAACTTAATCACAATAGTTTTCAGGGGGAATACATGGAGGTTGCATATTGTTAGCTATATTTATTGAATATAATTTTCTTTATTGCTAAACATTTTTTTTAACATTTATTTATTGAAACCATAAAAATTTGTTACAAATTACAAAAGTAGGGTAGTGTATGATAACAGCCACATTAGTTAAAATAACTGTGGGGCTGTGAACACCCACCTTTTCAAGGCAGAGGTGCTAGCCTTCCAGTAGAATAAATATTACTGACAATTAACTAAAGTTAGTGTTAGCATATAGCGTGTACATATAGCACATATATATATGCCTAACATACATATAAACATTTAGACATTTAGTTTTACATTATATCATGTTAGTTTATTTATGTAGTTATTAACAATTCCTTCCCTCTCAAATGATTACCTCATTAGTACATAGGTATTTTTTTTAACAGAATGAAAATAGATTGGTATGACTGTGCAATCAGTATATATAGTGGGTTTAGGTAGCAAACAGTGGCAAATACAACAGAAATTATCCACAATGGTTTCAAAGAGGGTCTGCGTGGTGGGCCAATCTGATAGAATAACAACGGGAGCATTTCTTCATTACTAGTTGTATGTGAACCTTATTAAATAAATAAATAAATTACTAATAACCTATCATTTCTAGATAGGCAGGTCGGAGTGCAGTTATGACTAGCTATTAGCGACTTTAATACCTGTGTTAATGCAACTTCAGCCATAGGTGATAAGTTATGGCTGTGATGAAAAAGGGGAATGGTATCTACGATATCCAAGTCCTGATTTTTAGCTCCATCCCTGATCTTCGTTCCGTCGGCAAGAAGGACTCCATTTATAGCCGAATGCGGATACTTTGCCGCGTGCAAGATTATTTTAGCATATGCGGATGTCTCTAATGAAACTTCACCCATTGTTTAATTTGTTGTAATTTAAGCAAAAAAAATAACAAAATAGATCGTTCTTTGAGAATGTTAATTGTTTGCTGCTTTACATAGGTTCTTAGATATTTTTTAAATTCTCTCTATAATTGTACGCACTTTTTTGTTTTGATAATTTGATTTAATCTTTTATCAATTAATTTCAATGAATTTAAAACTAGAATCCATTACCAATTAGATAAAAATGGGAAATCGGTAATTAAGAAATTGACAATGACAATGACAAGTGCCTGCCTGTACTTCACCGATTAAGTCGGTACCACAGATTAGAGGTACATATCTACTGATGTCCATTCTGAGAAGCCGTTTCTCTAAATTTATTTCTAAAATTAAAATATTATTTTTATGTCACAGCAAAAATTTTACTCTTAACTTATATAAACTAAATTTAAACTAAACTAAACTAAATTTGCATATAAAAATACGGTTCATGATGGTAATAATTTTAAATTTTCATGAGATAGATTAAATACTGAAAGACGATGTAGTGACAAAAATTGAAAAAGGAATGTTGCGTTGGTTTGGTCATTTGGAGAGGATGGATGAAAGAAGAATTACGAAAGAGATTTATCGATCAAGAATGAATGGAGATGTCGGTAGGGGCCGCCCTAGACGGACGTATGTCGACCAAATAGGCGACGTGCTGAAGAAGGGCCAAATTAAAAGTACCCGTAACCGACGAGCGTGTATGACAAGATTGATGAATGTGGAAGAAGCGAAAGAGGTTTGTTTGAATCGAAGCATTTGGCGTTCCATTGTTTCTGCCTACCCTAATGGGAGACAGGCGTGACAGATATGTATGTATGTATGTATAGATTAAATAATGACACTTCAGAATCACTACGTTATTCTTCTGACAGTGACATTGTTAAGTTGCTCATGTCAATGTCATTATTTTTTTATATGCCTACCTACGTCAGCTGAGAAGAAAATGAAATTGTTTTTATTGTTTAAATTTATATAAATAAACATTACTATTAATCAATTAAATGTAATTTTTGATTTACGGATCATTTCATTACATTCTAATGGATAAGTACGATACATCACAGTTGACCGAATTTCCTCGCTTTGAGCCAGAATCAAATCAGAGTGGTGTGTCTACATTTTTTAACAAATTATGGAAATTTCCTATATTTTCACCAAATGATACTGGTGAGAATCTTCAGGATAAACCTACATCTGATGCGAAACAGGATGGTTCACAATCAGACGGTCAGAGTAAACGGGATGGTGATGATACGAAGACGGAAACTGGTAGTTATGCCGTGGAATTAGAAGGCCGTAGTTTGGCTAATGTTTTAAAAAGAATAAGCAGTCTTGTTGCATTAGGATCTGGGGTAAGTAGATAGATAGAGACTACTGTTTCCTCCAAAAGATTACAGTAGTAAACAATAGACAGCCTTATTACTAAAAGAGATAAGGCCGCTCATAACTATCGAAGTCATAATAATAAAAATAATAATAATAGCCTTTATTAACAATCTTACAATATAGTTATAATAATTTAGTTATTTGTTTGACACCGGTACGTGAAGATTGTCTTGCTGTCCAGCATAGGCCTCCCCTAGAGTTCTCCACTGAATGCGATTCTGCGCTTGTCTTTTCCAGGTGTGTCCCGCTATTTTTTTGATATCGTCTTCCCATCTACGACGCTGTCTCCTTTTTTTTTTCTTTTATATTGTCTCGGTACCACTCTGTAATATCCTTAGACCATTTTTCTTTATTTATTCTAACTATATGTCCTGCCCACCTCCATTTTAGTTTCTTGATACAGTAAGTAACATCCGTGAATTCAGTTTTCTTCCTTATAGTGTCCAGTTTTACTTTATCTCGAATTATCGAAGTCATACTGTACTATAAATATTTATGTAGTGAGCAGCACAGCCTTAAACCACACTCATGAATAAGGGCTCCTATTGAGTTATAAACTAGTATGGCAACCCCAAATTTAAAATGTGAATAAAAGCCAGTATAAATAATTACAATAAAGTGGTTATAGTATAGTATAGTATAGGGGTATACAGCATAGGGTCTGTTCAAGATTTTCATCCCATCTGGGTAAATTTTTTTTTTTAATCACATGATTGACCTCTGAGGTATGTCTGAATGTTGTAAATTGTGTCACCTCCAAATGTTATTTATATCTTGCTATTTACATCTTCTTTTACTTTCTTATTTCCTATATATTATATATATATATATATATATATATATATATATATATATATATATATATATATATATATATATATATATATATATATATATATATATATATATACTACTATATAACAATTTGTTCCTCCCATACTAATATGGTGCATTCAGCTGTTAAGTATAGAAGCATCTTTTTATTGATATTCATTTATTTATTTTTATTTATTTATTTAAGGCAAACACACCGCTAGAGCAATACATAATTACATACTTGAATAGTAATTTGACAGCCACTAAAGTTTGCACAAATGTATAATACAAGTGAAGGAAACACAAAATTAAACAATACTGTTGAAAACTACAACAACAATTGTCAATAATAATGCTCAAGTGTTAACACAGCCGTCCATTTTTTTAGAACAACACATTATTTGAGAATAATACCTATATAATTATTAAATAAAAAATAAAAAAAAATATGAAAATAAATTTAAATAAAAAAAAAAACATGTTTCTTTGATGAAAACAAACTTCACTCTTAAAAAGATGCTCATGATTACACCCTGTATATCCAATCACTATTATTATTATATGATAGATGCAAAATATAAAAATGTTCCCCCAGGGTGGCACGAGATATGCAGACACAGAGCTCGCCCGCTACTGGATGCCGGATGATATTTCCCGCGAGTGCTACGAGTGTGCGGCGCGGTTCAGCACTCTACGCCGTCGCCATCACTGCCGCGTGTGTGGCCAGATATTCTGCTCCAGATGCTGCAGCCAGAGAGTGCCAGGTACAGTTCATCCACATAATGTTTACAATCAGCATTATTGTCAATATTCTTTATGAAGACAATATGAACCTGACAATCCATCTGTTTCAGATTCAATTTAATGTGTGAATGAACTCTTTTTAATAGGGGGGAAAGGGATTGTTAGTAATGGAGACTGAGAGTCCCATTGCTAGCAATATACCCAACCAGGTTGACCTCCTCGCGGTTCTCCCTGGAAACTATCATGGTTAATTTCTGATTAATTCATCATGATGGGCTAACTGACCTGTTTTCATTCTCATCTTGATAGATAGATCTGGCGGAGCACCAGTGAAGGGATCACCCTTGCTCCGCCAGCGTATCCTGTCAGCGCAGGCGGGGTTACCATACCATTTAAAAAAAAATACTGGCCACTGATACTTTTTTACTATTAAAAATATAATGCATTCTATTCATTCTATTCTAATTTTGTAAAAAAAGAATGTTGATAACATAATAGGTATCTCGTCTTCTTTATAAATATATAATAGTTTAGCCCCATTTGTATCGCAATTATTGCAGTTTTCAACACCATCTGATAGAAAATGGTCACCGTAGCCTATAAACAAGAACCTAAAGAATCCAACTGAATGTTAAGGTGTTAAACCTATATTCATAGTTTGTCATTCCTGCTCTAAAAATAAAGTACTTTTCTATCTTAATTTTACATAATATACAAAGCATAATATAATATTTTAATATATTTTCACATAACAAAAATTAATAAAGGACTTAATAAATTAGTTACGTCCATAGTACTGCTCATGTGATGCTCACCTATAGTGACAGTTACCACTTTTCATCAGGTGGGTCGTCAGCTTGTTTGCCATTCTAAGTTGCATAAAAAAAAAGAAAATGATTTAAATTTAATGCATAAAGTTTGTTTTCAACCTTCTATATATTCAAAGTCTTCTTTTTTTCCTGATTTATATTTTATTTGGTGAAATCATTTTTGTATTCAGGACAAATTTTCGGTTGCGCGGACGGACTTCGTGTTTGCAACTACTGTTGTAATGTGGTGCTGAGTTATTTGAAAGAGAACGACATGACTGGCGATATATCACCGGACCTGAGGGTGTTACAGGAGAATTTGCAGGTTAACATTATTATTATTATTCAAATTAATTATATCAATGAAAAATAATATTTATTTACGTACTGCACGAGATGGCGTTTGTGAGACGTCGCCATATTTTGTACGATTATACCTTATAAAGTAAAAGTTGCCAGTAAGATCCTGGCATAGAATGGGTCACCCCTTCCTTCCCCTGGGTGTTGTATGAGATTTTAAGGATACTAAGGGATTTTAAGGATTGAGAAATGGGCAACAGTGTCACTCTTAAAACATCACCAAAAGCCAAACTACGGTTGCTAATTTGCCTGCCAAGTGTGGCAACTTAATAGAATCCTCTTTTATGGGTTAGGCCCATGTTACTAGTATAGTAATTTATTATCTGTGCCCTATGTTCAGCAGTGGACAGTTAATGGCTAATATGTCGTATATAATTATTATTTGAAGTCGGCGTAATATGTTTTTTATCCATATTACAAAAAGATTTAGCTTATAGTTTTACGACCGGCCGCCTGTCTGACGTCAACCCTTTTTGGCGTAATATGACATATAATAAAAGTAATAAATGATGCTAGTAAAAATATTATTTACTTTTAATTTCGCCTATTTTTCCTCCTCAAATATCGTTATAAAAAATGAAAATTTATGTCCTTGCACACAGTTCAAAGTATTTTATATTTAGAAAAAAAAATAAACTTTTTATCATGCAATCAATCTTTTCCTGGCTATTAACAGGCAGACAACATAGGCATATGGGGGGAGGGGGGAAGGGATTGATAGCAATGGAGTTTGACAGCCCCATTGCTAGCAATATGCTTTATTAGGTCGACCTCCAATTGGTTCCCCCTGGAAACCATTATGAACAATTCTTGTTGAATTCGTCACGGTGGGCTAACTGACCTGCTTCATCCTCACCTATCATCCTTCACTGGTGCCCCGCCGGTGTATACCGATAGCGCGGGTGGAGTTATCATTCCATTATCATCCATTAAAAAAAAAACATAGGCATATGGCCTAGGCCATGTGGGAAGTTATCAGTCTTTTCCTGATTTATATGTCCATCTCATCTAGAGTTGATTCCCATTGAGTATCTGTCTACATACAATTATAAGTAAAACAGTAAAAAATAGAGTAGAGTCATAAAAAAAATCACATCAATTTAAAAGGGCTTTTATGTAAACCAACTAAAAGTTTATGTTCTCTTTGCATTTCTATAAAATGTATCGTTCAATTTGTTTAGGTGAAATTCCCTGACAACAAATCCACTTCGTCGGCCAACATGGGTCGGGACAACTTCATGTTCTCGCGCGACCAAGAGGAACGCTGCGAGGTGCGCGCCACGCCCAGCGAGACTATACAGGATGTTTATCGACAGCTCTCATTCACTTTGCCCACACAGCAGCACAGGTATATATTTTTTTCAAACTTCAGATGTAAAATATGACATATTCCAGTTATTAGAAATGGGTAATATTCGATATTCTATTGCTAGCAATATATCCAACCAGCTCGACCTCCTCGCGGTTCCCCCTGGAAACTATCATGGTTAATTCCTGATGAATGCATCATGATGGGCTAACTGGCCTGTTTTCATTCTCATCGATCACCCTTCACTGGTGCTCCGCCAGCGTATCCTGTTAGCACGGGCAGGGTTACTATTCCATTTTCACCGGTCAAAAAAAAAATATCCGATATCTATATATCGAGTTCTGGACTTTGATGACCACCCATTGCGATATCGCCTATGACAGACAGATATCTATATTTATTACGAGCGGGTTCTTCTTTTCGATATTATATATTGGATAACCGTTAGATAATATATCTGTTATTGGGCCAATATATATATATATATAGTATATTACTGCGGCGGCCAACCAATGAGGCATTGATGGACGTACGTGCAAATGTGGCAAACTTTAAACTTGTGCCACATAATGCATAAAATCTTAAATTCAGTACCGACAGATGAATACTCAACCCGGTACACATTTTTTTTTTGCTGGGTGAAAATGGTATGGTAACCCCGCCTGCGCTAACGGGATACGCTGGCGGAGCACCAGTGAAGGGTGATCGATGAGAATGAAAACAGGCCAGTTAGCATATCATGATGAATTCATCAGGAATTAACCATGATAGTTTCCAGGGAGAACCGCGAGGAGGTCGACCTGGTTGGGTATATTGCTAGCAATGGGATTCTCAGTCTCCATTACTAACAATCCCTTTCCCCCCACCCGGTACACATTGAGATTTGAAATTTATGAGCGAGAAATTCCGAATCCTCTCATCTTCGATAGAATTTTATTAGTTTTTGAATTATTATTGTTCTTGTTTTTAATTTTTTTTTTTTATACAAGTTGGAATGGCAAACAAGCTGACGGCCCACCTGATGGAAAGTGGTAACCGTCGCCTATACACATGAGCAGTACCACGGACATAACAGAGTATACTGTTTCGCCCATGATACCCCCCATGCGTTGCCATTCCAGAGGACTCAGGTGTTATTCCTCTGTACCCAGTAAATTCACGCCATATCCCACCCTTCAAACCGAAACACAACCATGCAAACACAACTGCTTCACAGTTGAAACACAAATGAGACAGAGATTCCCAAGAAATCGACTTTTGTACAGTCTCCCAAAGTCTAAATATATTGCTATATGTTATCCACCCGTAAGTAATGTGCGTGTTTGGATTGTGATGTCGAAGAAAAGAAATTTAAAAACTTCAAATGTAAAATATAAAGTATTCTAATAGTTAAAAGACGTTTAAAATTTGTAGAACGTTTTAGTTTTTCAAATAAGAAGATTATTTTTTTATATAGATAAATATTGCAGGTCTCTTAAGGCGACGTGGTTTGAAATGAAGTGAGTTTGTGTGTGTGTGTGTGTGTGTGTGTGTGTGCCATTCAAGTTGTCAATACATATGTGTAATAATTATAAAGGCTTGCTCTATGTACAAATATTTGTAGTTAACTTGTACTATTTAGACGTAGTTAGCGGTGCTAGCCAGCGGCGGTCTTACCATTGCTCAGGCTCCGGGCTGTAGGTCTTTGCGAGGCCCTTTGTCCTTCATGAAAAGTATATGATGCGAAAGTAGGTCTGGTTGTTTGAATGAGGTATTTGTCATTTTGTCATGTAATATAATAATGACAAATAGTGACAAATATATATATATATATATATATATAGCGATATATATCCAATATATGATATATATATATATATATATATATATGTATGTATATATATATACGGTATGTATGTATGTATATATATATATATATATATATATATATATATATATATATATATATATATATATATATATATATATATATCAAATAATTGGAAATTTTTTGCTGACTCAAAAAAATAATGTCTTATTTTACATTTTTTTTTACAATTGAATTTTTTATTTGTATATTTTAGTGTTGTTAATTTTGTACATTCGCGATTAAAATGCCTCATTCAGGAAGTTTTTGCGACTTGCCACTAGACAAAATGCCATTCCCTGGTTGTTTAAAATTAGCTTAGATTGTTACGCGAGGCTCCTACAAGAGCAATGCTCCGGGCGATTGCCCTGTTCCCCACCCCTTAAGGTCGCCGCTGGTGCTAGTCGTACCCACGTGAAGTCTTAGATAGTTCTGTTAAAATAAATAAAGTTAAATAACAATAATAACTAGTCGTAGTTAATATTGTTCACTGTCGAACATAGGCCTTCCTTATAAGGAGGGTTTTGCCAGTAGTTGCCACGCTTGGCACAAGGGTTAGCAACCGCAGTTAGACTTTGGTGGTGTTTTAAGTGGGACGCTGCTGTCCATCCCTTAACCATTAAGTTTATTTAGTCGCCTCTTACGACATCTACAGGCAAGGAAGTGCTGACCCATTCGTCAAGTTATATTTTATAAGATTTTCTGTAATTTGTGTGTTTGCGCAGATATCGCCTTGTAAGGTACAACGGGGTATGGCGCGGATGCGACATACTGCAGTGGGTCATGGATAACACCAGTAATAAAACAAGGTATATAATAATATTTTATTTTATTCAATTTCATATCATATTTATAAAAATCGACTTCTTTATAAGCACTTATAAATCGTCATTTTTTTTAAATCTACTGTTTGGTTCGGAAAGTGCTTATTGAAAAGAGCTCGCAAGAAACTCAACAGTTACTCTTTTAAATCTCTGTTAACATTATGTGTATTTATTTAAATGTGCTATCTCTGAAATTACGTGGTCGATAAAAGCCCATGCATGATAGACTAACACCATGCACTTTTGTCATTCAAGTAATCGTTTAGTGTGTAACAGGCTTTGTTCAAAAAGTGTTTTTAATAGCAGTTTTAAACTTATTAAAAGGTAGATCCGAAATATCCTTCGATATCTTATTATAATATTTAATACCCATTCCCATGAAAGACCTAGGAACTTTTTCTAAAAGATACTTCGGAACAGTAAGTTTAAATTATCTAGTGTTAAGATGGTTAAGATCGCTGTTTTAAAAAAACAGTTGAGAATTCTTGCATGTATACAAAATGTTTACATATATTATTAGCCGTTCCGCCATATTGTTTATTTGAATTTTAATAAACATATAATTTGAGTACAATCGTGTTTCGATTGTGTCTTAAACTTAATTCTAATCTGATATAGTTCGTGTAAATAATAAGTGTCTATCTATTTAAATGATATCTATGTATAATGCAATTGTATTTTATAATGTAATTATTATTTTTAATCAAAGTTTTATATAATTAATAATTACTGGTGAGCTGTAATACAGGTATCCTTATACCTGTCTCAGGCACCAGTCTCTCACAATTATATTTATAATTTGATTACCTTAATATAAGCATGTCTCATTGTATCTCACTGTGATGAATTGTGAAGAGAAATAAATCTATTTATTATTATTATTATTATAAATTTTTATACCTTATGATTGTGAAATATAACACACTACACTATGCAAATAAATGATTGTTAGATTGATTAAAAATAGTGTGACATCAATAATTTAATAAAGAATAAGAATAAGATAAAATAAAGATAATTAATGAGAAACAAACTGTCAAGAGTGTATGCGTGCATGCGTGTGTGCGTGCGTGTACGTGTGCGTGCGTGCGTGCGTGCGTGTACAGTGGTGGGCTGGCGCAGGGTGCAGGCGACGCAGGTGTGCCAGGCGCTGGTGGCGGGCGGCCACGTGGAGTGCGTGGCGGACCTGCCGCACTTCGCGGACTACGCGCTCTACCGGCCCACCGCGCCGCCGCCGCCGCTCGCCCTGCACCACCACCAGCACCACCAGCACCACCAGCACCGGCAGCCCTCGCGTTCGTATTCTCTCTGTATTCGCTTTATATTGTCACATCACTGCATCTTTACGCAGGGCGACGGTTAGCCAACCCCGCACCACTCACGACGTTTATTTATATTTATCTTTCATATATTTCTGACATATTTTTCCCACCAGCCGATACTATTTACAATAGTACCAGCTCGACCCGCCGGGTTCAAACTTACTTACGCACAGGAAGAACCCTGCGCAGTCAAAGCCCGGGCAAAAGTACTAACTCGAGGTCCGCATCTGCGTCCCCGTATGGGGATGTAGACGACCCTGTATTATTACTGTATCTTTTGTCTGAAGTGAATTTTATTAAAAAAAAAAATCTTTAAAAGTGGTATACGATTCTCATAAAAGATGTATAGAGTTTAATTTATTTATTTATTTATTTTACTGAGAAATAATTAATTTACATGTAAGATTTGTAAAAGATTTTAGTATTTATGAATAATGCTCTACTGCTCTTATTAAGTCATCAATTTTTTCTTAAATTAATCCCATGTACAAACATCGTTTATTTACAATTTTATTATAATTTACAATGATTATTGCAATGACAGCGGAAGATTCGAGTCGCCTTGTGGAGAGTACGTCGTCGTACTGCCTCGACTTGAATCTCGACAACAGTTCCGCGAGACTAATCAAAGCTCCCAGAACAGGTGTGTGACCCTCAATATTTGTCACTACGATATAACCAAGGGGAAAAGGATTGTATACATAGTATTAGGGTCTAGCAGCTGCATTAAGGGGGAAAGGGATTGTTAGTAATGAGGTTTAACAGACACATTGTTAGCAATGCACTCTCTCAGGTCACCAACTGACCTGCCTTCATGTTCACCTGTCACCCTTCACTGGTACCTCGCTAGTATACACCGATAACGCAGACGGGGTTACCATAAAAAAAAACAGCTCCATTACGAGCAAAATATCCCATCAGGTCGATCACCACGTGTTTCTCCTTGCAAACCATAGTGATTAATTCTTGAATTTGTCACAATGCGCTAACTGAAATGCTTTCATTCTCACCTATCAATTTCAAATTTAAATCATCTTTAATAAATTCAAATATATATTATTTCAAATAGACTTGTTTACAAGCACTTTTATATCTTCATTATTTTAAATCTACTGTAGGGTTCGGAACATTGTTATCTGTTGAGAAGAGACCTCAAGAAACTCAACAGTAACTCTTTTAAATCTCTGTTAACATTATATGTATTTATTTAAATGTACTATGTCTACAATTACATGGTTATTAAAAGCCCGTACTCCATTATCTCTCACTGGTGCCCCATCAGTGTATAACCAATAGTGCAGGTAGGGCAACCACTCCATTTTCATCCGTTAAAAAAAACTACATTACAACAGTGTTCCGTTTGGTGATGGACTCAAAGTCTAATAACTGTTCATTTTCATGTCCAAGATGACGTATTTGTTGATTAAAGCATAATACACCTATGAAATAGAAGGAAACCTCGAAATGAAATGTTATACTCATAGTCGGCGATAGTCACTTATCATCAGGTAAACCACATGTTCCTTTGCCCCCTGTGTCATAACAAAAACTAACATTTCAAATTCAAATCACAACATATTTTTTTAATTGAAAATGTATCAACCTCCTTATTTCAGTCGTTAACAATCCACTGCTGAACCTTCTCCATAAGAAGAGTTTTGCCAGTGGAAGGCGAGTTGGCAACCGCAATTAGTCTTTTTAGAGATATTTTAAGAGGGACGCTGCTCCTCATCCCTCTTCTGTTAAGTTCCTTCAGTCGCCACTGACGATACCCACAGGAAAGGAAGGGATGCCATATTCTATGTCTGGACCACAAGGTCATTTAACCTCTTAATTGGTGTTATTTGAAAAGAATTTTTAGAGTTAATGTAGGACTTTATTTTCAGAAGTCCAATCTTCGCCGTCCAGTGAAGAAGATAACCCAGTATTAGAGCAAAGTGAAGGTAACTTGCATCTTATGGTGATGTTTATTACCATAGAATATACACGTAACATCCAATGCAGTTCTCTCTCTTTTCATTTAACAGTTTCCTCCTGTTGGTGCAACTAATTTATGCGTTCTCTTCCAGCCAGCTCTATCTCATGCCATATCTTTGACCTCTACATACGACATGACACCTAGTGCTTGCTTTATCTGTCCCATGTCCCATGTCCCATTCCTCGGTCTTCTCCTTCCTCTTTTGCCCTTTTACTTTTCCTTCTGTTATGCTCTATAAAGAATCGCCATGTCGTATAAGGTGGCCCTGAAATTTTGCCTCTTCTATTCTCTGTTGTTTTATTATTGTTCTTTTCTCATTCACGCTTTTCAAGACATCCTTATTCGTTACTTTTTCTGTCCAGCTTATCCTTTCCATTATCTTTCATGTCAACATTTCAAATGCCTCAACTATCTTTCATTCCTTTTGCGTCATTATCCATGTTACACTGGATATTACGTCTGCTTAAAATATACCTATATCTGTCTAAACTGGCAACACTGGTATTGTCGCCCGTGAACAAAAATTCCTTTTGTGTATACATAAGGCATAAATTATACAGTAATTTCTCATCTCAATCATCATTCATCATCATTTCGACCTCCCCCATAGACTGCCATAAAGAACAGTTCTGAGCCACCTGCATCCACTGACTCCCTGCAACGCATTTTAGGTCGTCGCTCCATTTAGGGGGGAGGGGTCGTCTTACACTGCGTTTGCCCATACGTGGTTGTCACTCAGGAATCTTTCTTCCCCTTTTAAAATTTATAATATCATCCCTAAAACCCTAAAAGCTTTTAAGGGGTTTACTGTGGCCTGTATAAAAGGTACGCTGAGGAGTTTACCTCCATCAGTGATTAGTACTTAACGTCCAGGTGATACAGAGTCGAGCAAGTTGTGCAAAGCTATAGAGGAGTCCGGCGAGGACCACCTGCGGCTGCTGATGCGGCAGTGCGTGGCGCGCGAGGGCCTGGCGCCGTCGTGGGCCGACGTGCTGTACCCGCTGTGTCAGCGCGCTGCCGAAATCATCACGCTTGGTTCGCACACATTACATAACTAAATCTATTAATTTAGAGTTAGATATCCTAAGATAACATTTGGGTTCCCAAGAACATCATAAACTTGCATTACCTATTTATACTAATTGATGTCATGATATGACGTCACTCAGAATGTCATACGTAAACTAAACGTGTTATGTAATATATGAGCAACTGAACAACGAGTGGGTCACAGTGTGCGTGCGCGTACGGTTGCGTTGCAGACATGAGCAGTAACGACATGGACGTGCGCAACTACGTGCAGGTGAAGAAGGTGCCCGGCGGCGAACCGCGCGACTCGCACCTCGTGCACGGCGTCGTGCTCACCAAGAACGTCGCGCACAGGTACCGCATCCACACCCACGCCCACGCCCACGTCTACGTCCACACACACACCCATCCACATACGCACCCACATCCGCATCCACACCCATACACGAACTCACGCCCACACCACACACATGCCCATACACGCATCCACGCACACACATGCACCCACGCCCATACCCACATCCGTATCACGCGTCTTGAGCAAAGCGCTAGCGAGTTACACAAATTACGCCTCGCATATATTTGTTGAAATATATAGTTTTTATTAATAAGTATATATTGCGAACATTTCAGAGGCATGCCCCAAGAGATAAACAATCCTACGGTGCTTCTGTTAGACTGCTCAATTGCGTATCAGCGGGTCGAGGGCAAGCTCACTTCGCTAGAGCCGGTCTTATTGCAGGTAATTTAATTTTGTGATACTTTTACTATGTAATTTTTATAGTAATAACACAATTATGGTTTGATTTAAAGGAGAATAATTGATGGGTTGTGTAACTATTAATAGTGTTCATATATACGTGTCATATATTTATTTTCTATTTTTGTTGTCTGAATATAAATTAATTTATTTCATATAAATATATGATAGTCAAATTTTTTTTTGTAATATATGTATACATAAACATTATATAAATATTACATAATGTGCAACATATATATCCGGTTCGAAGGATCATAAAGAAGAAGAGATTTCTTTTACTGAATTAGATATTATTTTGAGGAAGTCCATATGATTGGTTAGCTGATTAGAATCGTTTTATTTAATTTTAACACTAGGCTTCGAGAAGCGATTTATTAATTTGCCCAAAGATACCTCGTAAATTGGTAATACACGTGTCACAAAATTTACGCGGACGGAATAGCAGTCGAAGATTGATGGCTAATATGGGAGGTTGTAAAAGTTCTGGCATTAATAATACTAGTCACTCTTCGAGCATCGGCAAACGTACGCATACTAATGGTAGCGGAATTAAATAAAATATTTTTTTCTCAAACATGCTTGGAAATGTAAGCATTATTTTGACAATCTTCTTCGAGATAAATAAAAATTGCCTTACGGGTCAGATACATGCGGGCAACGGTCGGCAAAAGTTGTATGAAAATTCATATCTGTCGTGTTTTGCGGCCAGATAAATTACTATATAAACTCATATCTGTCCTGTAATTTAAAAATGGAATGACCTTTTACTTCGAAACATGGCTACCAAGGAGGTAACTAATAAAAGGTTTTATTTAAATTTCGAACTGGCTTGCAAATAGGATGCTGTTTATTAAAAAAAAAAAGGAACATTATGGCGCGTGAAAAATTATTATTGTTCGTTATTCGTCATTGAATTTAAAAAGTAAAATTGTGTTTTTGATCTCCGCGCATTGTTTGAGAAAAGTATTATACAAGCCTCGGCCACAACTAGGCACTGATGTACTCACGTGTGTGTGTCTCGGCTACGCCTCGGGCCACATATGCACGTTCGTCCATGAATGCGAGAGTCGGTGGCCGCTGCAGCTGCAGTGGCGGCGTGACGAGGGGTTGAATGTGTGCGGTGGCAGGAGCAGCAGTACCTGGTGCGGTGCGCGGCGCGCATCTGCGCGCTGCGGCCGCGCGTGGTGCTGGTGCGCGGCGCGGCGGCGCGCGGCGTGCAGGACGCGCTGCGCGGCGCGGGCGTGGCGCTGGCGGCGCGCGTGCCCGAGCGCGCGCTGCGCCGCCTGGCGCGTGCCGCGCGCGCAGACCGCGTCGCCTCCGTCGACGCGCGCATCGCCGCGCCGCGCCTCGGCACCGCGCGCCGCTTCCGCGTGCGCGCCTGTACGTATGCACTCTCTACTGCATCTACTGCGCTAGTATGGTCTTTTTAATAGGTGATAGTGGAATGATAATCCCACCAGTACCAGTGAGGGATGATAGGTGAGGATGAAAAGGTCAATTAGCCCATCGTAATGAATACACTTGGAATTCGGCACGATGATTTCCACAGGGAGCTACGTGGAGATTGACCTAGTTGGGTATATTGCTAGCAATAGGACCCTTAGTCTCCATTATTCACAATTCCTCCCTCCCCCGCACTAGTATGATTAACAACACAAGTTTCAGAAACTGGATTCAATTTCTGAAATTTGCGTGTATTGCATGATAACAAGCACTAAATAGTTTTCTTGATTGATATATAGCAATAGTAGTTAGATAATACAAAGTTCAGCTTTTCGCTGTTATTATATGTAATACCTAACTCATACATCCGGCTCGAAGGACAAAACATAAAAAAGTTATAGATAAAGTTTCAGAAATTTGTCATATTAAACTACTGTTTGTTAATTTATTAAAATAAAATATTTATTATACTTTCTTTGTTTCTTTGTTGCAATTGGCACACAAAAGCTTAACAAGCTCTAATTAGTTAAAATTATTGTAAACTTCCCAATTTCCAAAATATCACTTATACATTAAAACTTATAGTAATTAACCAATTTTCTCGCCCTTCTTTTCTTCTTTAAAATAATGTATATTATTTTTCTATATTCAGATGATAGCAAAACCCTAATGATTCTGGAAGGCTGTGCAGAACCTCACCTAGGCTGCTGCATTCTTCTCCGCGGGGGTTCTTTACAAGAATTAATCAGAGTGAAGAAAGTAACGAAATTCATGCTCCTAGCATGCTATAACTGGAAATTAGAGAAAGCATTCCTCGCAGACATAGAAGCCACACTACCCGAACCCGGAATGACATTTGACGACGATGCAGACACAAATTCTAATGACAAAAATGATTTTACGAAAAGTAAAAATGACAAAGACGAAGCCACTGCAGTGAATAATGATATATTTAGCACTGATGATACACAACCTAATATTGACGTTAATGAATCTTCTGTTAATGATTTAACTGATAATGACACTGAAAAGTCGGATGTGAATAAAATCTCTAGTGGCAATGACTCAAACAGTAATGAAAATAATGATTCTAACAAAAAAATTGTCAGTGATAATGATGCAAATAGTAATGATAATGATTCGAATAAATCGAAGTTTCGAGAATTTGATGATCCATTGCAAAGAGCTAAAACGTACGCTCGTAAGACTGACAGTGAGAAGACATTTAGTGGCGTACCAATACAAGATTTCAGTGATCCATTGCATTCAACTTTGTCTGTAGACGACGATGTGTTTCTACCGAAGGAGGAGGCCAAGTTGAAGGCTGATAATCACACTGATAGGTCAGTATATTATTGATATTTTTTATCTATTAATTTATGTGTCTAATGACGTTTTATGGTAAGGGTTTCATCACTATCTCGTCCCAATTTTATTCAATTTCAGAGAAAGATCAACACTTATAGAGGCATGATTGCTATAAGTCTGATTATAAATGAAAACTACTATGAAAATTCGAATACTCATACAAATTTCCCAAAAGGAAAATAAAAAGTAAATTTGTGTATTAGTTTCGAATTTCGAAATTTTAAACAATATGTGAAAGTATGTCTGGAACTTGATGAGATCCAAATACATTGTGCTTTATTGCACATGTCCGAGAATTGACAGTGCTTTGTAAAGAGAACGCTCTGTGTTTAAATAAATGCTATTGTATGTTCCATGTTAGTATTTTGTGATTTGCGTGCTGTTACTGTGGAGCACTCGTTTATATATATATATATATATATATATATATATATATATATATATATATATATATATATATATATATAATAGATAAATAAATATAAAAAGTTTTACTGAGCAATATGTGTAGGGAGGGTAGAGGTATTGGTACGAGGTCTGTCCGGAAAGTTCGTATAAAAGTGTTCTGGAATGCGAGAAAGAGAGTGGGGAGGCCAGGTAAGCGCAGGACCCCTTCCTTATGTCCCTAACAATGCTTCAGTTCTGGTCTGACCGCCGTGCGGTGCGAACTGGCTTGTCACGCCATCTGTGAAGTTACCTCTTAACGAAACCCCGTCGGCATGGAGACGTGGTGCTTCCGTTGAAGAGCAGCGCGTCGTAATCAAGTTTCTCTCGAAACTCGGCAAGAATGGCCGTGAAATTTTTGCCGATCTCAGAACAGTTTATGGGGATGATGCTGTGAAGGAACCAACCGTCCACAAGTGGCTAAAAAGATTCAGAGAGGGCCGCGCGCGTTCAAGATGACCCACGTTCAGGACGTCCTTCCACTTCACATTCCGACGAAAACGTGGAAAGAATTCGAACTTGTGTTAATGGGGACCGTCGTTTAACGGTCAGACAGGTGGCTGAAGAGCTTAATTTGGGCAAAACCGTGGTCCACGAAATTCTAAGAAACGAACTTCAAATGAAAAAAATTTGCGCCAAGATCGTTCCCAAGCTTTTGTCCCCGGATCAAAAATCACGAAGAGTTGCTTGCTGTGAGGACTGGTTGGAAGCCGAAGAGAATGGTGACTTTTTGAACCGAGTCATCACTGGAGATGAGTCTTGGTTCTACGAATTTGATGTCGAATTAAAATCCCAAAGCAAAGAGTGGAAGACATCCGGGGAACCACGAACAAAAAAATCAAGAAAACGCTCAAATGTCAAGACAATGTTGATTGTTTTTTTCGATGTTCGGGGGATTGTCCATCAAGAATTCGTCCCTCCAGGCCAGACAGTTGATGGAAAATTCTACGTCGATGTGCTCAGACGCCTCAAAGCTCGTGTGGCACGAGTTCGTCCAGAATTGGCGCGAGAGGGGCGTTGGATTCTTCACCACGACAATGCCCCTGCCCACACCTATCTTGTTGTCCGTGAGTTTTTGAGTAAAAATTCCATTACGGTGACCGAACACCCCCTATTCGCCGGATTTGGCCCCGTGTGACTTCTTCTTTTTCCCAAAAACCAAATTGGTACTTCGGGGGCGGCATTTGGGGGACATAAATGAGATAAAAAAAGCTACGACGGGGCAGCTGAGAAACCTACAACCAGAGGACNTTCAAGGAGCCTTCTCACAGTGGAAACGGCGTTGGCACAAGTGCATTATGTCACAGGGGGAGTACTTTGAAGGGGATAAAATTGATTTACCTGAATAATTGTAAAATAAAATTTTTAAAAACTTGCTTTTATGATGTACTTTCCGAGACAAACCTCGTATTGTAAAGAGAGAGAGCAGGTGGTCGACGGACGACGTGGTGCTGTCGATGTCGCCCAACGTGGTGATCCCGGCGCCGTACCTGGCCACGGAGGCGGGGCGGCGTTGCGGGCTGCGCCAGTACCTGCGCGACGCGCTGCACGCGGCCGCGCCCGCGCCGCGCCCCGCCACGCCGCGCGCGCGCCGCGTGCCACACGCGCCGCAACATGCGCACGCGCACGCCCACGCCCACGCGCGCCCGCCCACGCTGCTCACGGTACTATACCAGTGGAGCTTGACAGCCCCATTGCTAACAATATGCCCTATTAAGTCGATCTCCACGGGGTACTAGAAACCATTGTGACTAATTTATCATTGAATTCGTCACGATGGGCTAATTGAACTGTTTTTTCATCTTTACCAATCATCCTTCACTGGTGCTCTGCCAGTGTATACCGTTAGCGCAGGCGAGGTTAGCATTACGTTATCATACATTAAAAAACCATCCACAGAGAATTCATCTTTACACACTAGAACCTAAATTATTGAGTACAGTGCGATTTCTGAAGAGCTTCCTTCCAAGAACGCTCAAACTGTAAGGTGAGTAGTTAGTTGTTTGCTAAAATTTTCCACTTTTTTCAATGTAATACGCCGCACTCAGTAGGCAGGTCTCATTGACTAACCTCGTTGATAGATATTGATGCTTGATCAAAGGTACACTGAATATAGCACTAGCCATAGAAAATTCGTTGCTGCAAAGACCGGATTTATTAACATATTTACAGGAGCCACACCCGTTCATCCGAGATCCTATAACTGCGTCAGCAGACGATCCCGCAGTGAAGGCAGCTCTCGCAAACTACAGGGCGACCGGCTGTAGGCTGGTTTATAACGGACATAAGAGTGAGTTTTTTCTATCAAGTATAATGTAATGTAAGTATAGTACGTACGTAGTATTCAAACATACTGACAGCCCACCTGATGGGGAATAATAACTATCGCCTATGGACATGAACAGCATTATGAAATCCGGCTCGAAGGACTATGTAAGATTAATTACACCACGCAATTAACGAAGATGCAAAAGCAGTCACTGACAAAAAGTATAAGATTTATTGAGTACTCTTAAATTAATATTAATGTTACCAAGGGTATTCTTGCTATGCTATGATGTGCATGAGAAGACAGAGAAAGAGAGAGAGAGTATACTGTCACCGTACTAAGTAATTTCACTGCCATATCCCACCCTTCAAACCGTGTGTTCAATTTCAGCCGAGTGTCCTTTATACGAGCCAAGTGTTGTGAAGAAAGCATCCAAAGAGTTGGAAGTGGAAACGAAGGAAAAGCAGAATGAGAGCGAGCCCCTCGACCCACTGGCCCCGGAGAACCACCAGCGGATCAGCCTGCTGCTGTACAGTTACAGCAACAAGTCGGCCAATGTACCAGACTTCTGTGTCAATCCCTGGTATGTATCTACTTTTTTTTACATGAAGACTGATATATCCCAAATTAATATGATCCTATTGATAATCGTAAATAAAGAAGTAAAAGAGTTATCATTGTCTATGGAATCATATAATGGAATTGTCATGGGCTCTGCAAGCCTGATGAAATTTTCTATACGATTCATTACGATTGAGTGGAACACGTTACTTCAAAATGTTTTTCATTGTAAGATCTCAAAACTAGAAACTTAAAGCTTTAAAATTCTTTTTTTTTTTTTATTTCTGTACGACCATTTTTAAGGGAAATACAGCTACTTGAAAAACCTGAAAAAATTTGGGATTTTTTTTTATCCCTTAACTTTTTCCTCTAGTGTATTATCGCCATCTGTCAATGTCTTTGGTCCATATGAAACGTTCGATTGAATATTCAGGATCGTCACAATGGATATGTACGGACGCCACGACATATCTTTGGGCGCATTCCTGCAGAAGTACTGCTTCAATCCGGACTACAAGTGTCCCTCCAGCAACTGTCAGGTGCCGATGAACCAGCACGTACGGAAGTGAGTCGCATCTGATTTCCTTCTCAAACGTACATGAAATATATATTTTTTTTGCAATGAAAAAGTTAAGTTGTGTATGAAGATCAGGTCTTTGGCACTTGATTCTCTGCGCACTGGCATTAAAATAGAAACCCCCTTTTTATGCAACTCAGAATGGCAAACAAGCTGACGGCCCACCTGATGGAAAGTGGTAACCGTCGCCTATAGACATGAGCAGTACCATGGACATAAGAGGGTATACTGTTTCGCCCATGATACCCCCTATGCGTTGTCATTCCTGAGGACTCAGGTGTTAGTCCTCTGTACCTTGTAAATTTATTACCATAATCCACCCTTTTTTTTAATATTTGTGAACACAGGTCAAAGTCAATAGAATATTTAAGATTATTTTCAAGATTCTGGCCCAATAGGAAAAAAATATAATAAAAATACAGTACATAGGTCCTCTCAGACATGTTTTTGTGAAGCTATATTGGTATTCTAAGGTGTATAGCAAGCAATTCTGAGGTAGGCACAGTCACGCCCAAGGTCCTCACATGCTATAGTAATATTTTTAAATACACGATGCGGACTTAACGCGATGGAAAAGCTTTTTACAGTCGTTCACTTCAGTCCCGTCGTGAGCACGACGTGGTGCAATCCACGTGGAAACGTCGTCAATAAAGAAGCAAGTATGTCGCGTACATCGTGTTAAGTCTTGATTGTGTATTTAAAAATATGTATAAACAACGCGAAAGTTCAAAATTAACTTTCATCATTTCAACCATTATCCGTCCACTGCTGGACATAAGCCTCCCCCATAGACTGCCATAAAGAACGGTCCTGAGCCACCTGCATCCGCTAACTTCCTGCAACGCATTTCAGGTCGTCACTCCATCTAGTAGAGAGTCGTCCTACACTGCGTTTACCCGTACGTGGTCGCCTCTCAAGAACCTTTCTTCCCCATCGGTTGTCGTTTCTTCGAGCTATGTGACCAACCTATTGCCACTTCAGCTTGCTTATCCTAAAATTATGCTGCAGTAAATTATGAAAGTGTGTAATACATTTTGTTTTTTTATTAGATTCGTGCACGACGATGTGTGTATCACAATCACGTGTAACACAATCGGACACAGTAACGTGGATAAAACGAAAGAAGAGTCCAATAAACAGGTCAGTTGCTTCTAGAACATTCTTATTATGTTACTTATTATGTACTGATGCTCACTTGGGCGTATTGGGAAACTGTAAAACTCACTTAGTTGATAAAGTAAATAAATTTGACGACAGTGGCGACAAAATTCAAAAAATTCAAAATTCAAAAATCATTTATTCATGTAGGACATTTTAGCCGCTTATGAACGTCAAATTTTTACATTATAATTTTATATTTACCCTACCGTCCAGTTCGGTATATAGATCCAATTGAGAAGAACTGGCAAGAAACTCAATTGAATTACTTTTTTTTTAAAGCCAGTTTATTTACAATGTATATTTATATAGGTGTCTATGTCTAACATTAAATAAAAATTCAGTGCATGAACAACTATTGCCATGCACACTCGTCATTCAAGTAATCGTTTAGTGAGTAATAGGCTTTGCTCAGTAAATATGATTTAACAGATGTTTTGAATTTATTTAAGGGTAATTCCAACATATCCTTTGGTATCTTATTGTAAATTTTTATACCTATTCCCATAAAAGACCTATTAACTTTTTCTAAACGATACTTGGGGACAGCAAGTTTGTCTTTAAATCTAGTATTAATATTATGAATATTGCTGTTTTTTGGAAATAAGTCAAGATTTTTATGAACATATAGAATATTTGAATATATAAATTATAGACACAACGGTGAGAACATTTGCCTCTTTGAATATTCTCTCTTATATATATATATCTTCATACAGTAGATCGCTCGAACGGCACGTTTTTGTAATATGAATATATTCTTAATATCTGCCGCTTTTCCACATAGTAATATTCCATAAGAGAGTAAACTATGAAAATAACTAAACTAGACTAATCTAGCAGTATCAGTATCAGTGTACTGTCTAACTTTACGCACGGCAAAAGCTGCTGAACTTAGTTTCGCTGCAAGGCTTTGAATTTGTGCACCCCATTGTGTTTTATTATCTAGTGTGATTCCTAGAAAGACAGTAGATTCTATAAATTCGAGAGATTCGTCATTTAATTTAATATTGCAATTAGTATACTTTTAGATAGAGAGAAATTAACACATTTTGTTTTTTTAGCGTTTAACATAAGATTGTTAGTTGTAAACCAGTGCAGGAGACGCCGCAAAGCACTATTTACATCGTCATAATTATTAGTCATTATATTAACTTTAAAAATCAATGAAGTATCGTCTGCAAACAATACTATGCCGCATCTATCCTGCATGGCATATGGGAGATCATTAATGTAAACTAGGAATAAAAATGGACCGAGAATAGATCCTTGAGGTACACCCATTTGCACAAAGTGAAAACGTAGCGTTGTTAATCTTCACTTTCTGTATTCTATCAGAAGATAAGATTTTATTAAATTTAAAGCATTGTCTTTGACGCCATAAAAAGCAAGTTTTTTTAGCAATGTATTATGATCAACGCAATCAAAAGCCTTAGAAAGGTCACAAAAAACACCTATCACATCCATTTTAGTTTCCCATGCAGCAAATACGTGTCTAAGCAACTCTGCACCTGCGTCTGTAGTTGAACGACCTTTGGAAAAACCGAATTGACTATTGTGGATTAAATTATTTAAATTGAAATAACTGACAAGTTGCATAAGGATTATTTTTTCAAAAATTTTACTGAGTGCTGGGAGTATGGATATAGGTCTATAATTTATTGGGTCACTCCTATCTCCAGACAAGTGTACAGTTAAGGTGTTTTTTTTTCTTTTAATGGTAACTTTACTCGCGCTATCGGTATACACTAGCGGGGCACCAGTGAAGGATGATAGGTGAGGATAAAGCAGGTCAGTTAGCTCATCGTGGCGATTCAACAAGAATTGTTCACGATGGTTTCTATTTGACGACTGTTTGCAAACAGGCCAATTTCCCCAGCAATGGAAAGTCGGTAGGCTCGTCTTGCTAGTGAAAGAAGGGCGCCCGTTGGATTCACCTTCGGCTTACCGCCCTGTCATATTGTTGGATGAGGCTGCCAAGCTTTTTGAACGCGTAATCGCTGGCCGTGTCGTTCAGCATCTGACACGGGTAGGTCCAGATCTCTCTCCATCGCAGTTCGGGTTTCGGGAGCGTCGGTCCACTGTTGATGCTATCGCACATGTAAAAGAGCTATCTGATGAAGCTGTTTCCCAGGGCGGGGTGCTTCTTGCGGCAAATCTGAATATCTCTAACGCATTTAACACCCTGCCCTTTAGTTGCATCATGGAGGGGCTACGATTTCATGGAGTGTCCCAGTATCTATATAACATCATTGGGGTCTACCTGGAGAACAGGGAGGTAATTTGTGTCGATCGCAACGGGCAATTGATGAGGCAGATCATGAAGTTCGGTGTTCTACAGGGTTCGGTTCTAGGCCCTCTTCTGTGGAATATAGGGTTCGATTATGTGCTATCGGATACGAGCCTAACGTGCTACGCCGACGATACACTAGCCACAGCTCGAGGGATGAATTATCGGGAAGCAGAACTGCGGGCCACTGCGACCACGGTTCTTGTTGTCAGCCGTATTCGACAGCTTGGTCTCAAGGTGGCACTGGAGAAGTCAGAAGCAATATGCTTTCATGGTTCGCGTCAGGCACCACCGGAGGGGTCCTACATAATGGTTGGCGGAATGAGAATTCTTATCAAGCCCACAATCCGCTACTTGGGTTTGACTCTCTCTAGAGAAGGTATCTCTAAATTCAAGCCAATGAAAATATGAACCGTCAAACATTGCAATTTGGATTTGGGGTAATTTAAAGCATAATTGTTGATGATTGTGATTACATTGAGACTCATGAAGAACAGATTCATGTCTCTGCTCATTTTGATATATATTAAATATACTGATAGCGCCGTTGTTTGGCCCGTGGGGCGGCGGCAGGTGTCGTTCTGGTCGCGGTGCGGCGCGTGCGGCGCGGCGCGCGGGGCGCGGGCGATGTCGCGCGCGGCGCTGTCGCTGTCGCTGGCCGCGTACGTGCGCGCGCGCGCCGCCGCGCCGCGCTACGTGCGCGCGCGCCTCTGCGCGCACCCGCTGCACGCGCACGCGCACGCCTTCGTCGCCGGCCTCACCACCGCCTGCTTCCGGTACGAGTAGTGTCTCCACAGAACTACATGTACTCGTACTTCATCTCGTACGTGTGTATACACATACGGCGCTGTCGCTGTCGCTGTCGCTGGCCGCGTACGTGCGCGCGCGCGCCGCCGCGCCGCGCTACGTGCGCGCGCGCCTCTGCGCGCACCCGCTGCACGCGCACGCGCACGCCTTCGTCGCCGGCCTCACCACCGCCTGCTTCCGGTACGAGTAGTGTCTCCACAGAACTACATGTACTCGTACTTCATCTCGTACGTGTGTATACACATACGGCGCTGTCGCTGTCGCTGTCGCTGGCCGCGTACGTGCGCGCGCGCGCGCCGCCGCGCCGCGCTACGTGCGCGCGCGCCTCTGCGCGCACCCGCTGCACGCGCACGCGCACGCCTTCGTCGCCGGCCTCACCACCGCCTGCTTCCGGTACGAGTAGTGTCTCCACAGAACTACATGTACTCGTACTTCATCTCGTACGTGTGTATACACATACGGCGCTGTCGCTGTCGCTGTCGCTGGCCGCGTACGTGCGCGCGCGCCTCTGCGCGCACCCGCTGCACGCGCACGCGCACGCCTTCGTCGCCGGCCTCACCACCGCCTGCTTCCGGTACGAGTAGTGTCTCCACAGAACTACATGTACTCGTACTTCATCTCGTACGTGTGTATACACATACGGCGCTGTCGCTGTCGCTGTCGCTGGCCGCGTACGTGCGCGCGCGCGCCGCCGCGCCGCGCTACGTGCGCGCGCGCCTCTGCGCGCACCCGCTGCACGCGCACGCGCACGCCTTCGTCGCCGGCCTCACCACCGCCTGCTTCCGGTACGAGTAGTGTCTCCACAGAACTACATGTACTCGTACTTCATCTCGTACGTGTGTATACACATACGGCGCTGTCGCTGTCGCTGTCGCTGGCCGCGTACGTGCGCGCGCGCGCCGCCGCGCCGCGCTACGTGCGCGCGCGCCTCTGCGCGCACCCGCTGCACGCGCACGCGCACGCCTTCGTCGCCGGCCTCACCACCGCCTGCTTCCGGTACGAGTAGTGTCTCCACAGAACTACATGTACTCGTACTTCATCTCGTACGTGTGTATACACATACGGCGCTGTCGCTGTCGCTGTCGCTGGCCGCGTACGTGCGCGCGCGCGCCGCCGCGCCGCGCTACGTGCGCGCGCGCCTCTGCGCGCACCCGCTGCACGCGCACGCGCACGCCTTCGTCGCCGGCCTCACCACCGCCTGCTTCCGGTACGAGTAGTGTCTCCACAGAACTACATGTACTCGTACTTCATCTCGTACGTGTGTATACACATACGGCGCTGTCGCTGTCGCTGTCGCTGGCCGCGTACGTGCGCGCGCGCGCCGCCGCGCCGCGCTACGTGCGCGCGCGCCTCTGCGCGCACCCGCTGCACGCGCACGCGCACGCCTTCGTCGCCGGCCTCACCACCGCCTGCTTCCGGTACGAGTAGTGTCTCCACAGAACTACATGTACTCGTACTTCATCTCGTACGTGTGTATACACATACGGCGCTGTCGCTGTCGCTGTCGCTGGCCGCGTACGTGCGCGCGCGCGCCGCCGCGCCGCGCTACGTGCGCGCGCGCGCGCCTCTGCGCGCACCCGCTGCACGCGCACGCGCACGCCTTCGTCGCCGGCCTCACCACCGCCTGCTTCCGGTACGAGTAGTGTCTCCACAGAACTACATGTACTCGTACTTCATCTCGTACGTGTGTATACACATACGGCGCTGTCGCTGTCGCTGTCGCTGGCCGCGTACGTGCGCGCGCGCGCCGCCGCGCCGCGCTACGTGCGCGCGCGCCGCTGCGCGCACCCGCTGCACGCGCACGCGCACGCCGTCGTCGCCGGCCTCACCACCGCCTGCTCTGCGCAGAACTACATGTACTCGTACTTCATCTCGCGTGTGCACGCGCTGTCGCTGGCCGCGTACGCCTTCGTCGCGCGCGCCTCTGCGCGCACCCGCTGCACGCGCACGCGCACGCCTTCGTCGCCGGCCTCACCACCGCCTGCTTCCGGTACGAGTAGTGTCTCCACAGAACTACATGTACTCGTACTTCATCTCGTACGTGTGTATACACATACGGCGCTGTCGCTGTCGCTGTCGCTGGCCGCGTACGTGCGCGCGCGCGCCGCCGCGCCGCGCTACGTGCGCGCGCGCCTCTGCGCGCACCCGCTGCACGCGCACGCGCACGCCTTCGTCGCCGGCCTCACCACCGCCTGCTTCCGGTACGAGTAGTGTCTCCACAGAACTACATGTACTCGTACTTCATCTCGTACGTGTGTATACACATACGGCGCTGTCGCTGTCGCTGTCGCTGGCCGCGTACGTGCGCGCGCGCCTCTGCGCGCACCCGCTGCACGCGCACGCGCACGCCTTCGTCGCCGGCCTCACCACCGCCTGCTTCCGGTACGAGTAGTGTCTCCACAGAACTACATGTACTCGTACTTCATCTCGTACGTGTGTATACACATACGGCGCTGTCGCTGTCGCTGTCGCTGGCCGCGTACGTGCGCGCGCGCGCCGCCGCGCCGCGCTACGTGCGCGCGCGCCTCTGCGCGCACCCGCTGCACGCGCACGCGCACGCCTTCGTCGCCGGCCTCACCACCGCCTGCTTCCGGTACGAGTAGTGTCTCCACAGAACTACATGTACTCGTACTTCATCTCGTACGTGTGTATACACATACGGCGCTGTCGCTGTCGCTGTCGCTGGCCGCGTACGTGCGCGCGCGCGCCGCCGCGCCGCGCTACGTGCGCGCGCGCCTCTGCGCGCACCCGCTGCACGCGCACGCGCACGCCTTCGTCGCCGGCCTCACCACCGCCTGCTTCCGGTACGAGTAGTGTCTCCACAGAACTACATGTACTCGTACTTCATCTCGTACGTGTGTATACACATACGGCGCTGTCGCTGTCGCTGTCGCTGGCCGCTTATTTAAATATAATATTATGTGTTGTTTTAGCTGTTTATTTGCCTTAAATATATATAAATATAAAATAAGTCAGAATGTCTCAATACAATTACATGATAAACCTCACAGGTTGGTGTGACCAAACACGTAACAATCAAGTCTTATTTAGTTGACTAATACATCTCAAATTAGTATATATTCGACTATAACATCAAACTCACATTTTAAATTATCCCACTGTCATATTTGTAATATTAACATTTTTCTTTCCAGATACAGTAAAATAGAACCCTACGATATACAGCTGCCACCCGAAGTGATATACACAAACTACGACACTAAACAAATGCGGGATGCGCTTATACAGCAATTGAACGACCTTATGCTTAAAGGTATTATATAATTGTTTTAAACAACGCCATCTAGTTCCAAATTAATTAAAACTTGTACAGTTAATATTAGGCAACTATTTTAATGTATTTTAAAACTTCTGACGCCTTTAAAAAGCTACTTTATCAACGAATACGTGGGCAGTATGGATCATTAGTTATGTCCACCATATACTTCAGTAATTAATGTTTGCTTCACGTAGGTCACGAGACATTCAGCTGCTTGACCGACAGCGAGGCGGAGAAGGAGTACCAGTCGTTCAAGCAGCACACGGACCAGATCCACTTAGCGCTTACTTCCGCACAGCTGCAGGAGCACACCTCGCCCGCTGGTAAATATGTCCACTATCTAAATATTTATTTAACGCATAGTCACTGCAAACAGTCTGAAACAGTTCCTTTTTTATTGTATTACCGGAATAACAAAAAAGCACCAAAAGTGGCAACCATCACGTACACGACACATAAAAAATATACAAAATAATGTAAATAATACATGTAAATATTTAAAAACTACAATCTTTACAATCAGTCGTGTACTTGACTTTTTGGTCCTTTGAGCCGGATAGATAGCACAAAAATATCCCACAAACTGGCAAAATGTTGCAATGCTTAATTTTAATGATACATTAATTATTGTTTTTTAAAATGATAATTAGTATTGTATTTAGTAATTTTAGTGAAGAGTTTTATAATATTTGTATGCTCAAAAATATTATACATATAATAACATAGCGTCTTAACTTTTTTTATATATGTATAACATCATGTAATTTATTAATTGACTTGAATCTAACTACGGTCGCTTCACCATTATTTCTTCCATTCCAACTACTTTTGTGTTCCACTATGATGTGATGCGTGTTCCATTTGTCCCCAGCGGTGGTGCACAGCCTGTGGGCAGCGTCGGACCGGTTGGTGTGCGGCGAGAAGATGCTGCGGGACGCGCAAGACAAGTGGGCCGCCGCGCTCGCCAAGTCCGCCAAGGCGCACTCCGATAACGCTCGTTAGTATATTTACTACCATTACTAGTGTAGGAGGGGGGGGGGGGATGGTAGTCAGTAATGGGCTCTGACAGGTCCCTATAGATCTGACCCTTGCAGGTCCACCTTCGCATGTTCCTCCCTGAACATTATCCATGGTAAATCCACGGTGGACCATCTGATATGACTTCATCCACCAGTGTATACCGATACCACAGGCAGGGTAACAATTCCATTTTCATCCCTTTAAAAAAGCGACTACCGCTACTGATCTTGTAAAATATTGAATAATATTTAAAATAAAAAAAAAAATGACCCTTGATCTGTACTATACTGTACTGTACACATACTATAAGTACAGTACTATGAGACCTACGTAGGTTGTAGGAAAATAAATAGTGACGTTCTTGACAATCTCTTTTTTTTTATACAACTTAGAATGGCAAACAAGCTGACGGTCCTGACCTGATGGAAAGTGGTAACCGTCGCCTATAGACATGAGCAGTACCATGGACATAACAGAGTATACTGTTTCGCCCATGACACTCCCCATGCGTTGCCATTCCTGAGGACTTAGATGTTATTCCTCTGTACCCAGTAAATTCACGCCATATCCCACCCTTCAAACCGAAACACAGCCATGCAAACACAACTGCTTCAAGGTAGAAACACGAATAGGACAGAGGTATCCAAGCAATCGACTTTTGTACAAAGTCTCCCTCTGGTATATTATATATAGAAATATCATCAAGCCCACATTTACACTGGTGACTCCCTTTAGTACATGTATGAGATACAATTGTATTAATTTTATTTTATTCTATTCTTGTAATTTGAAATATTTGTGTTCTATATTTTTTGCAAATAAAGAATTGCCTGATTGGTTGCCCCTTTTAATTTTCAGCCGTCGAAGATAAGTCTGATCTGGAAGATTCCATCAGCGAAGGAGGTACAGAAAGCTCAGGTATTACAACATATTGTGGACATTAAATAAATTAAATTACATAAATAAACATAAAATAACATGTTTTCTAACTGCATTGGGTTGACTGGAAGAGATCTCTGTTAGAGATAATTCCACCCTTGCTCACAATATTTATAAAAGCATTAACAATGTAATTTACAAGTGCAATAAAGAATATATATATATATACCAACTTTAATCTTAGATTAAACAACTATTTTGATTAAAAAACTAAACCGTTGAACCGATTTTGATAAATTTTCTGTGAAATCAGTCTGAATGTATATCCTTTCAGGTAAACAAGTGTTTTTTTTTTTTCCAAATAGTTAAATATAATTTCCTATAAATAACGAAGTTTTATGGTAACAAACAGCAAAATAGAACCAAATTGTGTACTTTTTCCTTTTATAAAGTCGGTTGAGAGTATTATATCAAAGTATTATGGTTTAGCATAACATAGCATTTCACTTTTTTTGTACAACTTAGAATGGCAAACAAGCTGACGGCCCACTTGATGGAAAGTGGTAACCGTCGCCTATAGACATGAGCAGTGCCATGGACATAACAGAGTATACTGTTTCACCCATGATACCACCTATGCGTTGCTATTTCTAAGAACTCAGGTGTTATTCCTCTGTACTCTGTAAATTCACGCCATATCTCACTCTTAAAACCGAAACACAGCCATGCAAACACAACTGCTTCACGGTTGAAACACGAATGGGACAGAAGCGTCCAAGCAAACGATTTTTGTACAAAGTCTCCCTCTGGTACTTCAAGGAAAAGTGCTATCATTAAAACTGAGTGCTTGGTGAAAATGATTATAAGATTTGAATTTTTTCAAATGTACACGGCGCATTCAGTTGTGACGAGGGTTTTTTAACTTTAGTTTGACGAAGTGTTGCAACGTCGCAAGTAACTGCCAATTTTCTGTCAAGCTCGAGTTATGTCACAGCTACAGTTATGGACGCTCTTAATATGTGATAAAGTTTTGTCGCCTTTGAATATTTGGTTCTCGAATTTTCTATCCTAATAATTCTATAGCATAGATAGAGGGTATATGTCCGGCTAATAGCATCGAATCGGGGGGGAAGGGATTGTTAGTAATGGGGTCTAACTGACTCAATGCTAGCAATACACGCTATCAGGTCGACATCCACGCGGTTCCACCTGAAAACCATCGTGGTTAATTCTAGTGGAATTCGTCGCGATGGGCTAACTGACCTGCTTCATACTCACCTATCATCCTTCACTGGTGCCCCGCCGGTGTATACCGATAGCGCAGGCGGGGTTACGATTCCATTATCACCAATTAAAAAAAATCGAATCCACCCCGTTTGTTATTTGTCCCCTCCAAGTTACAATATGTTTTCATAGATTTAATTTCATACAGGAACAACTTACACCTTCACCGATAACAATACTAAGGAGGCGGAGAAAGATCACGCGGGTAAGTGGTATTTTTTTTAAGTTTTATTTTTAGAGTTTCGTACCTCCAAAGGAAAAAGCCTAACCCTTATAGGATCATTACATTATCCGTCTGTCAGTCCGTCTGTTTGTCACGATCCTTGTTCTTAGGAAAGCGTGGAGGTATCAAGTTTAAATTAATATCATATACCAGATCTGCAATCTGTTATAGCAGTGAAGAAATCAAGCTTCTAAGCGTGGCAACTACTGGCAACTCCCTCCCCCCCCCTCTCCCAGGGGGACGTTATGTCCAGCAGTGGACAATTAAAGGCTGATATGATGATAAGCGTATTGGGAGACTGTGAAACTCATCCAGTTGATGAAATACATAAGTGACAGGTGTTAATGCGATCGTTAATTCTCGTCTCTCATAAAAAAAAAAAAACACTCGGCGAGAAAGTGTAAAAGTTAATAAATACTATTTTGATTTAAAATCTAAATTAACGACGCAATTTTGATAAACTTTCTACGAGACCAATCTGTAAGAATATTCCTCCTCCCCATCTAATATTTGTGAACGTTTTAGTCGGTAGTCTCTTAATGGCATTAGGAAGCGCGTTCCAGACTCGTGAAGAATGTAGGAGAAAAGAGTTTGAAGCGTAACCAGTACGGTGAGAGGGGAATGATAATTGGAGAGTATTACTGGAACGAAGGTTACGATCGTGAGTTTCAAAAAGATACTGGAATTTACTGCTTAAGTAGTTCGGAGACTGGGAGTTTCGAAGACTGTAGAGGGTACAGAGAGTCCTAACGTTTCTGCGTTGACGAATGGAAAGCCACTTGAGTTGAGACCGATATAAAGAAATGTGATCGAACTTCCAGAGGTTGAAGATAAAGCGTATGGCTTGGTTTAGTAACTGGTTTTGTCACAACTGAAATAGTTTTTTTTTTTTTTTGGTGAAACACTAATTATATTATTTATATTTAAAGGCACCGAAGAAGACGAAGAGAAAGGCGACAAGAAAACAGTGAAGCAGATATTGTCACAACTGTTGTCGAGCAACCAACCGTCGCAACAGGTATGCTGCCGTGTGGCCCTGCCATAGAACGGGCCGCCACATCCTTTCCCGCGAGTGTCGTAAGAGGCGACTAAGGAAATTAAATAGTCGAGGGATGGGCAGCAACGTCCCTCTTAAAACATCTCCAAAGCCTAACTACAGTTGCCAAGTTTGGCACCTACTAGCAAAAACTCTTAGGAGGCCTGTGTTCAGCGGTTGTCAACCCGCCAGCCAAGCATGGTAATTACCAGCAAAACCGCCCTTTTGGGGGACGCCTATGTTCAGCGGTGGACAGTGAACGGCTGAAATGGTGATGATGATGAAATTAACAAAGAGAAAATATAACAAAACAATAACTGTTAAATCAGTAAATTTGTTAAATGTTGAAACCCAAACGATCGTAAACCCAATAGAGGGATTTTTTTTAATGGATGATAAATAAATACCCCGTCTCCGTATATTGATAGACATTTAGAGGGAGACTTTGTACAAAAGTCGATTGCTTGGGGACCTCTGTCCCATTCGTGTTTCAACCGTGAAGCAGTCGTGTTTGCATGGCTGTGTTTCGGTTTGAAGGGTGGGATGTGGCGTGAATTTACAGGGTACAGAGGAATAACATCCGAGTCCTCAGAATGGCAACGCATGGGGAGTATCATGGGCGAAACAGTATACTCTGTTATGTCCATGGTACTGCTCATTTCTATAGGCGACGGTTACCACTTCCCATCAGGTGGGCCGTCAGCTTGTTTGCCATTCTAAGTTGTATATAAAAAAAAAATTGGGGACTTACCTCTCCATTACTAACCTAAGATCCCTTCCCTCCGCAATTGGGCTGTTACTCTCCATTACTGATAATTCCATTCCCCCTAGCAGTGGGGCTACTAGTTCCCATTATTAATAATCCCTTATCCCCACAGTCCCCTACAGAGTGATATAACGTGTCGTGTTGCGTTGACGCAGGGCGGCAACATCCGAGTCCTCAGAATGGCAACGCATGGGGAGTATCATGGGCGAAACAGTATACTCTGTTATGTCCATGGTACTGCTCATGTCTATAGGCGACGGTTACCACTTCCCATCAGGTGGGCCGTCAGCTTGTTTGCCATTCTAAGTTGTATATAAAAAAAAAATTGGGGACTTACCTCTCCATTACTAATCTAAGATCCCTTCCCTCCGCAATTGGGCTGTTCCTCTCCATTACTAATAATCCCTTATCCCCACAGTCCCCTACGAAGTGATATAACGTGTGGTGTTGCGTTGACGCAGGGCGGCATGATAATCTCGAGCGGGCTGGTGCCGGTGGTGGTGCAGGCGGGAGACATCGGCTCCGTCATCGCCGCCACGCTCGCCTCGCGCGCCTACCTGCGGGCGGCGGCTACCGCTACCGCCACCTCTACCGCTGCCACTACCGCCGCCAACTCTACCGCTGCTGCCGCCGCGCCCTCTAGACACAGGTATCTGGCATGTTTGTTAGTTGTTTATTTTTAATGTATGATAATGGCAGAGTAATCCCGTCTGTGCTAACGGTGTATTTTTTTTTATACAACTTAGAATGGCAAACAAGCTGACGGCCCACCTGATGGAAAGCGGTAACCGTCGCCTGTAGACATGAGCAGTACCATGGACATAACAGAGTATACTGTTTCGCCCATGATACCCCCCATGCGTTGCCATTCCTAAGGACTCAGATGTTATTCCTCTGTACCCTGTAATTTCACGCCATATCCCACCCTTCAAAACCAAAACATAGCCATGCAAACACAACTGCTTCACGGTTGAAACACGAATGGGGCAGAGGTACCCAAGCAATCGACTTTTGTACAAAGTCTCCCTCTACATGCTGGTCGGGCATCAGTGAAGGATGGTAGGTGAGAATGAAAAGGCAGGTCAGTTAGCCCATCATGATAAATACACCTGGAATTCAGCACGATGGTTTTCAGAGGAGATCACGTGGTCCTGACAGAGCATACTGCTGGCAATGGAACTGGTGGTCCGTATTACTAACAATCCCTTCCCCCCGACGATTACCGGTTTTTTTTTATGAATGATAATGGAATGGTGTCCCCGCCTGCGCTATCGGTATACACTGGCGAGGTACCAGTGAGAGATGATAAGTGAGGATGAAGCGGGTCAGTTAGCCCATCGTGATAAATTCACTAATGAATGAATCACGATGGTTTCCAGGGGGAACCACGAGGAGGTCGACCTGATAGGGTATATTGCAAGTAATAGAGTTGCTAAGCCCCATTATTAATAATCCCTTTCTACCCCGACGATTACCAGTTTCCATCTTTTTTTTACAACACAGGGGGCAAACGAGCATGCGGCTAACCTGATGGTAAGTGACTACCGCCGCCCATGATCACCCACAACACCTACGGCATTGCAGGTGTGCTGCCGGCCTTTTAAAAAGGAATATGCTCTTTTCTTGAAGGTTACGTTGTCGTATCGGTTCGGAAATACTGCTGCTGGAAGTTGATTCCAAAGAATGGTTGGCCTTTAGCTTGTTCGCTGTTTGCTTTTGATTTTTTTTTTTTAATTAATACATTTCATTTCAGTACTCAGGCGGAACTGGACGACGCGGACAACAAGGACAACAATAGCGCTGCGGGTAAAGAGAAAACGGACGGCGACAAGAATAAGCAAGCCAAATCCAATGACCACTTCGAGGTTTTGCTAAAGGTAAGGTTATTATTTAATAATTAATTATTTAATTAATTATTAAATAATAATTTTATTAAATTTAATATTTATTTCTTTTTTATATTCGTTGAAGATATGTTTTTCTGTTGATTTAAAAAAAGAATGTTCTCAATTCGATTGTATTTTTTTTTCATGTTTATTCTTCATTGTACACAAAATATAATGTTAATCACAACTCATTTGAAACGTAATGTACAGAGGCGAGCTTATCTCTAATAAGAGATTTCTTCCAGCAAACCCTTTTCATGTGAATTGTATGTTATTTTAAAAATAAAAATAGGCACTCATACGATTTGCATATATTGTATAAACACATAAGATATGTATACCCAAAGAATAATACAAACTACACATTATAAATTACATAAAATACATAAACCCTGTAAACATACACATATACTTACACATACATACATATACACATACATTCACATACATATATATTATACACATATAAACATATATAAACATACATACACATATACATAATACGTCAGCATAGTGATAAGTAATGCTCCCTTAGACGACGCTTAAACATGCCTATACTTGTCGATTCCCTTATTACGGATGGCAGACTATTCCATAGTCGAATGGATATAACTGTAAAGGAATTCCCAAAAGCCTGACTATGATGTGGTGGAGTTCTTAGAAGTAATCGTGTCTGAGGGCGAAGTGGTTTGTCTCTTGAATATAAATATTCATAACGCTCGCGGAGATAACAAGGAATGGAGGGATTATGCAAGATGTTTGTAACCTCATAACTTCGTCAGTTGTAAACCGATTGGGAACATTCTTTTTTATTTAAAAGAGGAAATAGTTGTAGATTGGTTCCATAGAATTTTTATCAAAATCGGTCCAGCGGTTTAGTTTTAAATCAAAACAACCGGTTTTACCACAATATAAGTTTTTTTTTTTTTTGTGGATCACAATTTTTATTATTTTCTGACAAAATATATTGAATTATGTTATTATTGCCTATTATTCATAGTACGAACTCAGCTTAGTTGGGCAGTACCCATATCCATCTAGACTCGAACTCTTCTTATTTACTAGTGATAACTAGATGGCGCTGTACTTTATGCCCAGTGGTGTTTATTTATTTATTATTTAACTCCTTATAGCATCAGAAACACAAAATAAACAATGACCATTAAACAATACAAGTGAAATACTTAACATAAATTACAGATTAAAATAGATAGATAGATAGATAACCTTTATTACCAGTATTAAGAAAATAAAAAATTAAAACAACAAAAAGAAAAAAAATAATAATTAATGTTGCTAGTAATAGGAGCCGCCTCAGCTGTTGCTATATATGTACAGCTCAAGCGAGATGTACCTATGTAGCGCTGATTTTCAGGCGGCCCCTTAACTCCTTTACCTTTAGCATGCGTGCGGGTCGCCAGTACCTATTTCTCGTATAGGAGACTCAACACTCTTAACAACAAATACGTAAAACATTACAACCAAAACTGAAAAGAACAAACTCTGAATAAATTATCGCACCTCACAATGACAGCATCATAAAAAATTAAAAAAAAGAACGTGAAGCGTCAGTTTCTCAACTGTTTTGGATTTGTTTCTCAAATAAGACTTTTTTAAGTTTATTTTTTAAAGTAATTTGGGACATATTAACATGCAAATATATACGTAAAGGTACAAAAGGCGGTGTTATCGCTAGGGCAATCTCTTAGCAATCTTTTACCTTTGATTAGAGGAGAACAGTTAGGAGTTACAGTTATGGGTAGGTGGCGCAAGGGTATTTGTTGTTTATTTACCTGGTCTCGTATCAGGATGGCCTCCTGTGCCGCGTGTACTACGCGCCGCAGTTCCACAAGCTGCGCCACATGCTGCTGGCGCCGCTCAGCGCCAACCCGCACATCGCGGACGAGTTCGCCCGCCGCGGGCAGCCGCCGCCCGCCGGCGGACGCTGCAGCTGCGAGGACGGCAGAGACAAGGCCGACAGTGAGGCTTGCTTATTACATATCATTACATAACATATTTGTATGCAACTTAGAATTGCAAACAAGCTGATGGCCCACCTGATGGTAAGGTGTAACCGTCCTCCATAGACATGGACAAGACATCATTGGAGACAATTTCCTAAGAAGGGATTTTTAATGGATGATAATGGAATGATAACCCTGTCCGCGCGGGGGGAAAGAGATTGTTAGTAATGGAGACTGAGGATCCCGTTGCTAGCAATATACCCAACCAGGTCAATCTCCTCGCGGTTTTCCCTGGAAACTATCATGGTTAATTCTTGATGAATTTATCATGATGAGCTAACTGGCCTGTTTTCATTCTCATCTATCACTCTTCACTGGTGCTCCGCCAGCGTATATCGTTAGCGCAGGCAGAGTTACCATTTAATTTTCACCCATCAAAAAAAAAAAAAATAAATATATACATTAATTATATATCAATTCGGATAACTGATATATATTTAATGTATTTAGTAAGTGCAATGTATAGATATTGGTATATGTTATCGGTGGTGGCGCAGACCGCAGCGTGTGTGAGGTGGAGGAGGGGTTCGTGCGGTCGCTGGCGCGCTGCGTGCCGTGGGCGGCGCGCGGCGGCAAGTCCGGCTCCACCTTCTGCAAGACGCACGGTGAGGAAGCCGGGGGGGACGTACAGACAACACGCATGCACGCACGCACGTACACACTCACGTACACACGCACACACGCACGCACACACACACACACACACACACACACACACACACACACACACACACGCACACACACACGCACACACACACACACACACACACGCACACACACACACACACACACACACACACACACACACACACACACACACACGCACACACACACACACACACACACACACACACACACACACATACACACACACGCACACACACACACACACACACACACACACACACACACACACACACACACACACACACACACACACACACACACACACACACGCACGCACGCACGCACGCACGCACACGCGCACACACACACACATGCACACGCACGCACATACACACGTACATAGGCAGATAGATACATACAGAGAGACACACACAGAAAGAGGCATAGATACACCCACTCACAGACACAGACACTGCCCCAATGAACAAATATTTGGCCAGTTTCACTTGTCCCTACCAATGTTTCCTCACTGGAGGATAAGGATAGTTTTTATTATACCTATCCACCATTGGTAAACTTGTCCCTAGCGAGCGCTTTTTGTTTATAAATACACTCCTGTATATAAGTAGACAATCGCTTGGAATATGCAAAGGGTTAGCATTACTGCTTGTGAATTATAAAATGGTTGGTACATCCATTGTACATTTGTCATTGAATTTACAAGAAAACAGTAAATTAATGAATGAATGAAAGTAGTTTGTAGCATTCAGAGATAATATACCATTCTAACATTAAAAAATTTTTCAAAATTGCATCATTAGTGCCATAGACAACCTCATACAAATACATACAAACTCACAAATTTACCTCTTTATATAGGTAATATTTATATATATAAAAATTAATGCCACTTTTCGTTGTAATTTTATAACTCAAGAACGGGCTCACCTAACCAAACCAAATGTTTGGATTCTGTTCGGACTATTTAGTAGATGGTTTATGTGAAGTTTGCACAAAATCGGTCGAGCGGTCCTTCATTTATCACATTTTTTGTAACAAATGAATTCAATAAATGGCGGATCATTTTGTTAATGGGGATTTTTGTGTCAAATCCAACCTTTTTTTTAAGATGGGGATTGTGCTGTCAAATTGAAACTTTTTTCAGTGTTCACAGTACAAGCATGTTGTTATGTCATTCATGCAGTCACTTTATTTTGGACGTGCTTTCATTAAAGCTAATTGTCAGCGATAATTATTGCTTTGTGTTTATATGTAACGAAGCACGTACTGGGCCGCTAGTTAAGTATAAATATAGATATTGATCATTGTTCATGATCATCCAGATGACAGATACGTGTTGAAAGAGATGACGAAGCCGGAGTGGCAGCAGTTCCTCGAGTTCGCGCCGCACTACTTCAACTACGTGACCAACTGCCACCAGAACAAGCTGCCCAGTCTGCTCGGTGAGTGAGCTCAACACCTTCCATTCCTTCCACCTTCCCTTGTAACATAAATAGCGCCCTGGGCATCACAGTGTATACTGTGACACCCGTGGCGTTATTTGTGTTAGTTTAATAGACTCTAATAGAATAGTAACATTACCTATGCTGTTGGTTGTCGGTGAACTCCATGATGATAAGTGTAATATAAGTATAAGATAGATGAAGTCAATTGATCTGACTTTATGTCAGATCAATTGACTTCATCTATCATCTCGACGAATTCGTGATGAATTCATACGCGCGTGTGCGTATGTGCTTGTTGGTGAACTCATTTGTCACTATAAGTAATGTGTGCAGCTCGCATCCTGGGCGTGTACAGCGTGGGCGGCGCTGGCGGCGTGCTGGTGATGGAGAACGTGTGGTACGGCTGCGGGCCCGACACCAAGCGCTTCGACCTCAAGGGCTCCAGCCGCCACCGCCTCGCCGCCGACACGCAGCCGCTCTCCGTCCTCATGGACGAGAACCTGCTCAACCGTACGTTCTACGAGTATTTCTATCTCACGTCCACATAAATTACTAAAATAACAAAAAAGTAAATTGTTAAACTAAAAAAAAAATTCAAATTATACTGAAGAAACGAATTAAACGGCATCATCGAAACGCAGCCAATGCTTGCATTCGGTCGATGAAGAGATAAATATTTTCAGAAAAAGAATACCCAACTTCAAAAAGTGAATAATTTAAATTCAAATAGTTTCGAAATTCAAAAAGTGATTTCTAACGTTATCGACGCTTGCTCTCGACTCAACGGACGAATAGTTAATAGTATTTTTAAAAAAGGAATATCTATTTAAATAATTTCAAAGTTGTTCTCACCATTCCATAGATAAAAACAGGGATATTTTATTTGAGACAACCACAGATTAAGGATGATATTGAAGAAAATTATAGATTAAGGATTATTCGTGTGATTTCTTAAACTCGATCTGCACTCAGTAATACTAAGTATAACCAAGTATAGTGTCGTTCAATGGACACATTTAGAAAGATTATCATCATTACTAGTGGGAGACTTTGTACAAAAGTCGATTGCTTGGGTACCTATCCACTTATCCACTATATACTTTCCCATTCGTGTTTCAACCGCTTCACAGTTGTGTTTGCATGGCTGTGTTTCGGTTTGAAGGGCAGTGAATTTACAGCGTACAGAGGAATAACACCTGAGTCCTCAGGAATGGTAACGCATGGGGGGTATCATGGGCGAAACGGTATACTCTGTTATGTCCATGGTACTGCTCATGTCTACAGGCGACGGTTACCACTTTCCATCAGGTGGGCCGTCAGCTCGTTTGCCTTTTTCTCGTTGTTTCTAAGTTGTATAAAAAAATAAATGACGTCCCGAATTGTGATGTAATACGTTGTGGACGCGGCGGCGTGTGGCAGTGCGCTGGCAGCGGCAGCTGTTCGTGCAGTCGGCGGCGGCGCGCGTGGTATGGGCGGGCGTGGAGCGCGACTGCGGCTTCCTGGCGGCGCGCGCCGTCATGGACTACTCGCTGCTGCTCGGCCTGCAGCCGCGCACGCTCGTGCTCGGCGTCATAGGTGCGCCGCTCACTTCACACCATACGAGCTCATACAAACATCCATGGCCGTTCTGCTTTCCATTTAGGAGTTTCCTCTTATCGGTGCAACTAATTCATGCATCTTCCTCCAGCCAGTTTTATCCCAGGCCGTATCCTTGATCTCCCTATACGACATGACACCTAGTGTTTCTTTTATCTCTCCCATGTAGTTGTTCCTCGGTCTTCCTCTTTTGACCTCTATTTTTCCCTCTATTATGCTCTTAAAAAATCGTCATGTCGTATAAAGTGGCCCAGCATTTTGCCTCCTCTATTCTCTATTATTTTAATTAATGCTCTTTTCTCGTTCACTCTTTTTAGGACGTCCTCATTCGTTACTTTTTCTGTCCAGCTTATCCTTTCCATTCTCCTCCGTGCCCACATTTCGAATGCCTCAAGCATCTTCTTTTCCTTTTGCGTCATTGTCCATGTTTCACACCCATATAATGCTATGCTCCAAATATAAGTTTTTATAAAGTTTCATGGCTGTATTTCGGTATGAACAGTTACATGTCGGCCATTAACTGTCCCCAGCTGAACATAGGCCTCCCCTATAAGGTGGGTTTTGTCAGTAGTACGCTATGCTACGCTTGATAAGCGTATTGACAATTGCAGTTAGGCTTTTGGTGACGTTTTAAAAGGGATGTTGTTGTCCATCCCTAAACCTATAAGTTCCTCTAGTTACCTTTTACGAGATCCACGTGAATGGAAAAGATGGCCAATTTTATATTAGGACCACATGGCAGAAAAGACTTAGATATGGCAGTATAATTACAGAATATAGAAATATAATAGTTTTTAGGGCCACCAGATACCATAGCAGTGTATAATTTATGAAGTCCATGGTGCTGTTCAAGTATCGTCACTATAAACAACTATTATCACTTTCCATCAGATCAGCCGTCAGCCGTGCTTATTTACCATTCTAAATATAATAATGTAATAGTATTTTTGAGTAAAAGTAAAGATTAAAGTCAACTTGTAACACACTATATTGCAGACTATATCCGCACGTTCACATGGGACAAGAAGCTGGAGCACCTGGTGAAGAAGAACTTGGGCGCCGGGCAGCCGACCGTGGTGTCTCCCGAGGAGTACAAGCAGCGGTTCTGCGCGGCCTTGCGCAAGTACTTCCTGCAGTGCCCCGCGCACTGGGACCACATCTACAACACTACGTAGCTTTCATTCTGAGGCCTAGTAACATGATAACTTGTTCGATTCTGAGGTACCCTTAGATTTTAAAGACAGAGCATCGAGTGTCGAAAACGTGTCAATATTTAGTAGACATCTAGCTGACTCAATTTGACACATTTTTTTTAAATAGAACCAATACAACATGCGCCATTTTTTTAGTGTTGCAAGTAATTGCATAAAAATTTCCCCAGATCAGTGTTGATTTATTAAATTTAATTGGAAACTATTTTTTCTTATATAAATATATGTATATATACGTATTGTTTACAAATTAATAAATATATACCAATGAAAATGACGGCCATTTTCAATTACTTAAAAACGAAAATAATATCTATATTTATTATATTTGTATATAAATCAAAGTAATCGATAAAAATATATAATAATATATTCTTAATAGTTCTGTATCGTTTATAATTTTTAATTTAAACCTATAATTTCTCCCAAATACTGAGTAATACATGTAAATATACATTATGGTAACCCCATTCACACACATATGGATAAAAAAGTTGATCTGTTTTTGGCGAAATGTTTGTATGGAGACACTATCTATATAATCTAAGGAGGTGCCATTTCCTAAACTTATGTCTAAAATTTTACTTTTATTTTTGAATTTAGCAAAATTATTGTGGCATGCATCACCTAGAATTAAAAGTAAAGCAATTCAGACATAATTCTATTAAAAATTGACTTTGTACTGATTCTTAGAGTTACTATGATTTCGCTGTATTTAATTTTTACTTTAAGAAATCGATTATGGTATCTCAGTATGTATTTCAATTCATGAATAGAGCCACTAAAATAGTCAAAAAATGTGTTAAAAAATCGGCTTTTGACTCATTAAAGTGATAAATTAAAATATTTACAAAATAATTATAATTGCGACATACGAAAGGTTCGTCTTTGTTTAATCGGCGTTTATTTACCTAATTTTGTATCGATTTTAATAATTCTTTTTGCAAATGATAAGGTAAGGTCCCGTGTTGATCCCATATTAATTTTGTTTGGATTGAATTTATAGTCTTTGTACAGCAAAAATCCTGTAACAGGACTGTTTTCTATTTTTCATTGTCTTTGGCAAATTAAAAATGTATTCACAAATGCCTGTGTAGAAATCTTCGAATTATAGTATTGCTTGACATCCCTCTATGTATACACAGAACTTATTTTAAATACACTATCTAAAAATTAACTATACTCGTTCGCAGTACTCTAAAGATAAAAAAAAAAACATTTTTTTTTCTTATTACTAGTTTTCTTTTCAAACCTCAAAGATTTTTTGTTGTATTTTCCACAGTAGTACTTTTATTTTTTTAATTACAAACTTTTAATTAAAAAAATAAAAGTAAAAAAATAAAATGATTATTAACTATAAAGAAGTAAGTTATTTAACTCGCCCTTTTTTAAATGAATATTCTGATTTTGTATGTAATTAAAAACAGTATTTTATATTTTTTTTTTAATAAGACCAAAGCTGTGGAAGTCATCATTACCAAATAGAATTGTTTTAGAGAAAATATATTTTAATTATTACATTGTTTGCACATTCCTTGTATGATGTAAAGATTGTTAAATATAATTAATGTTTTATATAAGTGTTTTTTTATTCCTTACCTTTAATTTCATAGCGCTGTAGTTTCTACAATATACGAGTATATCATATTTACTGTGTCTTGAGAAAAGTTTAAAATTTATCACCGTTCAGAAGTGAAAATATTATTTACTTTTTCTATCATAAGTTGAAAATTATCAGATATAAAAGAAATATGAGGTGGTAGAATAAAACTTTTAGTTGTAATGAAATCTTTCATAATCGTATGGGGAAGTTTTCTTCATTTCGATTATTAGGCATAATTACAAATTTAGAAATATCTAACTCTAGCAAAAATATAGTACATTACTGCAACGGCCAGCAACTGAGGCATTGATGGACGAAGATGCAAATGTGGGCCGAGGCGTAGTCGAGGCACATATACGTGAGTCCATCAATGCCTAATTGTGGCCAAGGCTTGTATAGTACTTTTCCCAAACAATGCGCGGAAATCAAAAATACAATTTTACTTTTTAAGTTCAATGACGAATAATGAACAATAATAATTTTTCACACTTCATAATGTTCCTTTGTTTTTTTAATAAACAGCTTTCTATTTGCAAACCAGTTCGAAATTTAAATAAAACATTTTATTAGTTACCTCCTTGGTAGCCATGTTTCGAAGTAAAAGGTCATTCCATTTTTAAATTACAGGACAGATATGAGTTTACATAGTAATTTATCTGGCCGCAAAACACGACAGATATGGATTTTCATACAACCTTTGCCGGCTGCTGCCCGCATGTATCTGGCCAGTAAGGCAATTTTGATTTATCTCTAAGAAGATTGTGAAAATAATGCTCACATTTCCAAGTATGTTTGAGAAAAGATATATAAATTGGTTGCGTATCAGTATAACTTTTGAATCAAAATAATTAGTTTTGCCATTATGGAAGTCTTTTTTATGGCACATAATCTTAGATGGAATATACAATATAGAATGGGCCGGTGATATCTAAAAATATATTGGGCGTCTGCGATGACAGCATTTATAAGATCTACCAATAGCGTGCACGTCGCCAAGCTTGAAATAAAGGAAAAGTGTTCCTAAGAATAATGATACTTTTCAAGTATAAATACCATGTAATCATTATGCGAGGAAACACTGGTAGAAATATACAATGACATGCCAACATGATATATAATATATATTTATTACCTATTTACAAATGAATTATTCGATGGTAATGCATAAAATATTTTAACTAAAGTGATAAATATTACAGCGTTTCAATCACTTCCAGATTAAAAATTCATCACATATCATCATCCATGGATCACATGTTTATGGATAATTCAAACATAAATATAGGGGAACTCGGTATTAATTAAAGCATAATATTATGATGTGATGTCCTCGGTAGCCGTGTATCATGTCGGGTCGAGCGTCGAACTCAACGTCTTGAGTTGCTCCAGACCGGCCAATAGTTCGCTGCGGAGAAAAAAAAATATTCAAATGCGAATACATTTTTTTTTATACCACTGAGGTGGCAAACAAGCATACGGCCCATCTGATGGTAAGTGGTTACCGTAGCCTTCGTCGCATTAACTGTCCACTGCTGAATATAGGCCTCCCCCTATTGGGGGGTTTGGCAGAGGATGCCATGCTTGGCAAGCGGGTTGACAACTGCAGTTGGACTTTGGTGATGTTTTAAGAGGGGCGCTATTGTCCATGCCTCGATTATTAAGTTCCTTTAGTCTCCCTTACAATACCCACGGAAGGGGGGGGGGGGGGGATTCTTTACCACAACCACACGGCGAATAAATGTGAATACATAACTACGCCGTATTTACATTGTAAATATTAACAGTCTTTTAAGGAAGTGTTATATAAATGAAAAAACATAGTTTGAAAAACGCCTCCGCGCGGTGCTGTATTCCTCAGGTGCATATTTACCGTTGCAGGGAATCAGTGGATGCAGGTGGCTCAGTTCTTTATGGCTGTATATGGGGAAGGTTTATGTCCAGCAGTGGACGGATAATGGCTGAAATTAATGAATATTTACCGTAGCGAGACGTCGGCGAGGGCCGTCGCGCGGCGAAGCGCGAGGGCGGCGGAAGCCTGCCGCGCCCGCAGCGCTGCCTCCTGCCGCGACGACGCGCCCACTTCCTCCTGGAACGAGACCGCACACCAACTTTTATTACATTACAGTTGCCATTCATATAAATCAATTTATAAATTATACTTTAATATCATTAATATTCAAAGATTAAACGGATATAATGTCTGATAACATAAAGGCAGACATTAATAATTACTATAATCCGGCTCGAAGGCTCATAAACATAAGATTGTGTTGAAAAAACCGACTACAATTGTGGCAAAACCAGTTATTTACATTTAAAATCTAAACTACTTAATCGATTTTGATGAAATTCTTTTTGGAACCGATCTGTAAGTATATCCTTTCAGATAAAAAGAGAATTTTCCAAATAGGTTTACAACTGACGGAGGTTTGGGGTAACAAACATAAAAAAGACATACAATCGAATTAAGAACCTGCATCTTTTTTAAGTCAATTGAAAATAAGTGATAATTATGACCTAGATTAACGAATGATCTTTAATTAGAATTAATCATCATCATTATATCAGTCGTTAAATCAAATTACGATTAATAAGTATACTATAATGGTGTATTTGCTAATTTAATATAAAATTAAATGAAGAGAAAAAGGAAGAGATCGCTTTTAGCGATAAGGTCGCCCATTGTTTTCTCATTGTGATTATTTCTTGTAATTGTTTACCATATATTTATAATAAGTTTACTATTGTAATCTTTTGGAGGAAACAAAGAGTATCTATTTCACGACTAAATTCCTGAAGTATGTTCATTACACTAGTAAAAGTCAACAAGTGTCCCATTTCTACTATTCCTAGTCTAATGAACATCACACTTAATATAGGCACATTTGACTAAGCATTTTAAAATCTAACGTAGCACAATTACATATAAAATAACTGTTATAGTGCTGTTTTAGGTCTTCTATTTTTTTTTATACCACTGACGTGGCAAACAAGCATACGGCCCACCTGATGGTAAGTGGTTACCGTAGTATAGATGGTATAGAAACACCTGCAATAAAGAATAATGAAAAATTATATTTTCATTATTCTTTAAATGCTGAACATAAGCATTCTCCTTGGCGAGTTTTGCTAGGAGTTGCTACGCTTGGCAGGCTTGGTTAAAATTTTTTTTATGCAACTTAGAATGGCAAACAAGCTGACGGCCCATCTGATGGAAGGTGGTAGCCGTCGCCTATAGACATGAGCAGTACCATGGACATAACAGAGTATACTGTTTCGCCCATGATACTCCCCATGCGTTGCCATTCCTGAGGACTCAGATGTTATTCGTCTGTACCCTATAAATTCACTGCCATATCACACCCTTCAAACCGAAACACAACCATGCAAACACAACTGCTTCACAGTAGAAACTCGAATGGGACAGAGGTGCCCAAGCAAACGACTTTTGTACAAAGTCTCCCTTTGGTAAGCATTAAGTATTAATCCCTGATAAATATTAATATTACCTTTAATTTTTTTATTTGAGATTTCAATTTAGCTACGGCCGGCTCCCCTTCCGTCGCTCTAGCCTGCAATATTACAAACACATTTTTTTATCCACGATTTTGGCAAATAAGCATACAGCCCATCTGATGGTAAACGGTCACTGAAGCCTATGAACACCTGGAACACTAGATGTGTCACGTGCGCGTTGCCAATCCTGAAGAAACCTTAATAAAACCCATACTGTAGTCTCTCTATATTTATAATATTACTAGTTGTTTCACACGGCCTTGCTCGCGTAAATCAATACCTCTGGGTATAAATCATCCTATCTGTTAAGTTAGGACATAACCTACCTTTGTACCAAATTTCATTCAAATCTGTTTATCAAATCATTTTTTTTTATACAACTGAGAATGGCAAACAAGCTGACGGCACACCTGATGGAAAGTGGTAACCGTCGCCTATAGACTTGAGCAGTATATAAGTGACCATGGACATAACAGAGTATACTGTTTCGCCCATGATACCCCCATGCGTTGCCATTCCTGAGGACTCAGGTGTTATTCCTCTGTACCCAGTAAATTCACGCCATATCCCACCCTTCAAACCGAAACACAGCCATGCAAACACAACTGCTTTACGGTTGAAACACGAATGGGACAGAGGTACCAAAGTAATCGACTTTTGTACAAAGTCTCCCTCTGGTTTAAGAGTGATTGAGTAACAAATAATCAAACACCTTTACCAAGTCACATTTATAATAATATTAGAATTTTTCGTGCATTATCATTACACATATTTACATGCACATTAGGTATCTCATTGATAGCGGAGTTAACAGAATGGACGCCCATACATGATACAAATTATTAGAGTAGATGGGGCAAGAAATATAGACTATATAGAGAATAAGAGACTCCTCGGTGTATACCCTAAGAAATAGGGGGGAAAGGGATTGTTAGTAAATGTGTCTAACTGATCCATTGCCAGCAATACCCCCTATTAGATCGACCTCCACGTGGCTCCTCCTGGAAACCATCGTGATTAATTCTAGTGGAATTCGTCACGATGGGCTAACTGACCTATTTTCATCGTCACCTATCACCTCTCACTGGTGCAGCGTATACCGATAGCACAGGAGGCGTTACCATTCCATTATCACCTATTAAAAAAAACTCTAAGAAATACCCATACAAATAGAATCCCACCAGTCCCATTGAGTATACCCATGATTAGAAGACCGGGATCCCGGAATCCCGGTTTCGGGATCGGTATTTTATTGCCACTACATTCCAAATCGATCCCGGGATTCCGGTATTATCTATCAGTAATCTCGAAATCTCGGGTTTAAAAAAACCAGTCGGGATCTACCATGATGTGTTTATAAAGAACTATTTAAAAATAGAAACAAGACTCCTCGTGCAATAACCTTTCGCTATTTAACAGCTCAAAATACGAGATCTTGAAATGTAAAATAGGCTAAATATTTTCAAAGGCTGTAAGGCTGTATGATAGAGGTTTAATTATGTCCTTGTAAAAGTTTATGGTTTCTTATGGTTTCATTTAATTTCATTTAATGACATCCAACATATATGTAACCATGCTTCTACAATTACATATGTAGTGACGCACGTAGACTATTGTAAAGTATAATTTATTTTATACTAATTTATTCACACTTTTGTAACAATTGATCGAGCATATAACACAATTTATTTGATTCGTCCATTATTTAAAAAAAAAACCGACCTCATGTTAATAATTACAAAAAAAATGTAGTTACATTTCTAATGTAGGTAGTATAATTAATTTATTTTAACATTTATTATATACTTCAGCTGCCCGCTAACGACATCTTTCCAACTGTATTGGTTTCACTGGAAGAGATCTCACGATTAATGGACAATATATTGATTAATTAATATATGTACATTATAATTTGTGAAGAATGGCAATAAATTTTATTATTATTATTATTATCTCTGTCAGAGATAAGTATATATATATATATATATATATATATATATATATATATATATATATATATATATATTGATGGCGATATATAACTAATAGCACTTATCATTATTTTGATGAAAAAACAGACATGAATTTCGATTGTATCATCATCATCATCATCATATTATCCATTACCTGACCACTACTGAACATAGACCTCCTTTTCTTGGGGGAGTTTGCCAATAGTTGCCAAGCGTGGCAACTATTGGCGGAGGGTTGGCAACCATAATTAAGCTTTGATGATGTTTTAATAGGGACACTGTTGCCCATCCATCAAACATTAATATCCCTTAGTCGCCTCTTACGACACCCATGGGAAAAAAAAGGGCCTAATCTCTAATGTGACCATACGGCGATTTCGATTGTATAAAACCTCTTATTTATAAGCGAATAGCGAATTTGCTTTACAGTGCGACTCACCTCTGCGTCGTGCACGGGCGGAGCGGAGGAAGACGCTGGCGCGGTGACGGGCGCGGGCCGGCGGGCGGCGGCTAGTCGCGCGCGTAGTTCCGCCGCTTCCGCTCGCAGCGTGGCCGCTTCCTCCTCCGCTCGCGAGCGACGGCTGCGCTCAGCGAACAACTCGCACCTACGATCGATGCATCATTAACATTTTTTTTTTTGTATACAACTTAGAATGGCAAATAAGCTGACGGCGCACCTGATGGAAAGTGGTAACCGTCGCCTATAGACATGAGCAGTACCGTGGACATAACAGAGTATACTGTTTCGCCCATGCCACAAACAAACAGGAAACGAGATGGAATACTAAAAAGGAACGGTCGGGATTTTGGTGTTAGTGATAGTTGAGTTTATTATGAGAAATAAAGCTCGGCAGTTGTAGATTAAAGGGTCAGGATGAGCTAATAGGCATAAAAGGGATGTGAGTAAAGAGATCTACCAGAGGGAGACTTTGTACAAAAGTCGATTGCTTGGGTACCTCTGTCCCATTCGTGTTTCAACCGTGAAGCAGTTGTGTTTGCATGGCTGTGTTTCGGTTTGAAATGGGATATGGCGTGAATTTACTGGGTACAGAGGAATAACACCTGAGTCCTCAGGAATGGCAACGCATGGGGGTATCATGGGCGAAACAGTATACTCTGTTATGTCCATGGTACTGCTCATGTCTATAGGCGACGGTTACCACTTTCCATCAGGTGGGCCGTCAGCTTGTTTGCCATTCTAAGTTCTATAAAAAAAAAAAAAAAAAAAAAAAGATTTTAATTAAATATCTTGAAAATATTTCAGTTTGCAACACGGAATCGCTGTTTTATTTGACAGTAAACTGTAAATTAAGGAAATAATTGCGGTTTTTTTTTTTGTTCTTTATAATTAAGAAAAAAAAATCAGAGGGAATATTTATATACTATGAAATATTTTCCGAAATGTCGGGGACGAACGAAACAGAAATTTGATGTTAAAATTACATAGTAACATACCGTTTAAAATTATTAAAAATGTTTAAACATCGTTCCTTTGGACTATTATGGATAGGATTTATGACGAACGAAATGTAAAGCTACTCTAGTTATTGGGTAGATTTCCGTATGAACAAAAACACGAAATTGAGCTCGAAAATTCGAAATTTCATTTCATGGTAGACCCCCAGACGTTTAATCCATTAGAATTTTCCTCCTTCGATAAATATGTGATTTTTTTTTATTAGAAATAAAATACGGAATTAAAAAAAAAAAACAAATAGACATCATATATATGTACATTATTATACGTATATACACACCGCTATACGTATTTGGAAAAAAAAAACAAACAATTTCGTGCCTCCAGTCAAACTGTTTATAATTACTCTTCTCCATCCAAAGGTTGCCTGGAAGACATCGCTCTTAGCGATAAGGTCGCCCATTGTTTTCTCATTGTGATTATTTCTTGTAATTGTTTGTATTTATAATAAGTTTACTATTGTAATCTACCTACTAGTCATTAATATCACGAATACCTTTAGTTGTACCATACCTGGTCCGCTCTAGTTCCGCCATGATCTGCTGCAGCTGTTCGTCCTGGTGCTCGGGCTCCGGCGACGTCCTGCCCGGGTGCACAGGCAGGAAGTCAGGCAGCCGCATCGATTCTGCACCTAAACATTCTCTATTACTGCTATGCTTGCCTTACCAGAGGGAGACTTTGTACAAAAGTCGTTTGCTTGGGTATCTCTGTTCCATTTGTGTTTCAACCGTAAAGCAGTTGTGTTTGCATGGATGTGTTTCGGTTTAAAGGGTGGAATATGGCGTGAATTTACTGGGTACAGAGGAATAACACCCGAGTCCTCAGGAATGGCAACGCATGGGGGGTATCATGGGCGAAATAGTATACTCTGTTATGTCCATGGTACTGCTCATGTCTAAAGGCGTCGGTTACCGCTTTTCATCAGGTAGTAGGCCGTCAGCTTGTTTTCCATTCTAAGTTGTATAAAAAAAAAATGTTTTTCATGATACTTAAAATAGCAAATCAGCTGACGGCTGTCGCCTATATAAATAAACAGCACCATGGACTGGACTTGTAATGAATATTCAATTATTATTCGGTTATTTTTATCCTATTCGCTCGAATACTGAATGTCTACCATACTATGCTGCTGTATATCGTATACCAATCTATATCTATCTATACTTATATTAAATCTGTAGAGAGGTCAATTCTGTACATGAAATATATTTCCAAAATAACTATCAGCGGGTGATTAGTGATCGATACTGATGCCAGAAATGCAATCAGTAAAATTTTTGTCTCTCTGTCTGTATGTTCGTTATAAAAACAAAAACTACTCGACGGATTTTAACGAAACTTGGTACAATTATTCTTCATACTCCTGGGCAAGTTATAGTTTACTTTTCATCACGCTACGATTAATAGGAGCAAAGCAGTGAAGGGAAATGTTGGGAAAACGGGAGAAGTTACTCTATTTTTAAGCTTCCGTCGTGTGTGCAGCCTTAATTTGCCACTTTTCAAAATGTAAAAATGTTCAACCGTGCGACGCCGGGACAGGCCGCTAGTATGCAATAAAACTGTAGAGGTTGAAAGTTCGCAATTGGAAAAAAAAAAACGTTAAAAACCGAGTCAGAGAGATGTTAGAAGTGAAATCCAGATCATACAAAGCTCTCTACAGATTTATTATAAGTATAGATTACTAAATTCTGTAGGTATTACGAAGATAAAAAACTATGTTGTTGTTATTATATGTATAATTATAACTAGGGAACTGTAATAATCTGAAAATCCATTGTATTCAGATTAATGTATACCCAGACAGAGAAATCTAAATCAGATACTTTTACAATAATTACCTGTCTGTTTGTTACATCATCACAACTGAACGGCTGATTGGATTTGAACAAAACTTAACAATTTAGTAGATAATAGTCAAACTTAAAAAGTGGTGTATGTTTTACTTGAGTGATTCCGAGTCGGTCAAGCAAATCATTTGATCGCAGCTTGACCCTCCCATTGTATGAAATAGCGAAAAACGTGTAGATCCTTGTTAACTGGACGGTCATTTTGATGATAAAATCTGCTAGATGGTGTTTGTATCAAATTATGTTATTATGAATTGCGATTTACAATTAAAGCAAGTGTTCTAATATTAATAATGAAATATCACCTTCACATCTGTATCCTCACAGGACAGGCAGAGAGATCCAATATTTATTTATTTATTTATTAAAAATAATTATAACATTATAACAGCAAAAGCCAAATCAATGTTATAAATCTAGTGTGCTAACATACAAAGTTATTATTATTATATTATAGTATTGTGAAATCTTTATTGTACATAACTCAGATTAAACACTGGTAAATGATTTAATATACAATGGCGGACTTATCATAAAGGGATCTTTTATCTAGATCTAGATATTTGTGAGCAACTTCCAATATCTTTGGCAGGCTAGTACTAAATATATCAATGATGTTTATAATATTATTTAATAACTATACTGCGTGAGTTAAGGCAGCGTGCTGAAGTAGATTAGTTCTTACTGGCGGGACATTAAACGTAACCGGATTATGGTATATTGAATGCCCATACATATATCATATGTAACAACAACAATTAGTAGAATAGTGGATACCAAAGTCCTCATTATGTATTTTTTAAAGTAAATGACCCCAGGTTCAATGTAGACAATAAATTCAATACATTTCAGTATGTCATTATATGGTAAATTGTACATGAAAAAAATGTTTAAAATGTATTGGGTAACATATAGTTCAAATAGGGCCATATTACAATTCAATTATCATATTTGCCTTTAACTATCCACTGTTGAATATATACCTCCCTCTTGGGGGGTTTTGCCAGTAGTTGCAACAATTAGCAGGTGGGTTGGTAACCCCAGTTAGGTTTGGCAACAGCTTTTAAAGTATAAATTTTAAGAGAGATGCTGCTGTCCATTCCTCGAATGTTAAACTTCTTTAGTGACCTCTTATGAGACCCACAAGAAAGAAATGGACTATTCTATGCAGAGACCACATGATCTACTACAATACAAATAAACAATTGTTCCAATAGGTATTTTAGTAGAAATAAGTTAAAGAAAATTTATATACATATACTCTCTAAAAATCAGATACCAAATTCAGTAGAGCCCTAATTGGTAAATATATATTATTAATACAAACTAAATAACAAAGTTAATTATATAATAATTAACTACATTCTTAGTAAATAATGAGAAATCTACTACATGATAGTTGATAGTAATAAATAAATACATATTTATTCAATTTTAACTACAAAATGGTAGTCACGGGAACAGCTAAATAGAATTATGCAATAACTACTATTACAATGTATAATTACTATTATTTTGCAAAATACGAGGTTTGTCCGGAAAGTACGTATAAAAGTTTTTTAAAAATTTTATTTTACAATTATTCAGGTAAATCAATTTTATCCCCTTCAAAGTACTCCCCCTGTGACATAATGCACTTGTGCCAACGCCGTTTCCACTGTGAGAAGGCTCCTTGAAAGTCCTCTGGTTGTAGGTTTCTCAGCTGCCCCGTCGTAGCTTTTTTTATCTCATTTATGTCCCCCAAATGCCGCCCCCGAAGTACCAATTTGGTTTTTGGGAACAAGAAGAAGTCACACGGGGCCAAATCCGGCGAATAGGGGGGGTGGTCGGTCACCGTAATGGAATTTTTACTCAAAAACTCACGGACAACAAGAGAGGTGTGGGCAGGGGCATTGTCGTGGTGAAGAATCCAACGCCCCTCTCGCGCCAATTCTGGACGAACTCGTGCCACACGAGCTTTGAGGCGTCTGAGCACATCGACGTAGAATTTTCCATCAACTGTCTGGCCTGGAGGGACGAATTCTTGATGGACAATCCCCCGAACATCGAAAAAAACAATCAACATTGTCTCGGCCCTCTCTGAATCTTTTTAGCCACTTGTGGACGGTTGGTTCCTTCACAGCATCATCCCCATAAACTGTTCTGAGATCGGCAAAAATTTCACGGCCATTCTTGCCGAGTTTCGAGAGAAACTTGATTACGACGCGCTGCTCTTCAACGGAAGCGGGCTCCATGCCGACGGGGTTTCGTTAAGAGGTAACTTCACAGATGGCGTGACAAGCCAGTTCGCACCGCACGGCGGTCAGACCAGAACTGAAGCATTGTTAGGGACATAAGGAAGGGGTCCTGCGCTTACCTGGCCTCCCCACTCCTCTTTCTCGCATTCCAGAACACTTTTATACGAACTTTCCGGACAGACCTCGTATGATGCAGTAACATGGCACAAATATAACCGTTTGCTATGTGGTTCCGGCATAGAATAGGCCATTCCTTACTTTCCCATGAGTGTTGTCAAAAACAACTAAGGGGACTTATTGTTAAAAGGATGGGAAGCAGTGTCCCTCTTAAAACATCACTAATAGCCTAATTATGGCATTATGGCCTGCTAAGCATGGCAATTACAGGTAAAACTCCCCTGCTGGAGGAGTCTTATGTTCAACAGTGGACAGTTGATGCTAACATGATAAATATACCAGTGCAAGATCTTAATATTGTTATAAATACAAAAATTTGTATGTATGTATGTATGGATGGATGTTTGTTACACAAAAGCACATACTAAACACATTTAAATTTGGGACACAGATAGACTACATTCTTGCTTAAAACAAAACCCTTTTCAATGTAATGTAGGCAAAGCTATGGAATATAATTAATATTACTGTTCAATATCACTTGCATATTTATGGGTGATGGTCAAGTTTCCATTGAGTGAACCATAAGTTTGTTTGCTCATTGCTAACAGTATGAAAAGTTTTTCAAAACAGCCAGTATGAGTTAAAACACTTCATTGGTAACAAGTAAAAAAATTATTTGTGGTGACAAACTTAACATTCCCTTTCATTCTCAGGATTTGTAAGAGGCTATTGATAAAATCAAATATACAGTGAGAGAAAATACTTGAAATAAAAGCCCATACAGAGCCATTAATCAACATACAATAGTAAATTACATCCTCTTCTTATGGATGACAATATTAATAGGTTTTAAAATAAATAGAAAAAAAAAAATAAGCTTACCAGCATTTGGAGGCAGATCAAGTGGAAATGTACTTCTTGGTGAGTTATTCCTCCTATCAGCTGGATTCACTGATTCGGTCAGATCTAAACTGAGGTGTGCGGGCAAATCTAAAGGCACAGGTCCAGCAGCTTCAGCCCCGGCGGGCAAGTCCAGAGGGATTCCATGACCAGATGGACCGGACTCATTAGATGTTGAAGCAGCACCCATGTACGCATCATAGTCATATTCATTATTACCAACATAAGCACTGTTATTCTTCCTACCTGACGAGGAAGACGAACCCACATTGAAATTAGTATTAAATGTAAAATCTGGCAAATTGTCCAAGTCAACCGATATGGGCCCGTTAGAGTTCAAATAGGCTTGTTCCACTAGAATATGATCTTGAACAAAGTCTGGTAAAGATGGCATGCCTAATGGCTCCGAAGCCAGATTTGGTCTTTGATAGAACGGCACATCGGTATTGTCCGCGTAAAAGTTATGCTTAGACTCGGAATTGTCCACTACACTAAATGGTATCTCTACAGAACTACTTGAAGACGTATTATCACTTATTGTTAAACGATGGCCAGCATCCACAATTTTGTCTTTGGCTTGAATATCGTTCGCGCGAGACTTTTCACGTCTCGTTTCAGCGTGAACGTCCAATTTCGTAGGTGAATGTTGCACTGTGTTCGCGTAAACTTTAGGTCTGGCCCCAGTGTTTTCATAAGTTGAGTTTCCTGGTAACGACAGATCTCGCTTCAGAAAATGCCGGAATGAGAATGGATTCTCCTCTTTGCGCGTCGCCCCAGTTGTACCTGAAAAAAAAAGGAACATGTATCCGAGGAATTTCTTTTATATTTATAGCGCAAAAAATAACTTCGTCAAATACAAACTCGTTGAACTTTTAGCTTCTGTAGGTGATGTGTCACCAGTCTCGTTACTATTGTATTTTGCCTCTTCGATTCCTAGATCTGGTTTCGTGGTATGTTGTTCACTTTCTTTAGATGGACCTGCATTATTTGAATTTTGGGGTGATTTTTTATTTGAAACACCATCGTCGTCTTCCGCCATGATAATGAAAAATGACAGTGAAATACACGTTCAGAAATTTGAAATTATGAACCGATTCTTCATTATATAGATTATTCGGTGCGCAGAATATTACGTTTATAAACAATTGTTATATTTCTTTTGATACATAGATAAAGAATAGTAACGGGACCTAATACTTTTTATTAATTTTAAGTAAATACACAGTTACTTTCAAGCATTTTACATTTTAACTATTCCAAATATAATGTTTGGTATAAATGCTATATTTAAAATTTGAAGGGCGTTCTGCATTGTACACAAACAATTTATTTAGTACCTAAACGTAATTACTATGTTAATACTTCTCCATCTACCTTACAAAGTCTACTTATGTCTGCCTTACTTGTAAATAAATCGTATCTAATATAATCAAGCATATAGTAAAAATAATTTATCTTTGTGTTGACTTTTTTCTCGCTTACGTTAGTAATAATGCGAAAGTTTGAACGAGATAAAAAATAGTCTTTATCTTTCGACTTTAATGATAATTTATCTATAGAATATTAAATATGTATTAGTTCTCTACGCATTTAATTATTTTGTGTTATTTACTCTTATAGTTTTATAATTTATTATTACAAAAGTATAAAATTTATTGATAGAATATCAAATATGTATTAGTTCTCTACGCATTTAATTATTTTGTGTTATTTACTCTTATAGTTTTATAATTTATTATTACAAAAGTATAAAATTTATTGATAGAATATCAAATATGTATTAGTTCTTTATGCATTTAAATTATTTTGTTATTTACTCTTATAGTTTTATAATTTATTATTACAAAAGTATAAAATTTATTGATAGAATATCAAATATGTATTAGTTCTTTATGCATTTAAATTATTTTGTTATTTACTCTTATAGTTTTATAATTTATTATTACAAAAGTATAAAATTTATTGATAGAATATCAAATATGTATTAGTTACCTATGCATTTCAATTATTTTGTGTTATTTACTCTTATACTTTTATAGTGCTGAACTTTGTATTTTTACGTGTTCCATACTCATATTCATGAGCATAACCATCTGGTATAACCCATATCATCTACCAAAAAGTCACAACAACGACCTTTGCAGTGTACGTGTACCAATTTCGTTATCGAAATGAATATTTTCATTTTCACTATTACGAATTCTTTAGTAGCTAATATTAAAATAACTCTGTTAGGTATATGATATATTATAGACAATCTGCTAAACCTATGACAGTTTGTCTCTCATCGCTTCAGAAAAGTTCGTTGTCTATGTAAATAGGGATGAGTGGGGGAGAAAGGGATTGTTAGTAATGGAGACTGAGAATCCCATTACTAGCAATATACCCAACCAGGTCGACCTCCTCGAGGTTCCCCCTGGAAAATATTATGGTTAATTCCTAATGAATTCATCATGATGGGCTAACTGGCCTGTTTTCATTCTCATCTATCACCCTTCACTGGTGCTCCGCCAGCGTATCCCGTTAGCGCAGGCGCGGCTACCATACCATTTTTACTCATAAAAAAAAATAGGCCTGATTCGAGAATCGAACACAGGACCTCATTTACAAAAAAACTACATGTCGACAAACGTCTCCATCACAGAATAAAGAGATAGCTATACTGTGCCTCTGTGGCGTAGGCAATAGCATTCTCTGGATAATAATAATAGGTACTTACGAATTTTTAAAGGTAAAAAAATGAGACGAATAAAACAAAACAAATGAGTTATAGAGAAATTTATTTTTAAGGCTCCTCTTTTAGTTAGTGATTTGCTATACACTTTACAACAATATTTAAAAAATAATAACAGGGTTTTTAATTAATTTACATTACAACATAAATTCGTTAACAATAAATGCATTTTAATATTAAGTATTATAAAAATATTGAAATTATTTTAATATTTCTGAGCATAGGTAGGTATGTAGGTTAGAAGCATCACATTATAAGAGTAAATTTTATATAAAAAGACTGTAAGTGTAGTAAGTAATACTGAATACGGATAGATCGTCTCGGAATCGCTTTATTACTGCTAGGTTATAAGGTACTGATATTATTCAAACTTTTAATAAAGGAATAATTTTAAGAAGGTATTGTACCTAAACTACTATTAAAAATCAAACCCTCATGATCGTTATAAATTAAAAATTTGAATCAAATTAAATCAAAACGTGATGTCCACTGATCACCGTGTTGACCGGTAAAAAAATAGACGACTTTCAAGAAAATTGTAAATGCGATTGTGGATAACAGCCAATTGCGCAAGCGCATTTTTTTTTTTTTACATATCACAGAGATTATAACCAAGAAAATATAACCAAATTAAATTACCTTTATACAAAAATTCAAAATGGCATATTTAATCTAATATTGCGGTCTCAGAATCCACTCCAGTGCGGACCTTAGTGTTTAAAATATTACAATTTTAGATATAGGAAAATAATTACACCAATGTTACTTTATATGGGATAATTAATAATAATAAAATGACAGTAAATCAAGATTACTCCAATATATAGTCGCTTATATGAGTATGTATAATTATAAACTAGGCATAATTCTCAACTGAGAAATAAAAATATGACGTCAGTTATGAAGGTTTAACAATCATTATCTGTGGCAAATGGTATAAATATATATCATGAAAGATTAAATCGGAATAGATAGGTGTTTAAAGCAGTGTGTACTTTGTCTTAAACTTTATTTTCGATTCAGAAAAAAAATATTCAGTATTCGAAATTTGATTATAATTTTTAATTATCATAATATAATTTTGAATTTAGAAAATTATGTCAATATTTTTTATATTGTCAAAAACGAATACGAACTTGTGTGATTTACTTGTAAAATATAAATAAGACTATTTCATAGACAAGAAGTAAGTACTAAAAACAAATATGGATAAATTAAATAAAATTTGGCACTGATATTTTAAATGCTTTCGAAGACATCCATAAATATGTTTATATGAAATTATATTACATGTACAGTTATAAACAAAAGTGAAATAAGAAATTAATTTTATTATAATGGTAGCTACAGTTTTTATTGATGACTGTACATAGTACTATTAAAAATAATAAAAACAATATAAGTACCAAATAGTATCAAGGCTTTATAAAGTTTTAGACAATGCCTTGGGTCTTTCGTGAAACGAAATCATTCCTTAAGACTATTTTAACACAATGATATTTAAGGTAGGTGGCGCGTTAATGACGACACTGATCTAATAATAAATGACACATAATCACACCAACAGCCTGGTCCTCAAGCTATGACAGCGTGTGTTATGAGGATCGTCGCAACGAACATCTGCAAGTAGAACCTAGAACTCTCAAGACTCGAACTAATTAAAAAAAAAACCTTAAATGACCGATTAAGAATCGAAACTGGGACCTTTTTTATCATCATTATTATAACTCATCATTGGATTACGAAGATTGTCAAGATGTTGCAAACGTTGGTAGCTGTAGTGTCCATCGGGTGAACCGTATGCTTGTAATATAGTATCAATTGTAAATAATGTACCTGTCAATGAACAAACTGTATCATTTTTTACGCGTGGATTAAATTGATTAAATATAATTTACAAATCAATATGAGAACAAACATAATCTCAAATACACCTATGGCACATGTCGTTGTATTTATTATAAAATATATTAAAAGTCTTTAAAAGAATTTCATTACTACGTTTTTTTTTTTTATTTTTGCCGAATTTTCTGTAAGTACATTGTGACTTGAATTGTACATTAGAGTATATTTAAAAAAATATTTTTTATTTATAACTTAAATTATTAATAAATATTAATAATTATTTATGAAAAAAAAAACCGACACTATTATACGGATTATAAACGTATATAGGATAATGTAATTACAAATATATATTATAAATTTATTTATGCGCAGTTCCAGATGCATATATAAATATTAGTAACAAAAAGAAACATAAATCAGTCTTTTACAATGTCCAAAGGAGAACCAAACACGATAAAATAATTAAGAAATAAATATAACTATTATTAGCTATACAATAAGTAATATTTTTGCGTGTCGGGGTCCCGTATTCTTTAGGAAATATATTTTACATCAAATAGTCTGCTAGGTATAAAAATACGCTTTTAAACACTTTCATGATATCGCTGTGGAAAATTAAAGTCCATACAATTGTATACATTTTGCTCCTCTTTGATTATATCGTGACGGTAAAACTGTACATTATCGTGGCACAAATTATAAAAACGCCCATTCAAATTTGAACCGTGAGAAATAAAAAATTAATGTCATATCTATTGTACATGAATAATTTACGAAGATAATATTGAATTACATTATAATATTTGTTTCAGATAAAAATAAATGTATTTCTAATAAACACTCTTCGACTCTTATTTTAAAATAGAAATAGAGAAAAAAAAATATTCTTCTTAATCTTTGAGATTAGTCTATGGTCAATGACCATAAAACACGCAAATATGTCACCGTAAATATTTAGGATGCGGTAAAAAAATTACACGACAAATTTCAAAGCATACCAATACAATATAGAGTGAAATTGTAATCGTTGGCATGGTTTAATCTATGGTGGAAATGCAGTAGTGAAACATTGAAACAACATTATTACCATAGGTACCATTACTGGTAAAAAAAAAACTTTTAAAACTGATTTTTCCATACTAACGAAGCGCGTACAACATTCATTTAGTATTGTTAGTTTAAAATATTTTTCCGTTTTCGAATTTGTGATTTTCAAAATTTCCGTCCAAATATAATCTATAATGTCAATAAATAAATAAATAAATAATAAAAATAATTTACATTAAACTTTGCTATACTCATTATAATAGTGATTTTTTTATTAATTTATTGACCAGTTTAGAATGCATTTTCAGCTGAAAAGAACGGCTAAAATCATTCAGCTGTTGCTTTATTCAAACATTTTCCCGCCATCAATATCCACAAAACCCAATATATAGATATTGGTGCGGAACCGATATTATCCATTACAAATTGTTTCTATCATTTTACAAGAATGGGAGCGAA